ATTTGTAGGCGGGATTGGTACCGCTTCTGAACTTTTAAAATCACTAGTATCCTGACGACTTAGGCGTAATGCCGGTTAGTCAGGGAGAGAAACACCTCAATGCCTACAATATTCACAATTATCTATCTCTTATTTGTTGTTATAATCATATCAACACTTTCGCTCCAAAACTCCCGCTGCCTCCGTTCAATCGTCCGTCATCCACTTGTCAATGTCACATAGATTACTTTGGCTCTGGCCTCTGACGTTCCGTTTCAGGTTATATGATTATTGACTTTACCATTTTTAATTAATGGTGCGTCACACGATAGTTAACAAAATATTTTTTGTTTCTAAAATGTATTATTTTACAAATTTATTAGACGTCATTACAAATACGTTAATTTAACTGACAAATCATTATCAAAGTTTAAGAGGCCTTTCACATTTTTCGGTTCTAGTTCTAAGGAATTAAGAGTCGGAATGTATATATTCCTGAATTATATAGATAGATATTTATTAGTCTTCGTAATTTCTAAAATAGTTTATTCAAAAACGCTAAGAGACAGAAGTTTGGGATCGTCGTTCATTAATAAACAAACATAAAGTTGATATGATATTGTTACAAAAACTTAGTAATTACTTTATAAATTGATATAGCGTTGTTATTTTTTATTTTCAACTAAAATATCTTAATAAATTGATCTAAAACTTTGCCGAATCACAAATTTTCTCATAAATACAACGAAATTTTTGCATAGAAAGTACAAAATAATAAAGGTTATATACTTATAAACTAGAAATATAAACAAAAAATATGTAAGTTTCTAAGAAAATAATAATAATTTAAAGTTGTATAAATTCCGTTGCGTAAAAAGTAAATTCTCAGTACTGCGCTAGCGCTCGTCGAGGTAGGACTGGTGCTATTTTTATGACACCGCTGCGATACGATATTCGTAAACATTTACCATTGTGAACATTACTATAGTGCGACTAAATGGTTTTCATAATTTAAGTAATATTTAATTAATTCTGCTATACATACTTATTTCTACGAATAATTATTTAAAGTTGTTGTTTAATATATATGTTATACATATTTAATAATTATTTTAGTATGCCAAGAAAAAAGTACAGTTATGCTACAAAAAAACGATACCCTGCTGCACTAAGAAAAGCACAACAAACAAGGTATTTCGTCACATTAATTGTTAAAATTAAAAATAAAACAGCTTTTAGTAATTCTAAAAAGAAAGTTTATTTGAGAGAACAATATAAGAAAATGTAAACGAATTTTACATTCTGTTTATTTCGTAGTTTTTTATAAATTAAAATAGGGTTCTCACATTATAATTTATAAAAATACCATTATAATTTTTACGTACATTTTTCTTGTGTTATACTTGTGTTGTACTATGCAATGTCGATTGTAAATAAACTACCAAATTATATTATTTTATTCCCTAATGTTTAGAAATATTTTATCCAATTTACTTTATTTTATTTTATACAATACAGATATTTCTAAATTGCAGCCATTGTGTTATCCTGGTATACTCTTTGGACTTACATTATTGTACATTTTGTCAAATATGTATATTTGCGTGAAAAGTTAACAACATTATAAATGTTTTTATTTAGAGACAAACATAGGTTATTATTATATATTACAGTCAATTAACACATACCTTGTACACATAACATGTGAAGAAAGTCGCTGGTAAAAGCTATTTTCTTATATATAAACTTCTAAACAATTTTTTCCGAGAAAATATTAATTGAAAACCTTTCTGCAAAGTTTTGATATTAACACGTAATTATTTATTATTTAAGATTTTCAGTTCTTTATAAATCAGCTAGCAGACCCATTTGCACGCGTTGCTGTGGCTAAGGTTCTTGAATAATATAGTATTGCGACTATAAATTAAGACATAAGGTCTTCCTATCTTTCAAAGTGCACACAATGTGCAAATAAAATTTGCAATCGGTTCAGTAGTTTAGGAGTCCATCGCGGACCAATAACATGACACGTAATTTTTATATATAAAGATTAATTTATATAGATAAACATGACATGATCAGGAGCCATTATGGTAGGAATTGGTTTGTCAAATCTCAATGCTTCAAAAGATTTACCAATTATGTAGTTTCGATCATGTAGCAATAAACACGAACATGTTGCTGAAATTTGGCGTACCTGTTTGCTGAAAAGTCGATGCAAGAATCGGCCAACCAAGAACGAGAAGCTGCAATATCATGCAACAGCAATGATAGCAGTTGAAGCTTTTTATGTACAAATCAGAATGGCAAACAAGCTGACGGCTCTCTTGATGGAAAGGGGTAACCGTCGCCTATAGACATGAGCTGTACCATGGACATATCAGTATATTGTTTCCCCCATGCATTGCCATTTCCTCAGAACTTAGGTGTTATTCCTCTGTACACTGTAGATTCACTGCGATATATATATACACAAATAGTCTGTACCCTGAGAAAGGACATAGACTACTTTATAGTGCGAAAAAGGGTTATAAGGGATTAAAAGCGATGATAAAAGGTCGTATAAAAGTATCATTTTTTAAATGAAACAATTAAACTTTTTTGGGTTATAATCTAAATATATTTTCTTTATTTGGTCAATGTCACTGTACCACGCGGGCGAAGTCGCGGGCGTAACTAGTATACATATAATGGTGGGACCTTTAAATCGAAACAAAGCCATGAAAACACAACTATTATATATAAATAAAATTATTTGCCTAAGTTTAATATTTAGAACAAGTGAATATGGCAATAATGTATCCGACTCTTATAATAAATTATTTTGTATTCATTAATAAATTAATTTAATTAATATATAAAAAGAATTAATTAAATAAATTTATGTTATAATAATTTCATCTTCCCGTCCTTATCACAATTATTTGTTACTTTGTTATTTTGACGTCAACTCTCTAGGAATAGTATAATAAAAAAATATGGTCATTATTAGCACTTTGATAATTAAGATAAATCACGTTATTTTAAAAAACCAAATAAGTAGTTTATGTTACTCAAATTTAAGTAAAAATAACCTAACGTTATTAATTAAAATATTACAAGTATCAAAATGTTTCATACTAAACCCAAACCGATTGCGTTACACGTTTATTTGCGTCTGTGTGCGTGTAATACACACGCATGCGCTTTAACCTAAAATTGAGCGACATCATTTCGTAATAGCCCTCTTAACATTGACGTGAATAATTATTATTTTCTTATTTATTAATTGATTAATGTCCGAAGTATTTGTTATTGTTATATGTCTATACATGTAAATAAAATTTGGAGTGTCTGTTTGTAATATTGAAATAACCGGTTTTTACTACATGCATATGAATATAAATACGGTATCTATATACACCAAAATAACATTTTTTACAATTTTTGGCTGTCTCTTTGTTCCGGCTAATCTCTGAAATGGCTGGACCGATTTGGACGGGACTTTTTTTGGCAGATAGCAGATGTAATAAGGAGTATCTTAGGCTATTTTTATTTTAGAAAATAAAGTTAAATTCCACGCGGACGAAGTCGCGTGTACCGCTAGTCTAATAACAATATCTTACGACAATTCACACAGCACCTCTAGTTTTACGCTAAGCCTGTGTTATGAATACTAGATAACTGAAATAAATATATAGTCACATTATTTTTGTGAATACATACATAATATATATAGAATACACCCAGATCGATACAAACAATTATTTATACTCATAAATAGAAATATTTGAATCACGCGAGGATCGAACCCGTGATTATCAGATGAAAGGCGGAGTGTTAAACCGCTAGACCATATATGAATACATTCCTAGTATATGTTCGATTATTGTTTTGTATTGAATGCATTAATGTTTTTTTTATCGTACATCCCTACACGATTTGATCATAGACAAATGGTGTTTGTAAAAAAAAATTCATCACTTTTTTTCTCAATTTTCGAATGATGTATTTAAAATACAATTTAGAAAGTGACAACTCTCAGAAGTCGGGAGTTTTTATATCTAAAATACTCGCGACCTATTATGTAGTATGTACGAGTATGTACCTTATTTATATTCATATGCATGTAGTAAAAAACGGTTATTTCAATATTACAAACAGACACTACAATTTTATTTACATGTATAGATTTTTTGTTTGTTTCTTAAGGTCGGCAACGCGCACGTGATACCCCTGGTGTTTCAGGCGTTCATAGGCTACGGTAAACATTTACCATCAGATGGGCTGTATGCTTGATTGCCACCATCGTAGTATAAAAAATGTATAGATTGATCAATCAACATCTTAAAAAATAAGTTTCTAGCTTTAAAAATGCCAATAATTCCATACAACCTTTTATCTCACCTTTCAACGCCTTACAACTGTTTTTTCACATTAAAAAGTAGCCTATGTCCTTTCTCGGGGTCTAGACTATCTGTTTACCAAAATTCATTTAAATCGTTTCCGTAGTTGTGGCGTGAAAGCGCGACAGACAGACAGACTGAATTACTTTCGCATTTATAATATTAGTATGGATTACTAGAACAAAATAACGTTTCTAACATCGCAGGTCCACAGTTCAAGTGCAATTTAGTTGCACCCATTTTATTCCCCTCTCGGCCTTATGCGTATAAGCGCAGTTAAAATTTGACGTTCGCCATTGGTGAACTGTGCTATTTCTCTCAGCTTGTTGCCGTATCTAATTGAATTGGTACTGAGCACATCTGAATTCTCTGTAAAAGTAAAATGGGAAATAAAAAGAGAACAAAAACATGTTTACAAAATAAGAAAGTGGGTAGAGCAATTTTTTTACTGTAAGTGCCTTCATATTGTTACAGTGCATGCTAACTGATTATATGTAACTACATCAAAATTTTAATTAAATCCTATAGGTTATTTACTATATGTAGCTTTCTTTATATATTTACACCAACATTAGTAAGGGAGAGTACATTTTAAATGTGGGAAGAGCAACTAATGATTTACTATTTCGTTCACAGGCAAAAAAAGAAATATATGAAGCAAAACGGTACAGACACAAATGAAAACGATACTGCAGATGTAAACCGGTAAGTTGGTAACTTCTTTATGTTACTGGATTGATAAATAACCACGTCCCGTCTGATGGTTAATCCTTTATGGATGATAATGGAATGGTGCACCTGTCAGCGCTAACGATTAACGGCTTCATCCTCCACCAGTGGAGGATGATAAGATGAGCTAGGTCAGGTCAGTCAGTCTATCGTGTATCAATAATTCCTGATGTATTTACACCAGGAATTCCTGATGGTTAATATAAACCGTATCTGTTATACAGAACTAGGAATTTCACTTGTCATCCGAGGCCTGTAGTACACAGGTGTTGTAATTTCGGAACACTAAGATCCAATTATAATTCTCTAGCACGATGAATTAAATAGCTGTAAAATAATATGTAGTAGAACAATGAACCTAAAACTAAAAACTAAAAAAATATAATATAATAACTAAAATATATAAAAGGACCCTTTAGGTCCTGAAGATACTGGCAGCGTTCCCCCTTTGAATAGCTAGACTAATTCTTGGTCCGAGGTAGCTGGCAGCTCTTCGGTCTTCTGCTATGTCGAATTAAATAATTAAATAGAAATATTGGGATAGAGTTACATATTCTCGTGATTATAAATCACGTAAACAAACTAGTGCTTTCATTACTATCTTTGAATGAAACAACAAAAAATAAACTTATCTGGTTTCCGTATATATTGTAATATGTAATTATTATATTTATTTCCTGAAAAATATTTTGTTAAAACATCTAAACATTTTAATGTAGTATAGGTACGTTAAATGAAATGAAAAATGAAAAATGAAAATATACGTAAAGTTAGTTATTTTATAAAAGAGGCAGTAAGTCTATGTTTCTGCGAAATATATGTCAATTGTAAAAATCTATATATATAGTGCGCGATATTAACACTTGCGGAATATAGGCATACCCTAGCACGTCATAGAGAATTACAGTATTGTTTGTTATCGTGAAAATTGTGTTACTAACTTATTAGGTAGGTTGCGGACCGTTCCTATTTTAAGACCGTTATCATCGATAATGTGATGGATTGGATAAATCAATGATCTGGTGGATAAAGATATAATAGGTTCTGGGATAGCAGGTACATAGGGTGAGTGGATTTATAGATGAATGACACTTTCTATTCGATCTACTAATTATATATATTCTATTATATAAAGAGATAAAATATTTTAGTAAATTCAGAAAGAAAAATATATTGTCACTTTTTACAACAAATCCACTCATCCTATGTACCTGCTGTCCCAGAACCTATTATATCTTTATCCACAAGATCATTGATTTATCCAATCCATAACATTATGGCGATGATATTTCATTTTTCTATAAGTCTGGAAAAGGTTACATAGAAACAGTCACGTAACACACACAGATAATTTATAATATTATATAAGTATAGATAATTAATTAGATTATAGGTCAGGATAGGTACTTTATTATTTTAATCATTAAATTATTATTTTTATATGTATCTATATATTTCTACCTACGATAGTTATTTCAAGAAGCCTAAAGAAGAAAATGGCTATAATTGGAATTATTGTCTTCTTTAGAACTTAATGGAGGTACAGAGTAATCGGTCACTGATAAATTTTCACTTGTCGCTACTATTAATCACAGCTCCGAACGAATACCTACTACATAAACAGAAAAGACTGTCAGTACATTAGCCGAGTACTGCCGAAGCTGTTATCCGAATGCCGAGAAATCTGAGCTCGGTGTAAATAATACAAACTATGGAAAATCCACTGTAATTCTTTATGCTTAAAGTCTAATTTAAAAAAAAATAAGATTTGATTTAAGCCATTATTGCACTAGGTGTGCGATATGACGTCATTATGACCTAGAGTTCGATGCGCCGCCCGCGGCGTGTGGTGACTATCGTCCCATACCATTATCAAACTCGAATAAAAATCACTTTATAGGATGTCAAGAATATTATATTATTTCCCAACTGACACTACCATTTTATTTATATGTATAGATATATAGATATGTAATGTATTTTCTTTTAAGAATGATAATGGAATGCACTCGCCTGCGCTATCGGTTTACGCTGGCGGGGGACCAGTGAAGGATAACAAAATGAGCATGAGGTCAGGTCAGTTAGCCCATCGTGACAATTTCACCAGGATATTATCACGATGGTTTCCAGGAGGAACCGCGTGGAGATCAACCTGACATGGTACATTGCTAGCAATGGGGACATTAAGCAACATTACTAACAATCACCCTTCCGTAATGTATTGTTGGAGTAAACCTTGTTGGGACCTAATAAATTAAAAAATAAGAAAATTCTCAATTAGGAGTGACAGTACAACGTCGGATTTGGAGAAATTCAAAAGGTTCTTGATCCGGACTGTGTCCAAACAGCGCCAGCAGCATGTGCCCGAAGACGTCCTATGGGAACAACTGCAGAACGGCAGCAAATGTGATTGTAAATTGATATGGTGAGTATATTTGTCTTACACATTATTTAGAATAATATATTTTTTTATATACTGTTTTAAAGATTGCAAAATCACACAGGACCTTTCCACGTTTTATTTTTATTGAATTCCCGGTATTTTGGCAGTGTTTCAACCGCCATGATCAGGGTAAAACACTGCCGAAATATCGAGATATAAAAATCATATAAATAAAGAAAATATAATATAACTAGGTGTGACTTCGTCGCCGTGTAATAGACAGCGAATTACGAATTTCTATACAACCTTCATGCCCTATTTTATTTTAAGGGTAACATTTTTACAAACTTTGAATGTCGTATTTATATATATTTGAACAACAGCGTAAAAAATATTTTCTTTTATCTCTCCTTTAAAACACTTACAACCCTTTTTTCGCATTAAAAAATAGCTTATGTCCTTTCTCAGGGTCTGACTATCTGTGTACCAAATTTCATTTAAATCGGTTCAATAGTTTTGGCGTGTGAGTAAGCACGACAAACATACAAACAGAGCTACTTTCACATTTATAATATTAGTAAGGATAAATATATCAAAACTTACTATATCAGCTATGGAAGACAGAAGTCGTGCACAGACATTTTTAAGCTTTAACAGCTATGAAAACTTAAGTAAATTACTTAAATAAGTAAAAATGGTGTAAAAAATCTAAATAAAGAATTTTTATTTTAAATTATTTACTAGATGACTTTGAGTCAGACTTTTCCCGTTATTATAACAATTTCAATTGCAACTCTACTCCTATAGATCGAAGCGTGATGTGATAGAGCCCATACCTTCGATAAATGGACTATCCAACATTAGGTAAAAGAATTTTCAAAATAGGAATCAGTAGTACGGGAACATTCAAACCAGGGATGTTAGGGAGCTCCGTAACCGTAACCGAAACTATCGGATATCCGATATAAAAAAATATCCGTAACCGTAACCGAATCCGAAATAAGAGTTCGGATAATATCGGATAGCGGCGGAGCCTTATTGAGACACGTTATGTAACCATTTTATTAGCTATTTGTATTTTCCTTTTGAAATTCATTAAAAAATTAATATCTGTAACCGAAATTATCCGAAACTAATCCGAAATAATTTAATATCCGCATCCGTATCCGTATCCGGTATAATAATCATTACTATATCCGGAACCTATCCGTATCCGAAATTTCATATCCATAACATCCCTGATTCAAACTGACAAATTTTACATTTTTATAATTAAATCTAGACAATATATGTGTAGAGATATTCCTGTATAGGTAAAAACGATTATCAATTAGGGTGCCTTTGGCTCTACTCTTAAAAAAAAAGTAGCAAACCCTATAACTCATTAATTGGGTTTTGCTATTGTTTTTCCATCGGCATAGAGTGTTTTTTATAGCACAGAGGAATTGCAAATGCATTGTCATCCTTTTAAGAAGGAATAATCTCTTTTCTTGAATGTTTCAATATCGTATCGGTTAGGAAATACCATTGCTGGAAGATGAGTCCACAATGTAGTTGTGTGTGGCAAAAAGTTTCTAGAAAAACTGTGGAGGATTATGGAGGACCGCTATTCATCGCATATCGATGAATAGCGGTCCTACATCATCATATTTCATCATCAGGATATTTTAGTATCTAGCTGGCGGTACGGCGGTGAAACTCAGCAGCTGGTATTATTAATATTACGAACGATGTTCTCGGGAAATAGTTTAGTTTGTATTAATTTGTTTCAGGGATCGAATGAGAACGTTAACAATAAAGCGATTAAAACGCTTACTGATAGCGGCGGATAATCAGGATAATATCTCGTCGAAAGCGCGCATGACGCTTACAGATTGGATAATGTTCGATTTCATACTTGTGCACGAGGATATCGACTTTACCGGCGTGGTAATAAGGCCCTTTTATATGTTTTTTATGTAATTGCAATGGCAAACAAGCTGATAGACCTGATGCTGTCACATGAGAATTTATATTATTAGATGATGAACAGCATCAAAGAATATACGTTCTCATGTGACATGCCATTCTAAGGAATACTAAGAAAAGAAGAAATTCGTTTGAATTTCTTACAGTTCTTACAAATTAAATATGTACCTATACTGAACTGGACGATTTCGATTTTGCCAGGCCTCTTATAACTTCTATGTCTAATTTCACTCTACAACCGAAGTTTAAGCTTATAAATATAAATAAAGCAATTTGCTTGACGGTGGCAATTGTTAAATAGGTGAAACTGTGCCACTCACGCAAACGACTTTTTAGTGAATTTACTTTAGGAGTTGGTCAGCTTAGATACAGATAAGAAAGAGAAAGTCATTGTTTCAGGACCTTAACTTGAAGTCGGAACCTGTGTGTCTATTGGAGCTGTTTACATTGGTGCAGCGGTTCGACGTGGAAGGTCGTTCTGGAAATGAGCTGGCTTCTGCCTGGACAGCTGCCACTGTATACTACAATAGCCGGTAAGTGAAGTGCCAACAGATTTAATGATGAAAGGTTTATAGATACATAATGAAGATATTATATTTTTATAGTGATTAAACAATATATGAAGATATACTTTTAATCAAATTATACAGATGTATAATATGATATTTTTTCCGATTTGTGTCTGATGTAACTTGGCGTCCAGCTGCGTGACCCTCAATGTCCAGTTACTCGTGGTCCGTATGTAGTTGACAATTATTATTATTTAATTTATTTGGGATATGTATCCATATTATGTTAGTTATAAACTTATAAATTATGTTAGTAAATTACAATTTTATTCATAAAATTCATACATTTATGTCTATGTCCACGTCCAGAAGCCCTGGGTCCTCAGCAATGCAGCGATATCCAGTTCCCCTGGACAATCCGTCATATTGGATATGGTGTTTAGGAGGCTGTACAATGTCCTGCTCCTTTTATTAATGAATACAAATGTTTGCGGCAATGAGAAGTTATTCCACCGAGGTTCAAATAAAGATTATTTCAATTTTTAGAGGACGGCAGTGCTCCCCGATGCTGTTGCAGCGTCGTTGGTACCAGATGAAGATGTTGGCGCGTGACAAATTCTACAATTTTTGGTACGCTTACCGCGGCACCCAGAAATATTTAAACGACGCTCGCACTCAACACGCACCCACTAAACTACAAACTGCAATTGTGAGACGGTAAGACTCACTGTTTATATAGTGGTACGGTAAGATTATAATCATACTAGCTGTGGCCGCAGTTTCATTCGCGTGAAATTTATAGCCTATATGTTATTCCGATGTATAAGCTATATTACTGTAAAGTTTCATCAAAAACCGTTCAGCAGTTTTTACGTAACAAACATTTTCACAAACTTTCAATTAGAAATCTAGTATTTCAATAATATTATAAAATATTATAAAGATATAGATTTCTAATTCAATTTAAATATAGAATAATTTAAGATATAGAAATCTATATCGTTATAATATTATTAAGATATAGATTTCTAATTGGATGAATATGGAGTGGTGTTCCCGCCTGCGCTAATGGTTTACGCTGGCAGAGCACCAGCGGAGGATGTTAGAATGAACATGATGGACCAACTGCAGGCAGTTTTACCAGGAATTTATCATTATGGTTCTCAAGGAGAACCACGTAGAGCGTAACCTGATTTGGTATATTACAAGTGAGTGATTAAATGATTATGCGATGATCGCGGGTTCGAGTCCTCGCACGTTACTTTAATTTGTATTCATGAGTATAATTTTTTGTATCAATCTGGGAATGGGGTAAAATAAAATATTAAATTATATGGTAGTATTTGACCTGGAAAACGTATTTTGTTATATCAAATATTTCTGGATAGAGCCACCCTTATCTATGTCCTAGAGAATAGGGCTATACCCCTAGATTCCAGGTATATAAAAAATAGCGTAATCTATTCTCGAATCTACTAAAAATACCAAACCTTTCATAAAAATCGTAATCGTTCGATACAAGACACAGTTTTTTTTTATATTGATTTTCGCTAATTTTATGTATCTTTGTGTACAGTGCATATTCCTTTTCAGGTATCCCCATACAATCACCATGCCTTTCATTCCATGGGAAGAATTAATAAAAAAACGCTTTGCGATATTACCTGACGAGTTTGTAAGTGAACTACATACCATATTATGTACTAACTGTTACCTGTGACTTGTCCGAGTGGAATTAAAATATACACAAATGCATGAGTAAATAGCTGTATACATTTAAAATTGGAAATCCTAATCAAAGAGGAGATATTTGAGATCAAAGTGGCCAGTACGATACGCCAATTTCAAATATTAAGACCTAATACTATAGTATGGTATACCATGTGCGCTGTAGTGTGGTGCGGGTGACAGTTTCATTAACGTTTCGTTTCACTCTTAAAAGCTGCCGCGATTTACAAATTATGACTTAGTATTTCAGCTGTACCACATTCTTATATATTACGTGTTGTAGTAATAAGAAAGAAGACTAGGTATACGGAGAAAATATATTAATAATAGAGAACTAACATATTGACAACAGAAAGAATGAATTGAAGTATCAAAAACAAGAATGTAATATAAAAGAACTATAAATTCAAATACAAATTTAGAATATAAAATACATATCGGATTAGCCAGTTACAACATTACGAATGCGGTACAGCAATTAATATCTGTATTCACTTAAATGTAATTGTTAAATGTAAAATTAGTAACTGTCACCCGCACCATGTTACAGCGCACACAGTATAGCTGTTTTTTCCCAAACAAAAAAGGAAACGTTACCACTACTTATTCTTTGTGGTTGTAGCCCACTCATGAATAATCGAAATATCTACTTTGGAATATACACTCTATCCTGAGGAGATAAAAGCCATCGCTTCTAAGAATATCCTTCAATTCTTGTCCCTCACGGGTCTAGGTAACGAGCTTTGAAAAAGGGTGAGCACAATAGTTCTATGCAGGTCGCAGTGTTGCACCTGACAATAGACCAAAACCCCAAAAAAAATGTACTAGCTAGAACTCAACTCTAGTGTGGTTTTAAAATAAATAAATTTTCTAAAATAAAAGTTAGTTACTTCTTATAATATTAGCTATCTGTGAATGAATCCCGTCAAAATCGGTCAGGCCGGTGCAGAGATTAGCAAGAACAAACAGACAGAACTAAGAAAAAATTATTTAAATCTTATCTTATTATTAATAATAATAAGATTTTACTAGGATTCATATCTTGTTTTTTTTTCAGGCAGTGAAAATGAGAACGTTGAATAAAGCCTCTGACCTTCCCAAACCGCTTGATGGTAAGTAAGTAAGTAGGTATTAACAACATATTATTAAACTTTCGTGTTTAATATACATTATTTATATTGTTAACTGGGTCTTAACGCGTATAATTTTATGGTAAACTAGCTGTAACCTCGACATCGTTATAAACTTTAACTTTATTTTTTAATAATAAATTTTACTGGGATTCATATTTTGTTTTTTTTTTCAGGCTACTTGAAAAAAAGTTGAATCAAAATCGGTCTGACCATTTCAGAGAACCGTGCTGATGTAATAAGGAGTAACAACATATTATTAAACTGTGTGACTGTAATATACATTATTTATATTGTACCATGGGTGACCTTAACGCGTATAATTTTATGGTAAACCATCTGTAATTCGACATGAATTTATCACGATGGAATTTAACTTTATTTTTCATGTTCATCTTATCATCCTCCACTGGTGCCCCGCCAGCGTAAACCGTTAGCGCATGGAAGCATTGCCAAAAAATTAAAAAAAAAAAATCGGTCCAGTAACTTTCTACTAGATTAGCCTAGCTGACTTTTATTTTAGAAAAATAAGGTTAAATTTTTCTATAAAATATATAAATGTATAAATTATTTGTGATTAAAAGCAAGAATTACTCAAGAGTGTCGTTTAATCCATAAAAGCAGAAACAACAACCTAACGACATTTTGTACAAAACAATCTATTGAGCAGTAACAACCTGATAAAATAAATATTGTAAATAACAAGTGAAATGAACTTTAAATTTATAATGCATAAAGATTATTCCAAAGAGTTCCAATTCCTAGAGCCACTTTAGGATCCGCAGCTAACGTTTGACCTTAACCGTTTTAAAAGTTTTCAACAGGCAGGACATATTATACTTGGTGGTGGCTTGCGGTCCATAAAGACTAGTCATATATGTAAAGATGCATAACATCTCGGAACCGCATATTTAATTCGGCATGTATGAAGAATTATTAAAGTAAAAAAGACTTGATATTTTGTGTTGTAGGGCGAAGTCCCCTAGTGGCGGACACCTAAGGTTTTTATAAAAAAAACAAAAAATATTGTAAGGAATGTTTATTTATTTATTACTAATAATACATAACAAAGTTAGAAATCAAATTAAATTAAAAAAAAGACAACCTCAGCTTAAAAATAATTAATATTATCAATCAAACTTGGATAATAAAAAATGTAATTTATAAAAGTGGCACCTAGTACCGGACATTTCAAAATAGCCTGCATCGATCACATATGTAGCCATCTACACACTCTGGAACGTCATTACATGGTTCATGTACCGTACACGATAGGATGATCACTGGATCCAGTCTTTGTCAGTGTCTTCTAAACAAATTATGCAATTGTTGTGGTTGTGTTAGATGTAGTTCTACTTTATTTCCATTTTTTCCATTAGACTTTACGTTTTTCGCTTGTTTTCCCTTGTCTACGCTCTTTCCTTTGGTATGCTTTCCTTTTTCATGAGTGGCATACATCTGTTAGATAAATCTTTAACGTGGTCCATCAATCCTTGTTCACAACAATATTTGTATACTTTCTTAAACAGTAGGAGTGTCCGGCGCTAGGTGCCGTCCGGCGTTACGGGACTTCCCCCTAACAATATATTATATAATATTAAACTCTGCCTACCGTATATGTCTGGAATGAAGGTGTAAACATAGGTAAGGTTAGCGCATATATAAGACATTTAAAACTTTAGATAAATTCATACATTTCAGAAAACGCTCCAGATCTCATAAGAGTGGAACCAGAAATAGAAGTATTAAATATTAGAGTAGATTCCGAATCTGAAAGTGAATATGACGAAAGCGATTTGGTTGCTGAGGCGAACAAAATATTGCCTACAACTGAAAGAAATAATGACGCTATTATCGCAAACTCAACACTCACAGAAACTGATTCTGATGTTTCTAAGTCGTCAATTTATCAGATGATCAATGTTAAAGACGAAGTACTCGAAATAAAAACAGAGGAAATAGACGTTCTAACTGAATTATCCCATTGCAAAGACTTAGAAATGACCCCTATAACTACAACAAATGATAACGTAAAATGGATTAGCATCCCTGGCGAAAACTCTCTAAAAGATGCTGATAAATCACTTAATGAAGGAGAACTATCTGCTGCTGATTGTTCTATAAACGAATACCCGACTGGCTGTCCGAAAGAGGAAATTTCTATTGATATATGTGTCAAAAGTGAACCTGCTAGTACCGAAATTACTACAGAATCTGATGTTTCAAAGTCGTCAACTTCTCAGATATACAACGTCAAAGTCGAACCGCTGGAAATAATAACAGAGGGAACAGAGGCTCTGGATAAATTATCCAATTGCAAAGACTGGGCAATGAACCTTATACCTATAACAAATGATAATGTAATCGATAGAATTAGCATCCCTGTTAAAAACTCCTTTAATATCGGTGAAATAGTTAAGGAAGAAGAACAAGATTTTACTGTTTTTAGTGATATACGTCTCAAAAGTGAACCTCTTAGTAACGAAATTCATACTGCTATTTCGGAACCGATAGTTATGCCGTTTATAACTAATGTTTTAGGAAATGTTCATATGGAAACCGAAACTTTATCTAACATTTGTAACATTCTAATGGTTAATGATGCGTTGGAAGCACCTGGTATTGAACAGCCAATATTAGCAAAGCAGGAAAAAATAGTAAGTAATGAAATACAAGAAATTAATTTATCAAAAGATACCATAACCAATATTGATCTAAATAATTCTCTGAATACTACTACTCAATACAGTAATAATACTCCATACAGTATAAGCGATCTTAAAGAAGATATACCAATAAATGTAACTTTAATGGATAAGAATATAAAAGTTGTCGCTCACAATACAGTACTAAATAGCGTTGCCCGTACCTGTAACGAAGAAGATGTTCATGATGATGATGATTTATTTCTTAATAGCTCTAGTAAAAGTTTTGACTCTACTGATTGCAAAAACTATAAAACATCGGAAAAAATGAAAGTTAGCATATCTAGTAGTTTATTCCAAAAACCACGCACACGAATTTATAATTTCATAAACCTATGTAAAAATCCTGATTTTAATACTAGATTAAAAAAATTAACCATAGGATTTTTAAGATCTACACGTAATAGACAATTACTAAAGGCTTGTAAGCCAATTACTATAGATGTAAACAAAGTTTTTGAAATTAAACTTATAAATAATATTATGTATTTAAGGGCGTCCACTGTGCCAAACACAGTAAATAATATTGAAAAGGAATTTCGTAATGTAGGTGAGAAAATTAAGAGTCTTGTTCCATCTGCCTTATTGTCTGTTAATAATCTAATAGATAGCACCAAAATGAATATGCAGGATGTATCAAATATTATAAGAAATTCAGCTGATCCACAACAATACCCTCTTATTACAGAATGTGTTACTGATGTTCCTAATATAATTTATAAATCACCAAAAGATTCTGATAACCAGTATAGCAATAATGTGGATGCGCGAAAAACTGTTTCTGTTGATACACAATTAAAAGAAAACTGTTCTTCTAACTCAGACAAAGAAGATGTTAGTATGAAAGATAGCACTTTAAATACAATAAAAAAACGAAATGTAGTCGACAAATCCATTGTTTCGTGGGTACCAAGATTCAGAGCTCCAGTTAACTGGTCACGTACAAAGTTCACATATCCAAAAAAGACGGATACACTTTTGACTGCAGATGCACTTAATAAAATGCTTAAAATATTTAGCCCTGATGGGCCACAAGTACCTGTTAAGAAGTACAAAAGAAATAGTAAAGTAACGAAAGTTTTTAATTACCAACAGTCTGAATTACAGCAAGAATTAGACGACTTCGAAAGGTTTTTAAAAAATAGTGGGTCCAATGTTACTTGTAAAAATGAAAATTATATTTCCAGTAAAGTCAATAATTTTCATGTTCCTCTCGAGTCATCAAAAAGTAGCAAACTAAATACTGATAGGTATGTAAATAAATCCGGTAAATATTGCTGTTGGGCTCGTGAGAAAATAAATAAACCTCGATCAAAATCTATTCAGAAACATAACCATCCGGTAAATAAATGTTCCTGTTGTTGTAAAAATGATTTGGATATTATAATAACTAAGAAAAAAAAATCTAATAAGTCAAGTATTATAAGATCACTTCGGTCACACAAAAAATATAAAAATATAAAAAATAAAAAGGGTGTTAAGAAAATTATTTCTGGAGTGATAAATAAAAATACTATCGATACTGCGTCTTCTAAAGTGAAATTATCAACGTCAGCTATGAACAACTCACCTGTAGACTTTCCTGATACACAAGTATTATATTCTGTTCCTATTGAAAGACTATCAAACAGCAATTCTATCAAAACTGGAGTTCCAAATATATGTAAAGATTCTTCGAAGTCAACTACATATTGTAGTATATATATTGACGACAATGGAAAACAAAAAATACAATTCATTATTGATAGCACAAAGAACTTAAAATTGCTCAATTCGATGAATTTTTATTACGGTAATAACAAAGTAACTGTATTGGGTAAAGATACAGAATGTCCAATATATTTAGAAAAAAAGCAAATATTACTAACTGATGTTAAATTTCCTCTTGGTAGAACTGAGCATAAACAAATTGATAATGTTGATCAGCAAAAAATAAGAAAAGATACATTACGCGGTATATTTAAAACTGAGAACCTTAATACATGTGCAAATTTGTCTGACAATAGTATTAGTAGTAGTACACGAATAATTAATTGTAATTTGAATGAACAGACTATCTCATCAGAAGAAAATCAACATGGAAGTGATCATTCAACTGAACACGTAATTGATGTAAAGAATTATCAGTTTTCGAATATAGATTACGACAAATCAATCGTAAGTAATGTTATTATTACCAGTTGTCACGGCGATAATATCACTTTAGAGGGAAATAAGCCGTCTGATTCCGTAAAAGAAATATTCATACATAATCCAACAACTATAGACGAGAATTCTGAAAGTAAATCAGTACGTATAATTGTTCAACGAATTTTAGAAAAAAATCTAACAGGTAAAGATGACAGTTCAGGACTACAAAACATAGACTTATCATCTCATTCTAATGGATTTTATTGCAACCTGGAATCCAGTTTAATGAACGGAAATGAAGTAGATGTACAGACTGCAGAAAACGAATTAGAACAAATAAAAATAGTCAAAGAAGACTCAAGTAACAATGAGCATGATACAAAAAAATGTATATTATCAGACCTTATGGAAATGTCGGGTATTTTAGATGAAGATGCTTCCTCTATACCTGTTGATATGGTACAAGAGTCTGTTACAGTACAACCGCAAAACATGGTTACTGATGTACCTAATACCATTGTTTTAGATGAAGATGGTTCCTCTATACCTATTGATGTGGCACAAAAGTCAGTTACAGTACAATCTCAAAATATGGTTACTGATGTACCTAATACGATTGTTTTAGATGAAGATGGTTCCTCTATACCTTTTGATGTGGCACAAAAGTCAGTTACGGTACAATCTCAAAATATGGTTACTGGTATACCAAATAGCATTGTTGAGTGTCCGTTGTATTTAGTATTATCATTCCCAGAATTAAATTATGCCTGTGAAAAGAATGGTAAATTCTATAAGTATGATTTAGAAACAGGACAGGTATCTGAAACCAATATACTAATTATGAAAGATTCAGAAAATTCTGAAGAACAACAAAAGAAGTCAGAAACACATGTAACAAATAAAAATGATGATACAAGTAAAAATAAACGCAAACAAAGGAACCTGAGAAAAATGAATAAAAACGTAAATGTTTCAACTAATATAAGTCAAGCGAAACCATTAATACAGATCAAAGTACAAAGTACAAAAAAGAAAAAGAATGGAAGAAAACCCAAAGAAGAACAAAGAAAACTATCGGACACGGCACAACAAAGATATACAGTTAAGAGACGGAAGAAACAACATGCTGATGATAGTCAAGTTGGCTCTTCTGACGATGAACCACTTGCAAAAAGAAAATTAAGACCAAATAATTTAAAGGAAAATACAGAAGTTGACATTGAGGCGCAAAGCATTTCTAATGAGAACTCAAGTCTAACATCGGATTTCGTGAATATGTTACCAAGTGTAGCGAACAGTATGGAATTAAGAACAGCTCCATCACTCTCCTTAACATATGACGTCGATATGTCGCAAGAGGGCTGTATTTTAGGCCTTTAAGCTATGGTTAAATCTAATAAAAAAAGTAGGGGAAATCAAATATATCCCGAGTCTTCATAGCATACCCGTTTAATTTTTTAGTGTGTTAACCCACTGAAATAAAATAATACTATATCACATAAGGATAAACAAATTGTAACATAGACAAAAATACTAATAATCATTCTATTGAGTTCCAATAGGTTGATAGTCTCCTTAAAACTGTTAAAACAAGAGAATTTAAGAGAGAATACAGTAGTTAACATGAATGCGGTAAAATAGATTTTCTTGATTTAACTAGAAGCCCTATCAAAGAATGTGGAGTTAGTTACAAAAAAGTAAAGAGAGGCTAGAAAATGTTACATATGTATGGTAAAACGTGTTTTCTAACAAAAATAGGTGTTTTGTGATTTATTCAAATACTTTTTTATTATTTTGAAACATAAGAACAGCTTCCACAAGTAGTTTTTTTTTTAATAATACTTAGTGTATAGACTCGTGTCACTTACGATTTTATTATAGGTATGTACCTATCATTTACTGATTTCCAATAGAAGTAAATACCTAAGTATAGTTTCCTGCGGGAGTGAAATTAGATACTTTTAATATTTAAGTTATAATTACTACCAAAATGTGATAATTTGTTTGTAAGATATTTTTATTGTCAAAAGTAAAGTGTAAATTAATTATATGAATATAAATGCAATAGTATTTTTATTAATAATCCTGATTCGCCAACCAGTGCCAAGGTAAGCAGAACTTTTTTTTATTGTACTAGGGTGGCAAACAAGCATACGGTCCATCTGATGGTAAATGGTTACCGGAGCCTGACTGAGACACCAGACGTGTGTACGCAAATGTGTCCGATTTTCAGTTTTTCATGTGCTTTGTTCTTCGCGTGGAAAAATATATGGCATACTAGCTGACCCGCGCAACTCCGTCTGCATCACACTAACTAGACATTTATTATTATACATATTTCGAACAATTTACATAATAGCCTGTGTGCTGACCTGAGGTATCAGCTTTTTCGGACTACTCTAATGCTGTTGGCCGCAGCTGACCTTTACAGCTTCACCGGACGTTAGGGGGCGAGTGCAGATGGCACTCCAAACCCGCGGAAGGACTTATGGAGCGGCTGAAGGCCAACTCCTGCCTGACGGATACAACTTTAGTCTGAGGGCACCACTAGGGGTTCGAACCTCGGCTCAGGCCGTCGTAATTTCGATCCCCGTTTGAATTGGACGGGGGATTGATCGGAGGGGACATAGTACTGTAAAGATTCGTTAAAATCCGTTTAGTAGTTTTTGAGTGAAGGAGTAACAAACATCCATTCGATAAGTACGTAACATATCTATACGTAAGTAGAACGCAACACAGAGCCGAGTATGCGCGTTACTAGTGAAAAAAAAAACAACTTTTTTTATTATCTATCACCCGGATGTTTTGTTTATTAAGACCTAAAAAGTAACATCCATTTGTTAACAATTTTAGTATACTACCAATTATTATTGTTGTAGTTTTATCGCGTCAACAGAAAAAAAAATTTTACTTTATTGAAAATAGTTTTCCTTTTACCAATACACGTATAAAATAAAACTACAACAATTATAACAATAGTAACAATGCGAGTAGACAAAGCACCATCTGAGTGCTAAGTAGGGCTGTACACAACTTACTATTATTACTAATTAACTTAAATTTAACTTACTACTAATTTTGTAATATAGATAGAAAACATCTAGACAGATACAAATAAATATTCGTTATAACAAATGTTTGTATAGGAGTAATAGAACCCGCGGCTATCGGAAGTAGGTGTGCCAAACCGATAGAGCATCAAGGCCGTCGAAAATGTGATATTGGTAACACTCAACGCGCCTGCGCGGTGTTCTCGCATGGAACTTGGAACTACCGACCGAACGCTATATGTAAATGTATAGTTATATTTTTTATTATTATATCTAACCAGTTTAGAAGCGTCATGCGATAAGCCCCTGCAGTAATACCTGATCGGGGGTTTGCTCCCTAAATTTGGGGAATTGAGCAGCGATGGAAGAGTAAGTAATTTCGCGGCAGAGCTGTTAATCTAGATTAAAATAGACGTAAGTATCCGCTCTAAAACTGTGGCAAAAAAAATCATATATGTAGAAGTATGGTCACGCTCTACTAATTCAATACTTATTTATTGAGTGAAAGAAGGATTTCATCTAGCAACACTAAGACCCAAGTCGGTCGCGAACACAAACGTCTGTTTCCACGTCCTACTAAGTGGGGAATGGAGAGTTTGTGAGTTACCGACCGGAGTCCCCTACCATTAGCCAACATTTATAATACGTAACTCGAAAAATTCTCACTTATTAAAATTTTGATATTTACATTCAATATATTTTCAATACAATTATTATACTAACTGAATCTATCGACGTAAGATAATAATAAATTGTCATTAGTGATGAATATTTAAGTTACCAGTTTATATTTTTATTAGGCGTATTTTATCTTTATTGAGTTTCACTGCTATTGTTACACTAAAACTAGGTAACTATGCAACTAACTTGAAAAATTATCTTTAAACCAGCAATTATGTATATCATATAATGTATAAATTAATAATCGAACTCTAGTACTATAGTAGGTACCTAAATTGTTTTCAAGCGAGTTGGTGAACGCTTTCAATTAAAATATAATTAGAGATTAATAATCTAAAATCTCTTTCTCAAAAAAAGATGCGTGGTCTTAAATTTCTCAATTATTGATGTTGATGTCTTGATAAATAATAATACTTATAAATTTGTACATCCTATATTGGGAACCTACAGAGTTTTAATAGATTTCGCTTTCATTTACAATAGTCGGAAATCGTGTAATGCCTACTTATAGTAGGGGTCCTCTATGAATTCTATTTTAATAATGCAGTGTGTAAATGATAATTTTAACGTTACGATAATAATAATGTCAGTGTTTTTTCCTATAAGTAATTATCTATTTTTTACAAGATAGGTGATTTAACAAACATATAAATAATAGTTGCCTACTTACTACTTTATTTCTTTGGTAGTAGTACTATTATATATAGATACATATAATATTATAGAATAGACTATATTGATACTAAATATCAAATACATGCGTTCTAGTCAACGTCTGGAGCACAAGTGATTGTTCTGAAAGGAAAATAACAGAGCAAACCAGTCACAAATACCAAACAAACCTGACAAGTCGATTTCAACCGACCTATGCAATCGTTTGTCTCGCTTGTTCACTGCTTCTCCCCCTACAGAGAGAACGCTATCAGTCCTTCCCTTTCTTACTCATGCATCCGTCTTGTTTCTGAACCCAACGAAATAAAGATTTCGCCATTTTGTGTCCATTTGTCGATGAGTGCGAAGCGCCGTAGAAAAATGTTTTGTAACTGTGAATAGTTATAGTGTATTATTATATTGATATTAATTCTTAATGTGATCGAGTATATTGTGTAAGGTAATATAGTTTTATATTATTGTGTTGCATTAATGTATGAAATCCATACTTTAATATTTTTCACCGCGTGACATACCTACAAATAGGTATTTGTTTATTCTAGTAATTATCATTTATACATTGTAATTACCCAAGATCGGATATGTCCGTAATGTTCTCAGGGCAAAGTTAAATTAAATTGTTAATATAAGAAGGTTAATTTGTTATATATTTATATATTTTTTTCATAAATCAGCAGAATACGTTCACTGCACTGGGCTGCTCACTAACGTCTGCTTTTTATCGATACGTTGAATCACGGGGTTGCCAAGTATGATATATATATTTTTTTTTTTATTTTAATAGATACATCTCAAAATAAAGTATATAGATTATTTATAGATATAAAAGTATATATCCAAGTGTTTTACGTTCGACCTTGTAGCATTGTGTAATTAATTAAAAAAGAAAACGAAATGTCGTGCGTGCGTACTTACTGATTGGGTGTTCATTTCCTTCTGCCATATTGCGCTGCGCTTCAGTGTCAGTGTTGCCAACTGTAATATTTAATTATGATTGTATTATTGGATTGAATTTATCTTAATTAATTTATTAAGATTATTTTACTTATAATACTGTGACAATAGTTAATATTAGGAAATGAAATTATACTAATTAATAATATAAATATTTAATAAAATATTTATATTATTAATCAGTATTTGTATTATTAATAATTATTGCCTTGTAAGTAAAATATTACTTACAAATATTGATAGTACATCTACTACATTTTAAAAAGTTATTATGAGAAATTAGATAGAAGAATGATTCGAATGACAACATCGCAGCCGTAATATCATCGTTTTTATAAAAATAACAGGCATAAGAGTGATAGAGCCTTATATTTAAATATAAGGCTATAATTATCGTATATTTCTTCGCATATAATTATCTATGTAAATACTATATATAATACTATTATTATAATATTTTAGATAAAGGCAAGTGTGACAAATATAACTTGATCGTTATACTTAGGTAGGTATAGAATATTCTATTTCAAATAATATATACAATATTGTTTCTAGATCTATTAAAATAAAATATATATATGAAGAAACATGATAAATGGCAACATGGTGAAACAACCAATCGTTAAGAAACAGACGTAAGTGAGCACCCCAGTGCAGTAAACGTGTTTTGATGATTTCTGCTAGAAAATATGAAAATATACATTGAATTTATTTTTTATATTAGAAATTAAGTATTTCTAGAGTCACAAATAAATTTATCAACAGTATACTGGATGACATTGTTTATCGTCCAGCAAAAGTAGTAGCATAATAAGTATATTAAAGCGATTCTATTTAAGTATTGTCGACTATTGCTGCTTGCGCTGCGAGTTGATAATTATCTATTTATTGAATGGAAAGAAATAGGTGAGTTTTACTCAGGAATGGAACATTGTCATCATATTGATTATAATGTCAATAATAGGTTGTTTGTATCGCATTTATTTGTAATTATTCGATACTGCGTTATTCGGAATAACAATAAATTGTAACTGTTTCTTTGTAAACCGATTAGAACATAATGAACACTCAATGTTACCGGAAGCTAACTACAATACACCATTAAAAATCGCAATCAAATCGATTAAACGTATTTCTGTTGTTTAAAAAATATTCTTTGACAACGCCAATATAAGTGTATAAACATATTTCTTCACATATAATGTGTAATACATAATTTATTATCAGTATGATTTACAAAGGACGTATTTCCTATTTCTACCTCTTATTTCATTTTTCCCGAGTTAATTTTAATTTACAAGTATGGTTTAGAATCCTCTTGGCTGTATGTACCTCTATCATTTATGACAGATGTATGATGTATTTGTTTTTAGTATATGTTCACCAATACTCTAGAAGTATATATATATACAAAATCACGGTCATATCCAATAGTTTAATTATTTTTTTCCTGTAAAATATCTAAAACCCGTATTTTTTCATTGACTGTACAATGAAGAAGTAAAAGGTGGCAACACTTGCTGTAGCATACAAACTTGTTAAGTTGGGCTAAAAAGGACCTGTTTCCAGAGTCTTAAAACATATTAATAAAAAAAAGCATTACAAATAATATTATAGAAGGTCAATATGATTACGATGTATAGAATTTTATTTTAAAATTTCGGATACAGAATGTATCTGTACATTTTATTGAATTGACATTTTATTACTTCAATATAATACTCGTAATTAAGAATAAAAACTAGTTTGTATTAGATATTGTACTTCGGTATGTTACTAAACTAACGGTGTACATTATCTACACAAAAACAATAAATATCAAAAAACTTTGTAAAAGTAAATATGCTTATAAAATAAGAGTAATAATTACAGCATATCTTTGTAACTCTGTTTGAAGTTGACGGACTGTCATGGCGGTGCACCATTGATTTTTATTTATTTATTATGTTGTACGGCTCTGGGTTCGTCCTCTTTAGCCCAACCTTAACAAGTACTCTAAACTTGAAGTTTTACAATGCAAATTACAAAAATTAAAGTCAATGTCCAACATATTTCAATTAGACTGAAAGCAGTGTTGCCATACTAGCCAAATGTAATTTGTCATATATGGAAAATGTAAAAGTGACATGAAAAAAACGGATTATTTTAAAGATATTGAGAAGAAGCAGTGACTTCACACCAACGTCGCTGTAATTTTTTTGACGGATGACATATGGAATCATTTCAGCTGAGAACTATTGTTATTAATTCGCCACGATGTGTTAACCGACGTGACTTTACTTTCACCCTATTATTCTCTATTAGTACACCGCCAGCACAGGCGGATGCTCCATTCATATATTCATCCATACGACTTGGTGTTCTAGCGGTTTAACATACCGCCTTCTGATGGTCGCGGGTTCAATTCCTCGCACAGTACAAACATTTATATTCATGATTATGATTGTTTCTATTGCTCTGGGTGTTTCCTATATAGGTATATTAAGCATGTATTTACAAAAACTAACGTATTTAGGTATTTATAATATAGTTGACTAGTACCCATAACACAATAAGCTATTTATATAATAATAAGGGAATAGATGACGCTGTGTCAATTGTCTTGGGTTTTTTATAATGGATGACAATGTAATGGTGCATCCGCCTGCACTAACCTTTTGCGGGTGAGAATTATGATAAGATTAACACGAGGTCAGATTAGTGAGCCCATCGTGAAAAATTACCAAGAATTTATCACGATGGTTTCTTGTGAGAACCTGTGTATTATTGTCATTATACAATAATTATAAATGCCACTAGGTGTTAAGTCCGCCATATGTACTTTTTACTTTGGTATTACGTGCATTAAAGTTATATAATAATATCTAAAGAATTTATAAAAATCATATACTTTCTATTGTGAACTATATATAGATGGCCGACGGTGGTAAGATGGCCGAGTTGGAGAAATTCAAGAGACGCTTGGTCCGCACTGTGGCCAGGCTCCGACAACAGAATAAACCAGAGGAGGAATTGTGGGAACAACTTCAGAAGAACACCAAATGTGATTGCAAATGGATGTGGTCAGTATTGTCTCATATTTTATCTAGGACTAGCTCTGCCCGCGTTTTAAATTTATAACATACTAACTTTTACCCGCGGCTTCACTCGTATAACTACATTACTGGCTTCTAGATGGCGCTAAGTAGCAATATGTTGGATTTTTTACATATAAAAAATATTTTTTAACAAAAAGAATCTATCCTAATACATCCAAGAACATGTGTACAAAATTTCATGATGATCAGAGTCAGTAGTTTTTACGTGAAAGCATAACAAACATCCGTTCTTTCACATCTATACATATAAATAAAATTGGAGTGCCTGTTTCTAATATTGAAATAACCGTTTTTTACCACATACATTTGAATATAAATTACTATAATACTATTGTATAATGTAGTGTATGTACCGTATTACTAATACGGTACATACGCTAAAATAACATTTTTTACAATATTTGTCTGTCTGTCGGTCTGTTTGTTCCGGCTAATCTCTGAAATGGCTGGACCGATTTTGACGGGACTTTTTTTGGCAGGTAGCTGATATAATAAGGAGTATCTTAGACTACTCTTATTTTAGAAAAATAAAGTTAAATTCCCCGCGGACGAAGTCGCGGGAATAGCTAGTTTATAATATTAGTAAGGATATGTTATTCTGATGTATAATCTACTGTAACGAACCGGTGGACTGTATGGGTGTCTAAATGATGAAAATACATAGATTATAATAATAAAATATAATATCACAATGCAACTGCGAACTAGTAAACAATATAACAATAATAAGAAATATATCAAATAACACAGACATATCTAAAACAGTCTAAGAATATAATTTTAAAAATAATTATATCAAAGGAAATCAGGCGGTCAGGCGCCAACAGTTATATTACTGTAAGTTTCATCAAAATCCGCTCAGTAGTTTTAACGTGAAAGAGTAACAAACACCCATACATACTCATAAACTTTCGCGTTAATAATATTAGTAATACTAGCTGAGTTTGCGACTTCGTGCGTATGTACATTTGTTCTCTATCTATTATTATACATACGAGTATATCCCAATCTATTGTCGATGGTTATAATGAAATAACAACAATAAATATGACGACATATATTATTTAATTAATAATAGTGTAGATTTGAGAGATAAGTGTAGAATAGAGTGTAGATTATTTGCAAAAATAATTGCAAGCGGACCTTGTTTGCGGGGACCGCGTCCTCTAGGGTGTAGAGTTTCTCTACACCCTAGGGGACGCGGTGCACCCCTTCGGGACAGTGTTTCGAAGATTTTTCCGAAAAAAAGAGGTTGGTGAAGACCCAGTGTCTGTATGCCGTATAAGTTATTTCTCGATAAAGTCATCGTTATAACGTAGACGTATAAAAATAAACTACGGCCTATTCTCAGATCTACCAAATCTGTAGTAATCAATAATAAGCATGTATTTACAAAAACTAACGTATTTAGGTATTTATAATATAGAGTTGAAGTATATGTTTGTAATTCAAATTAACAGCTTTTCACTAAATACATATGAACGGATATACATAAAAATGTAATTTTATAATGTATCGTCTGTCTGTTTGTTTTTGCTAATCTCCGAAAGTGATGTACCGATTTTGACGGGACTTTCACTCGCAGACGGCTAATGTTATAAAATAAATATTCACTTCGGCTACTTTTATTTTAGAAATTTTATTTATCCTAATAAAAACAAAAATAAATAAAGGGATTTTATAAAATATAAATATTTATGCTCGGTGCACACGTATACTGCACCTCATGTGCTCCGTAACTTACGCGTGTTAGAAACATTTAGTGACGTCATCCGCGTCGAAATTAATTTTTTTACCACCCGTGGGTTGTATCTAGTATATAAATGGGAAAAAAAATTAAAGACACACCCATGTATCTTTCGATATTGTTGTGCTTGAAATCACTTTGATTTCCTTGTTATGTTGCTATGCTGCCCGCGTGGATTATACTTCTATGTTATTTTCCGTTAATGTAGCTATGTATTTAATTTTATTTGTATATATATATGTACCATACAATTTCATTATTAAAAAATGAGCAATACATAACAGTTTTATTTACCCTAAGGGCTCCTCGCTGAAAATCAGCGCTGTAGCTTTGGCTGCAGCAATATGCTGAACGGAGTCCTGTTTAGTAAATATTTGTTAGTATTACATTACATATATACACACTACAATATAGTAAAACAATCATTAAAAACCAATACACTAGTTTTTAATTATTCTTTACTATATTGCAATGTGTATACAATGTGTTCATTCATGTATACATTTTTGCTAATTAAATATATATTATTATTATTATTATTAACTTGGTATTAGTATGTAATATTATGATATCTGTGGTACTAGGTATATACTATAGTATATAATTCTGTTTTTTTTTGTTAGATTATTAAATATTTTTCTTTATTTGGTCAAGGTCACTATTTCACGCGGACGGAGTCGCGAAAAGCTATAAATTTCACACGAGTAAAACCCCGCGCACAGCTAGTGTTAAAATTAATATTCAAATCGGTATAAATAAGGAATGATAATAAAGATCAGGTATTAATAAAGACATTTTAAGTTTTTTTTTTTGCAGGAACCGGATGCGCACGTTGACTCTGAAGAGATTGAAGCGCTTACTTCTAGCGGTGGACAAGCAGGATAATATCACAGCTGTAGCGCGTATGACGCTGACGGATTGGATGATGTTCGATTTCATACTTGTGCACGAGGATATCGATCTTACTGGCACGGTAATAAGTCTAGTCTACTTCTTTTAAATATTTTTGTTTATAGCATAGGAGAGCAACGAGCTTGCGGCTCACACGATGGTAATTTATTACAAACTAGCTACTCGCTACGGCTTCACGCGGATGGATGTACATGTATAATATATATATATAAAACTTCCTCTTGAATCACTCTATCTATTAAAAAAACTGCTTCAAAATCCGTTGCGTAGTTTAAAAGATTAAAGCATACATAGGGACAGATAGCGACTTTATTTTATGCTATGTATATAATGATGCGTTGCTGGACTTTTAAGAAGGTATATTCCTTTTTTCTATGTAGTAGTAAACTTTGACACAAAATAAATAAAGAAACTATTACAGGATTTGAACTTGAAGTCGGAGCCGTTGTGTCTATTGGAGCTGTTCTCGCTGGTGCAGCGGTTCGGCGTGGAAGGTCGTTCTGGAAATGAGCTGGCTTGTGCCTGGACCGCTGCCACTGTACACTATAATAGTCAGTAAGTTAACACTCGGTACATTGTTTTAATGTCAGAGCAATGGCAAATATTCCTGCAGATTACATTTTTTTATGGATGATGATGGAATTGTGCACTGCGCTAACAGATTACGCTGGCGGGGCACCAGTGGAGAATGATGAGAGGTGTAGTCAGGTCAGGTCATGTACCAAACAGAAAGACACACTTACGTACAAATTTTATTGTATAAATACATACATAATATACATAGAAAACACTCAGACTTATACAGTTGTAGTAATGTCATACTCGTGAACGAGTGCTTGTTTAAAGCACTGAATTGCCCTGGTCACTACGACTGTTTTAATATCATTTGGTTACTAAACCAGTTGATTGTGTATTTAATATTTTGACAGTAATGAATTAGTAGGTAACGTGTAGGTATTACTAGTTATATTAGTTACCACTATTTAGTTATATAACTAGTTTTTGTTGTTTGTGTCACACATTTCAACTCATAAATGTAAAGTTACAATTATTTAAAAGAGCTACACGCAAGTTTCGTGCTCGTTCTTGTAATGAGACAGTTCTCTAAATGAAGGGTAGATTAAAATATATGTATGACTATTCAAAATTGCTTACATTTGAATAAAGAATTTTCTATTCAACTATTTATTTTTTTATTTATTTACTAGCTGTTCCCGCGACTTCGTTCGCGTTGAATTTAACTTTTGTTTTTATACTTTAAACGAATTTTTCTAAAATAAAAGGAGCCTAAGTTACTCCTTACTACATCAGCTACCTGCCAAAAAAAAGTCCCGTCAAAATCGGTCCAGCCATTTCAGAGATTAGCCGGAACAAACAGACAGACAAAAATTGTGAAAAATGTTATTTTGGTGTATGTACCGTATTTATATTCATATGGATGTAGCAAAATACGGTTATTTGAATATTACAAACAGACACTCCAATTTTATTTATATGTATAGATTTAATTCAGGTTACTAATTGCCCATATTATAAATACCTTACAGATTAATATACACATGAAGTATATAATTAATAGAAAAATAATATATAATAATAATAATATATATAAATTGTCTGTGTGTGTGTGGCACTGATGACGGCAATTTGCCACGGTAGCGCCTATACACCGCACCGTGGACAGCATGTCGGTGGGAGCTCGGGCCACAAATGTCTTGAAACTCGCGTTATGACTCGATTCCAGCTGCGTCGCCCTCAATGTCAAGGTACTCCTAGTCCGTATGAGGTCGACAGTCCAGCTCCTTTTATTTAATGAATACAAATTGCGGCAATCAGAAGTTAGATCACCGAAGTCCAAATAAAGATTATTTCTATTTTTAGAGGACGGCAATGCTCACCGATGCTGTTGCAGCGTCGTTGGTACCAGATGAAGAAGCTGACCCGTGAGACCTTCTACAAATTCTGGTTCACTTACCGTGGGAACCCTAAATATCTGGGGGATGCTCGGGCTCAACACGCGCCTAGCATACTGCAAAGTGCGATCGCGAAACGGTAAAACACATTCATTTTGCCACTAGTGTAGTGACCGTCCAAAAGCACACCATAATTAATGTAAATTACATTTTTTTACATCATTACATTAAGGTCCTCTTGTCAAAGACTTCAATGCGTGATTCTGTCTCAAATACATGGTAGTCTGTGATGTATTTTTATGCATTTTTATAAAAAACATTAGCATTCTGCACTCTTTCTCTAAATAAACTGGAATTGTGCGAAATTTCAATGCTTTTGCAGTTTTTTCTTCTCGTATTAATATTAGAGATTAATTAATGGAGTGTAATTTATGTCATTTGTCATTTAAAAATTATGTCATATCTAATGGTTGATAACGCATGTGACATTGTACAACTGGGGTTTGGAATAAACTTCGTATAAAAAGAAACATGAAATCTAGGATCCCTTCTCTAGTAATAAATAATAAATAGCCTAGTTTGTGAATAATGTATATTTCGAATTGGTGCAGTGGTTCTCTATCTATTTATAACATAAGTCTAGATTTCACAAGAAACAAAGTTACAATGCATATTTCTGTTTCAGTTACCCACACATAATTACCAAACCATTTATTCCATGGCCGGAACTAATAGAGAGACGGCTGGCAATATTACCAGAGGAATTTGTAAGTTTTTTTATGTAATTGAATGTGACGAATGATGAAAAACAAGCTCAAGGCTCGCCTGATGGTAAGCGGTAACTGTCGCTTATCTACTATTATTATAAACTCGAAAGTTTGTGAGTATGGATGGATGTTTGTTATTATGTCACGTAAAAAACGTACTGAACGGATTTTGATGAAACTTCAAATATATCAGAATAACATATTTAAAAAGGTTTTATGTAAATTGGGCGAAATATAGTCAGCTAGTATATATGTAAGTATTTGTCAGTTGTCTAGTACCCATAACACAAACTTTGCTCGTCTTAGGACTAGGTGCCGCTGAACAGAGATATTATTATTATTTATTTATTTTAATGATACTAAATACTAGGTCGAAGAAGAGATGGATGGACTGTGTGAAAGATGATGTGGCAAGAAAGGTAAATAACGAGATGACTGCGAACAGGGGTGAATGGAAGAGTAAAACATGTTACGTCGACCTCAAATAAATGAAGAAGGAAGAAGCAGATGATTATGAATATTGTCACTAGTTTCAGATAAAAGGTCTCCCTTTATAACTGAACCTGTATATTGTTGGTAGAAAGGAATAGATATATTAATATATATGTTAATTTCTGTATTGTAAATTCTCTTCTGTTTTTAGGAAGTGAAATTGAGATCGTTGAATGATCCCTCCGACCTTCCTAAACCTTGTGATGGTTAGTATTATATTATTGCATACTATTTGTGTCTTGTGGCAGTGTCGATGCGTAATAGAGCATATTAATTGTGAGTTTATCCTTTAAAAATAAACAAAAACCAATGTTTATTGAAAAATTCTATTTCTCACCGGGACTGGCATTTTTTTTATTGTTAACTAGCTGTCCTGGCAAACGTTGTTTGCCATATAAATGTAGGATCTAATATCGCTTTTTAAAAATAGGGGTTAGGGGTAGGGAGATGAAAATTTAGGGTTGTATGCATTTTTATGTCCTAAAAATTTTTTTAAATGTTATGAATCACTTATCACTTGGGGGTATGAAAAATAGATAGTAGCCGATTCTCAAACCTACTGAATATGCACATAAAATTTCATAAAAATCGGTCAAGCAGTTTCGGAGGAGTATGGTAACTAATAAGAAGATTACGTGAGGCTATGTCCAATTAACTAAGTCCGCTGTATGCAGTATCTCTTCGAGGACTAACGACTGAACTATACATAAATTGAAATTTAAATCATGCCCACAGATAGGTGGTATAGATATTAAATATATTTTATTAATTTGTCTTCCTGCATTTTTTTTTGTTATTGGTGTAGCAAACATGCTAACAGTCCACCTGATGGTAAGTGGTAACCGACGCCTATATACATGAACAGCACTGCAACATCATATTATTGACGTCACGGTCAATAATACGACTCATGCATTGCCATTCCAAATAACTAAGATGTCATGCCTTCATCTTCTAATTTCTTATTGTAAGCTACCAATAATTTCATTTTTAGTTTTGAAACATATTAAATAGTAACAAAATTGGAGCAAACTGTGACAAATAAAATTAGTAAACATAAAAAAAATGTTAAGCATTGTCGAAAATATCTCGAAAGTACACAAAAATCTATATGTTTCTCACAAATACACCCAGCGTGCCTGCTACACCCCACTACGGCAGTTTGAAATCGTTCCGCCGACCAATCATTATATTATTGCTTCTTATATTTTTTATTACCTCAATAGCGAATCATTTTTAATATATATGGCAGTTTTATTTAAAATTCAAGCAAAAGTTGTATATAACTGCCCAGTGGTAACACGAAAATAAAATTTTGATAAACATAGTTGAACTAAGTATTTGAATAAAACAATCTGTAATTATTATTTAAATGTGATTTTTTCCTCGTGTGTATTTCAGAAAACTCACCAGACGTCCTAATAGTGGAACCAGAAATAGAAGTAGTAGATCTCCGAGTAGATTCCGAATCAGAAACAGAATATGATGAAAGGGACATAGTTAATGAAGGGAACAAATTATTATCCACGGCTGACAAAGATGGCGATTCGCTCGACTCAAGCTCAGCAGTAACACAATCTGATATTCCTAAGTCATCAACTAGTCTAATTACCAACGTTAAAGTTGAACCAGAGGAAACAAATACAGATGATTTAGACGAATTATCAGATTGCGACGACTTAGCAACAACTATTATACCTTCAGACACAATTAGTAATAACATTGAAATTTCAAAAACATTCAGTGCACAGGAGCAAGCTATTAAATGTTCTACAGATTACCCAGCTCTTAATGATTCGGTAGAAAGCGCTTCTGATCCTACAGATGCACCAGAACCGATTGTAATGCCTTTAATAACTAACGTATTTGGAAATGTCCATATTGAAAATGATGCGTTGGTTGAAATAAGTAATGCATTAAAATTAAATTCTGATAAACTAAAAGATCCTACTGAAGTCCTGAAAAAGAGAGTAGAAACAAAAGTAACAAAGTCAGTAGAACAAGTAAAAATTGTAGACGACAATGAAGTAGAGGAAATAGATTTAGAAGGTGATATAATTAGTAATATTCATGTCAGTCAATCAATGAATACTCCTGTTACCAAAGATAATTTAACAGAGAGCAATGTAGACTTACAAAATATGCCGGCAAACATTACATTAATGGATGACGGTATAGAATTTGTAGATGATGGTATAGTCTTATTGGATTGTGAGGATACGGATGTTGAAACCAGTAAGTATATTGATATTATCCTTTACGAAATCGGTACTATCGTAGTCCCAATGAATCTTAATCTTAATAATATTAAAAACCCGAAGTTTGTGAGTATGGATGTTTGTTACTCTTTCACACAAAAACTACTGAACGGATTTTGATTTTAGGCTACAAATTACACGCGGGTGAAACCTCGGCTCGGCTAGTAATTCATATAACCAAATTTGACATTTGTTTTGTCTGTTGTATGTCATAAATGACAAAATGTGTGAAACTAATAGTAAAGCACTTAAAAATCTTTTTTATCCAGATTTTTAATAAATATTAATTTAATTTCCTTAAGTTTATATCCTACATAACAATCATCGTGTAATCGCTATAATCTTCTGATTTACCTATTCATGTTCGATCCTATTATCTCTATATTGAAGTTATAAATGTTTGTTATGCACTTGGAACTATAATTTTACTCAGATTGGATACTTGAAATTATAACTACTTACTTTATAAGAGATAAATGTAATATATATTAACGCCGAAACTGCCACTGTTCCTTGTCTTATATAACTAAATAAAAATGACCATTCCAATAAATTTGCACTATATTAGAATTAGATAAAATTTATTCTATTTTATATATAACCGAGTCTTTGTAGACATTAATTTTATTTAGTAAATTTAATATAAGCATCTCTTTATTCGTTTATAATTTTTTTATTTCAGTCCAAAAAATAACAAAGTCGGTTTACTATAGTCGCATATGGAATTCGAGACCAAAAACGTAAATAAATAGGTTACCATACTATACTATCGTAGTAAACTTCTGAACATATATTAAACGAGTAAAACAATACGAATATCGAAATTCATTAAAGAATTACTGATAATGTTCACAAATAAAAATCTATACATAGATATAAATAAAATTGGAGTGTCGGTTTGTAATGTTGATAAAATCGTTTTTTACATGTTTGCATGTGAATATAAAACGGTACAAACACCAAAACAACATTTTTTACAATTTTTGTCTGTCCGTCTGTTTGTTCCGGCTAATCTCTGAAATGACTGGACCGATTTTGACGGGACTTTTTTTGGCAGGTAGCTAATGTAATAAGGAGTAACTTAGGCTTACTTACTTTTATTTTATAAAAATAAAGTTAAATTCCACGCGGAGTATCAAATAAAATGAAATTATCTTTCTTCATATAGGTCTATTACAGACAAAACCGACGGTAGGTTTCGAACTGACTAGAATTGACAAGATACTCAGATCGTATTCTTTTCAAATAAGCTTGTACATATTTACAATAATACTGGAAAAAGAATAGGACAAAAGTATTGTTACTACTTATAAACATAAAGATAAATATTATATATTTCTAATGATGCTCTATGCTTACTTCTATTCCTATGTTAGTGTCCATGAATTGACACTAACATAAGGAGGAACAGGAACAGAAGTAAGCATAGGAATCTGGAGCAACTTAAAATAATATTAGTGGCATTTGTTTAATAGTTGAATGTCGAGTTAAAATATAAATAGTATGTGGAAATGTTGACTATACACTATCACTTGGCAATAACCGTTCATTATTTACATTTTCGGCCTTGATAATTAATTTCCAACTATACATAATATAAAATAAAATATAAATATTATAGAAAATATATATTTTAACTTTTCAGAACCTAATTTGGCAATTAAAACTGAAGATATAAAGACAGAATCCGACATTGAAGAAAATGAAGAAACACCAAAATTTGACTTAAAACTTTTAATGGAGCCCGTTGTGTATACAACCAAATTAGATGACATGAAATACTTTAAGACAAACGACTTTGCAAATGTTAAACATCTAATAAACATAAATGATATTATCGTCGAAAGTAAACCTGTTAGTATAAGATCAGTAGGTAATTCTGATAAACAAAAAGCTAACGTCGATAAACCCTCTTGTAATATTGAAGACAACTATATAAATGATGACTTACTTGATAATGCCTCTATAACTAGCGAATCGAGTGAATGTGAAAATGATAAAATACCTGAAAATATGAAACTGAGTATGTCTAGTGGTTTATTCCAAAAACCACGCACGCGTAACTATACTTTTATAAACCTGTGCAAAAATCCTGATTTTAATACTAGGTTGAAAAGATTAACTGTTGGGTTTTTAAGTTCTACTCGTAATAGACAACTATTAAAGGCCTGTAAGCCGCTGACAATAGATGTAAATAAAATTTTCGAATCTAAACTTGTAAATGAAACCATGTATTTAAAGTCACAGTCGTTACCAAATGTTGTTAAGACCGTAACTAGTGATGTGGTAGAGGAGTCTAGTACCTCAGGCGAGCAAACTACAACTGTTCTACCATCTGCAATGTCTGTCCAGAGCTTAATTGATAACACGAAAATGAATATGGCAGATTTATTGCCTGTAACCAAAGACATTAATGAACAACCTACTCAAGATATCAACAAAGATATACACGATTTATGTGAAAGAAAGAAAATAATTAATTTACCCGATATCGAAAATGTTCGTAGGATAAATCAAAAACTCCTTATTGCTGAAGTTACGCCGATTCAATCACGAATACAAAATGACAGAGGTGTAACTCCTCCAGTTCAAATTGTTCCACAAGATGGATCATCAAATATAAAGTTTCAAGAAAAGTCTAAATCAGATAAATCTATTTCTTTTGTTTCACAATCTGAGAATAAAGCTTCTAGTATGGAGATGTCTCACTCTTATGCGAGAAAAAATATTTCCAGTAACAAACTACAAAGAAAACCTAATGATTCAAAATCGGTTACCGAATGTACTTATAGGAAAGACACTAATTTTAATGTGAATAAAAAAGTAAAACAAATGGATAAAAATGTTGCACCCTGGATGCCAAGATTTGCAACATCAGTGAGTTGGTTAGGTAAAGAGGCCACAAAAGTAAAAGAAGGAGAGTCTCTTCTAACAGTAGACACACTTTATAAAATGCTTACATTAATATCTCCTGACAGACAAATACAAACAACAAAGAAAGCAACTAAAAAAGAAGTAAAAGCTTTAAACAAAGCTCTTAAGTTTCAAACGTTGGAGTTACAAAAGAACTTGGATGAGTTTGAAAGAATGTCAAATGGTTTATTGTCAGATTTACATGAAGAAAAAAACAATCTTGTTAAAAAAGATGGAGACAATGATTGTCAGACATCTGCTAGCAAATCGTCGAAACTGGAAAAAACTACAAATAGTGAATTGCCCATGAAAAAGAAACCCCTTAAAATTAATATTATTTCCGCTACGCCAGTCGTTAATTCTAATAAATATTGTTGTTGGGCTCGTGCTAAAATAAATGAAATCGACGAAAAATTAATGCCAAAACATAGGCATCCACTTAGTCTATGTACATGTTGTTGTAAAAAGGATTTAGATATTTTTAGTAAGACAGGCACGTTTAGTCCTTCGACTGACCCTGTCATTCTCGTTAAAGATGAGCATTCAGATATACAAAAAGCATGTAATACTATTGAAATAGGAGTGCAAGTAACACAAAAGTTATCTAGTGATACAAATATTAATAAAACTATTAATTTATATAAAACAAATGTTCAAAACATAATAAAACAGCATGTTGCAATTAAAACTGCGTCTACTGCTGAGAACTCGCATACAAACATCAAAAGTAGACAAAAAATTTCAGGTACGGAGGAATTAAATTTTATTACTATAGCGAATGGTTCCATAAATATTAATAGTAACAATAAAGAAGCAATATTGCCTGTAGTTCAAAATACTTGTAAAGATAATTCGGAGTCAATTACATTATTACCTAATATTATAGATGTTGATAACGACATAACAGATAACTCTGTAGACCAGGAATCGGTTGAAACAAAGTCTAATTATACTCCAATTAATGTATTATCAGGTCCAGATGAATTAATTTCTACTGTTACTACAACGAAAGCATGTATAAATATTAATACTAACAAAGAAACAATAGTGCCTATGGTTCAAAATGTGTATAAAGAAACTTCAGATCCAACATTATTACCTACTATTATAGATGTTGATAACGATATAACAAATAACTCTGTAGATCAGGAATCAGGTCAATCAGAGTCTAATTATGCTCCACATAATGTATCACGAGTTCTAATTAATACATCACAAGTTTCATTTAACATAACTTCTGATAACATTACTGAAGTTAACGCATCGGAAAGTCCGTGTCTTACTGTAACGAACTCTCCGAATAAATCAACTATATCTGGATATGAACAAAATAGTAATAGAATGTACAATAAACGCACACGAATGCCCTATACAAAACAAATAGTTGTGGATGGTACAGGAGGATTAAAACCTCATACGAAAAAGGTCTTATCCCTGAATAGTAAACATGTAGAGGCTCCAATTTATTTAGGAAAAAACAAAATATTGTTAACTGATGTAAATATGCATGATGCACCTACAAATATTAATAAAATAGCAACAAGCGAAAACAAACCATCAATCGCATACAACAGAGTTCAGACAGTTCTTCTAGCAGAGGGAGCGGAAATGACATATGTAGATATGCAACCTGTAGAACTATTGAATAAACAACGACCTTCCATGTGCCTTGACGTTGATAAAACCATTCCAACTAATGTAATTGATATAGCTAATCTGAAAATTTTAAACGATGTTGTAGCACCTGTTATCTCTTATACTCAGAATATTAACGAAATAGTTCCTGTGTCCAATGATGAAAATACTGGAGTTCAAATAAATAATAATGAATTGAAGGAACAAACTGTGGTTATAGAAGAAAAGAGTAATGCCATTGAAAGCGTAAATAGCATAAATTCTTGTGAATTATTAAAGACTACTGACAATGAAATATCAAACACTGAATCTAATATTATAAGTAGTAATAAAGAAATTGATACATCACTGGTATCAGATTTGTACTCAGAAAATACTAAAGAATTATCAACTGATAACTCATCAATTGCACAAGAAAATGAAGTTGATGTCTCAAATATAAAAGTAGTTAATAGTGAAAATTCTAAAGAAAACACGATGCATGAGGATAATAAAAAAAAAATAATAGAAAATGAAGCTGATAGTTTGGGAACAGAAACAATAGATCTAGCTTTGCCTAATTCAAACAAAATGTCAGAAGATCCAAAACCAGAAGAAGTAGAATATAATACAAGTATCCAAAGGAAAAGTATATTATCCGATCTTATGGAAATGTCCGGCATTTCTACAGAAGATGCTAAACCTATGCCTAATGATATCACACATGAGTCAGGTGAATTACTGCATAATGTAGATCCGTATGTATCTCATCCCTATGTGATGCATCATCAGTTATATCCAGTAAAATCATTCACCGAATTAAAGTACGCATGTGAAAAAAATGGTAAATTCTTTAAATGCGATCTAGATACAGGACTGATAACTACAATAAATGTATGTATTAAGAAAAACCCAAAAGAATCCGAATTACCACTACTAGCCCCAAAGAATAAAAAATCTGAGTCAGTAATAGATCTAACAGATGACAAAGACGATACGAGTGAAATACAGCCACAGGTAAAAATACCTTCAAATAAATTAGAAGTATGTAAACAGAAGTTTAAAAAAATCTCTACGGCTAATATTAGCGAAGGCATTAAAGTAATGTCTATGAAAACTAACGCAAAACCTATAAAACTGTTTAAAGTATCGTACCCTTCCATATTAAAAAAGAAAGTAGATGTTAATCTTCTTAATAAGAAAATATTGAACGTAAAGTCTTTAAATATAAAAAGGAAACGGAAACAGCATTTATTTGAATCAGAATCCACCAGTTTCCAAGAAATCATTTCTTCAGAAGGTAAACTTCAGGAAGAGGATTCCAGTAGTCATGATGATGACTCAGACGATGAACCACTTGCAAAAAAATTCAAAAGATTAAGACAGGAGAAGTCAATAAACGATAGCACGAGTGTTGACAATGAAGTAGTAAGCGTTTGTACTGAAAATATCTCTTCAGATTTTGTAAATGATATATCAAATGAAAGTGCAGAAAACAGGGTGGAACCACATTTTTCCACGCCACTTGCCATTATGTCTGACATAGATATGCCAGAAGAAGACTCTATTCTTGGTGTTTGAAAAATGGTATAAGTTTGAGTGCCGTTTATAGTTAATGATAATTAGGTATAATTTATTAATAATTCTTATTCCTGAGCACGATATAAAAAGGCATTGTGAGATAATTGTATATATATTGTAAATAGTAGATAAATAGAGAGTAATTTATGTGTGATTTAGATATGTATGTACATACATTTTAAATAATTGGACATGATTTTGTCGTTGCTGTGCCTAAATGAAAAATCTAATTATTGAAATCTAATGAAAATCGTTTTATATGTCACACATATTTAGAACATCACAAATGACGTCTACAAAGATATATCTCTGGAATGTTATAGTAACATTCTTTCAAGCTAGGTAAGATTTTTTCAACATGGTGTGTACATTAGCATTATTATATTATAAATTGAATTTATACAATTATTTACAAATTTTCAGAGACAAAATCTTTTTTTCTATTTTTCACTGAATTGTACTAGAACGTCTGACAAAGGAATACTTACCTATTTCGATCGGTCAACTTTAGTCATGCAGACTATGAATTTTTAACATTATTTTAATGTTATTTACACATACCTATACAGCTTATATAGACGGCCATATGAACACGGTTGACTCTATTGTAGAAAGATTTCTGAAACAGTTGTTATGTTATGCAGTTACCAATAACCCATAAGGATATATCATGTAGATAGGTACTAGTAGAAACACTATTACCCGGATTCGTTGTGTTGTTTACTCGAAGTGCCAATCGCAATCAAATCGAATAAAATGTAATTTTATTGTATTGAATAAATACCTGTTTCTTATTTTAATCACAGAAAGACAACCACATGAAAAACAATATAGTCATATCTTAAGTTTGCGTTTCTTTATACATTCAATTATCTTAATTTTCGAAGACTCGATAACAATTGGTCCGGTTAATTGTGTTTCATGGTACTTAATTTTGAATCACATAGTTCACTACCATGTTGTTAGAAATACAAGTTCGGATTATGTTACAAACTAAATGTGAATACGATTAAATCTATTTCCATGTTTTACACTGGTTTTGTAATTTATCACCTTATTTAAATCAAGTTAATAAAATGGAATTTGTCTATAATTTTAAGCATCGATTATTTCAGTGTTAAGTAATCTATCTTTCGACGACGGCTATTGGCTATTAACATCACGCTACGACCGATAGGAACTGGGGTGCATTCCCCCTCCAATTCAAACGGGGATTGAAATCACGACGGTCTGACCGGAGGACCGAACTCCTAGCGGTGCCCTCAGACTAAAGTCGTATCCGTCAGACGAGAGTTAGCCTTCAGCCGCCCCATAAGTCCTTCCACGGTTTTGGAGTGACATCTGCACTATCGACCGGTAAAGCTGTAAAGGCCAGCTCCAACAGCATTAGAGTAGTCCGAAAAAAAGGGGTGCATTAGTATTATGAGATATATTGTATATAAAATACATACTTCAATTACAATATGAGTATAAAATAAAAGTCACAGATAAACAATTATTTTTGTACTTATTTATGTTAACAATAACAATTATATGCATGCTATATTTATCTAATAGTAACATTAAACGCCGTTACAATCGCCGTTTCAATAGCTTTGTGTATTTGGTTGACTTCTGCTTGAGTCAGTGTTCGTTCCAAATGCCTATATACAATAGAGAAACATAGACTGTGTTTCTTCGTTTTTGGGTGGACAAATTTGTCTTTTAACTTCACCTGTAACAAATAAAATAAAGCTTATATTTTTGTTTAGGACCGGACCCCATTGCTAGCAATGTACCTCGGGTCAAACCCCACATGATCACTGTAAAGTTGTAAACTAGTCTGATTAATTTCTAGTAAATTCGCAATTATTGAACTAATTGATCTAACTTAATCCTCATGCTATCCTCCGTTATAGGAGTACCATTCCATATTCATCCAGAAAATATGGATGTAAATAGAAATAATAGCATATAGCGACCACCGGGTCGCATCGCTATACTCTCCCTAAATTAATGCATCAAGTTATATTCTTTGTATATATCTATACATATAAATAAAATTGGAGTGTCTGTTTGTAATATTGAAATAATAGTTTTTTACAAAATGAATATGAATATACATAAATACAGTATATACACCAAAATAACATTTTTTACTATTTCTGTCTGTCCGTCTGTTTGTACCGACTTTTATTGGCAGGTAGCTGATGTAATAAGGAGTAACTTGGGCTACTTTTATTTTAGAAAAATAAAGTAAAACTTTTTTATTAAATTCCACGCGGTCGAAGTAGCGGGTACAGCTAGTAGAGAATAATAAGTCACTAATGTTTAACAGATAAATGGAAATAGAAAAAAAACAACCTGTTCGATAATATCTCCACCAATATCACGTACCAAGTCATAGAAGTCATTACTCATAAATGTATCTATAGTAAAATTGTCAGGCAACCAGAAAGATATATCATTTACACATTGAGGAAATACTGAAACGGGCTTATATGTAATCTTGGCATTTAAATCTTTATTATGGAATTGAGATAGAAATCCAGAGTCTTCACTCCACATCAGTCTAATGTCTGGTATTTTGTATAAAGCCATTGCTAGTCTCTCCAGGCCCAATCCGAATGCGTATGCAATAGTATCATTAAGTCCAGAGTTTAATAAAATTTCATTACGTACAATACCACAACCCAAGACTTCTAACCAATCATTTTCATAATATATTTCAAGTTCCCATGATGGATGTGTGAAGGGAAAGTAAGCATCAACCCATCTATATTTTATATCTTTACCAAATAGTGCTTGAACTAAACCTATAAGGTGGTTTTTTAGTTGCACCTCCATAAGTTTTGTAGCCTCCAAAGTGTAACAGCTCTGTTTGGTGGGGTCAAGGATGGTGTTGGTAAATAAATGTGGCTTTTGTTTGTAGAATGTTGGTTCAAATATATCCAAGTCTGGATGGTTTGGGAATAACTCATCTCGGCGTTGAGATCTCACTGCATCTACCTGGAATTAAAAGAATATTTTTTAAATTGTATTAATTTATTTATTACTAGCTGACTCACACAACTTCATCTGCTTCACATGTATTATTATATAGTATCCTATTAAATTATAGCCTGTGTTATTCTGGTGTATATATATTACTCTCAAGTTTCATCAAAGTCCATTCAGTAGTTTTTGTGTGAAAGAGTAACAAACATCCATCCATACTCACAAACTTTCGCGTTTATAATATTATTAAGATGTATGGGTATAATTATGTGAATTAAAATTGGAAATTTATTGATAAACTGATGACCTCTAATTGAATGTGAGATGATATATATTTAATAACAATAATAACCCGGAACAAGTCTCAACAAAGGGCAGTGCTTGTACTATGGTTTTAAACAACTGGTAGAATATGTACCAGAGAAATGCAAACAATTATACTCAATAATATAAATTTGTGTATTGTCTGAGAATTGAATCTGTAACCATTGAAGGCAGTCTACTTGACAACTAGACCACAGGCTGTCTTATTAGTGTTCTAAATTTAAAATTCTTAAATATAAGTTCTAAAATCCTTAAATGCCAAATAAATATTTTATCACACTGCAAATATTATTGCAACATAAGTAGTATAAATTATTAATTCTATCCTATTCATGACAATTACAAACTTTTATATTTATTACAGTTTTTTTTATGTAATTGTACTTAATAGCAAACAGGCCACCTGATTGCGAAGCAATAACCATCACCTATATTCATTAAAAACTCTTTAAACATTACATTAATATGTGCCACCTGTAATACCACTTATTTATTTAGTTACAGAACTATCATTACAGGCCTAGGCCCAATACAATAGTGCATCTAATATATAACACATGTTCGGTAACATAAGTTTTTGTGAATTCACACAAACAAATCCAGGTTTTCTGCATTGTCCTTCTAGAATATTAAAGCATCATACCTTTTATCCTGTAATTACACTGCCTAATCAGCACCATAAGACCCAAACACAGGTTACAAAGCAAGCTGCTTGGCAGCTAAGATTGGTGAGACGGGTACATACACAGACTTTTACAGTCTACCTCTGATAAAGTAGCACAAAAATGAGAAACTAACTTGGTGGAAAACAGGAAAATGTGTAGAATCAATTTCATCTCTCCTATAAACATCACCGATCATCAAAAAGTTATTAAGTCCAGATCTCAGCAACTCACTCTGGTGTGCGGTCATGTGGGCACGGAACAACGTATCTTTATTTATGTAGTAACAGTCCGCTTTAGCTCTGCTAGGATGGTCGGCTGGTATAAGGAGATCGTCGAAGTTCTGCTTTGTGGTAACAATAGGTGACAAATTATCATACACACTAAACGTAGGGTTCCCTCGATGAGTGAAAGATTTGTAAAAATATTGCACTATCCGTTGACGCACCATTGATAACGGGTTATCTTTTCGCAAATGCAAGTTTTTACCTAAATATGACATAATTTTGGGCGTAACATTTGTATATTCGTCCGATATGAATTCTGTACCGTTTATTTTTACTGCTGTCACAGATTTCGCCGCGGTACTGTGGTTACATTTATTTAAAACCGGTGTTATTAATCGGTTTGTATTGAATAGTTTTAACATGGTTATATATTGGCGCTTCAGCAACATTTGTGTTGTGTGTATATCTTATTCTGCAAGATTATTTTATGACATATATCATTAAATATATATATATATATAGGTAATTCTTTTTATTGTTGACGGAATACAATTAATAAGAAACTTTAATTATTTTAATAAATAAATATTTATATAACATATCAGAGTCTGAATTTGACAGTACAATAATTGACATATCATGTCAGTTAATGTTGTTTTAAATTTCGTCCAATTCGGAAAGGGGAAGAGGCCCAAATTAGACTTTGGAATTGGAAAACGCATTTATTCGCCAACAAAATTATGTACATAATAAATTATACAATAGATTATGATATATCCTCATGAATGTGTACTAGGAGCTAAATATTCAAAGATGAACAAGAGAAGAAAAAAAATTAACATAACAAAATAAAAAAAACAAATAGAGAAATTGTTGACTCGAGGTAAGTACTCTGTGCTTTGTAATTTCATTCAATCATTCCAATCAAGGAACATAAGATCCTAATAATCCCTTTCAATCCCGCGCTCCATCTAGAATCTATTGAAGAACCCAAAAACTTACAATCCCATTTTTGAGTACGTTATATCAAATTTTTCAAGATTTGTAACTTCTGAAGAACAATTATTAGAAAATAAATAATATAAGAAAATATTACTGAAGACAATGGCTGTATGGGCTGAGTCCTTTTGACTTTCCCTAAAAAGAGAAAAACCGAACCAAAAAAAATCCCTTACAATTTCATTACCTAATTTCTCCTAACCTATACTTTTATCAGTTATTGACTTATTTGGTGACCGGTATATACATATTTTTTTCTTAATTGAGATAAACTTTTAAATATTTAATTTGTGTCGTCTACTTCATATAGAAATTGTGGTAGTAAAACACTACAATGTGATTAGTTTTTTATCTTGTTATTTATTAAATGAACACAGTTCTTTGAAGACTTGCTCTTGAACTGAGGACGAGCCAGAATAAATTGCAATAAAATTTGTTTCTGAGAAATGTTTCATAAACGTCTATTGCATTTTGTACAATTGGGAGGCGTTGGTGTAGCCGGGTACTTTGTTGGACAATATGGGTATAATCTCAAGAAAGAAGGTCAAAATGATTGTTTGCTGATAAATGGCAATAGAATTAAAAACATGCCTGGTTTGCCCATTTTCGGTACAGTTTCAGCAGCAGCCCCATTCACCGAAAGTGGCACGGCCAAATACAGGGTAAGTGCTTAACAAAAACAAACTTAAAATATTTTACTTCTGACATCACATACTTCCCTTTCCTAGAACACTTTTACGTTCTTTTGTTTTCTATTAATTATGTCACACCAATTTCAGTCTTTTTTACATAAAACTACTAGTGCAGGAGTTCTGGATTTCATGTGTCTGGTTATCTATGAATTTTCTGTGCCGTCCACAGAAAGTAATAGAAAATAAAATAAAAAGGGTACAGTGTAATGGTAGACTCCTAGACATATTAAAGTAATTAAATATTAAACAAATATTTTTCATAATATTAGATAATTTTGTGTAATATTTTATTTGTTTAGAAATTACTCTCAGCATCTTTTTTTTCTAAATTAATTTAATAAATGTATTACAATATACTATGCTGTTGCAATATGCATTTATGTACTATGTAAAATATTAAATTAATATAATTTTAAATACTAATTTAAAATTAAATTAATTCGTTTGTCAAAAACTGCTTTAAACATTTTGTAATATTTATTTTATATGTTTTATACATAAATTGCAACTATGATTTAGTATTGTATTCCAGAATTTATATAATACATAAATAATATTCAATTTAAACATACATGCATATACTTTAATAATTAATAAATGGTAGACCCTAATGTATTGGTTACAATTATTATTTACAGCAAATAATTACTTCTACACTTGACTAAACAAAGATATTTAAACAGTTGTTAACTAATATTATTAAGATACAGCATGGATGAAAAACAAAGCATCATTATTCCAATTTGCATTGAATAGTGATATTGGGCAGCATTTAGGCTAAATACTTTCATCCTTCAATTATTATTACCTTTTTTAGCATTATTACATACATTATTTAGCATCCTTTCTTCATCTAGCTAAGTATAGAACTGTACCAAATTTAATTTTAATCTGTTAAGTAGTTTTGTCTTGTCAGTGTAACAGTTAGACAGAGACAGCTACTTTCATATTTATAATATTACTAGGATTCAGTATTTACTAGATGCCTGCAAGTTTCTCATGAAAGTACTAACAGATAAAATTATGTCAAATCTTCCTTTCTTTACAATATAACAGTAGTCAATTATATGTATATTTTCCATTTTCTGCAGAGATTTTCTTACCCATTTATTTACACTTTCATATGATTAATCAAATGTTTAGTTACATACTAAACTATTTCATTTGCAAATGGCAAGTATCCACAGTGATAGTAATATAAACTATCATATTAATAATCACATAGCTCTGTTCAAACCATTGTGATTAATTACTGGTGAAAACAGTATAATAAGGTAACTTACCTGGCTTTATTTTGTTCTGGTGTTCTACTATACTGTTAGTTACTAGTTCCACTGTATAATTCAAGTGAATTTATTGATTTTTTTTAAACAGAATATTATTTTAAAATTTCTAGTCTTCATCACGAACACTTAAAATAATTCTCATGTTTCAGGTTCCAGAAATAATGAAATATGGCTTCCCTGGATTGGACAATATTCATTCATATGATGATTATGTACTATCTTATGACCAACGTAACAGGGTACCACATTGGGTATTCGAGCATCTAACAAAGGCACATGTGACGAAGAATGATGCAGTGGATAGGAGTAAATGCGAATTCATGCCTGATGAAAGCATCCATCCATACTTTAGGTAGGTATAAGAAATATACCATATCCTATAGTAACGCCATAGTTATCCTCACCATTGTAGTGACATATATGACTAGCTGACCCACGCAACTTCGTCTGCCTGTCATTTCCCCACCTTTTGTAATATTTTTCATTGCAGTTCCGCTCCTATTGGTTGTGGCATAATGTTATATATCTTAAATGAACAAATGACTAACCAAAACAAAAAGGATTTTTCAATTCATGTCAGTATCAGTAGTTAACAAACTCTTCAGCTTTATAATAGTATATATAGATGTGATGAGGTGTCACTACTTAATTTATATGTTTATTATAGTATCTAGGTAGTGAGTATACTGTGAAATAATTGTACTATTTATTGTACATTAGTAAGTTTATTTCGTAGTGTGCTATAAAGCTTATTAGAAACGCTGAACTTAAATCTATGTGAATGGAGATATAAACTAATGGAAGGGTCTCAAGAGTTGACAGAAATATTACATGTATTACAATTAACAATCAGTGTACATGTGAACTCAAGCTTGTCGCCTACATTTCAAATTCAAATTCAAAAATCATTTATTCATGTAGGACATTTTAGCCGCTTATGAACGTCAAGTTTTTACATTAGAATTTTTTTTTCCCTACCGTTCAGTTCGGTATATAGATCCAATTGAGAAGAACTGGCAAGAAACTCAATTGAATTACTTTTTTTTAAAAGCCAGTTTATTTACATTTCATAGGTATTTATATAGGTGTCTATGTCTAACATTAAATGAAAATCCCGAACATGAAAACTATTGCCATGCACGCTCGTCATTCAAGTAATTCAATTCAATTTCGCTGGGTATATTTGAGACGCAACTGCAATCACAGAATCACGGGTGTATCTGTAGTGCTGTTCATGTATATAGCCGACAGTTACCGTTTACCATCAGGTGAGCCGTCAGTCATTACCGGTGCATACATCTTAATGTATTGATAGTAATAATAATAAACAGTCCTGGTTTGTTTTGTGTTTATTACACAAAGTAGTCTACTCCCAAGGTAAGCCGAGCTTGTGTTATGGGTACTAGATAAATTATATGAATACATAGATTTTTTTTGTAAATACATCTATAATATACATAAAGAACATCCAGACCGATATAAACAATTATATCAATGACTACAAATGTTAACCGTGTGAGGAATCGAACCCGTGAGTATCTGAACTAAACCGCTAGACCGACGAGGCAATCTATTATCGATATAGTATTAGAACGAAATAATTTCCAGGTCACAAAACAGCGATTATCGTAAGTCAGGTTTTGACCGTGGCCACATGGCGGCAGCGGGTAACCATCGGATTTCTCAAAAGCACGTGGAGCAGACCTTTTATCTCAGCAATATGGCGCCGCAGGTATACATTTCATTTGTAGTAGTCTATGCCCTCCATCTGCTAATTGAATATGTGTTTTTTTTAAATATACAATAGTCCAATTTGATGGCTCTTTTTTTTAACACCGAAGACCGCATTGAATAATGTTATTTCTCGCATAGGGACCGGTATTTTTTATTGTTAAATACGTATATTATTTTTTAAATTATATTATATTTATATAAAAAAACATCTATCAAAAAGAGCAACACACAAGTTTCTTGCTCATTCTTCTTGTGATGAATCTGCATTCCGAATGAGTGGTAGAATCAAAATATGACTATTCAAAAGTGCTTGTTATGAGTTTATTTGAATAAAGATTATTTCTATTTCTATTTCTATTAAAGATGTTTTTAGTGTACAATAATTTGAGGTAGGTCGACAGTCCCAACGTGTCAATTTACTTTCGTTGTGGAGTGGCCCACTGGTGGACATGCGGTCTTTAACGTGTTAATTCGTTTATATTCCTTTTAATTCATGAGTCGGCTTCCAGGCGCTGACTGTGAATTCTTCCGCTAGTCCCTTGATGTCACACTTTTAAGTTGAGGCATAATATCAAATAAATATGTAATTATAGCAATGTTGCTATGTAATTGTTAGGTTTATTAATAAAAAATTGCATGCCTACTTCGAAAAGGCTTTTTCCAGCGCTGCCTCCTAATATCACTGTGACTTAATTCAAAATTCAAAATTATTTATTTAGGTAACACAATTTTTACTACATTCTATACAGTTGTTGAAGACTTCTTTTAAGCATAAAGATGCATACGCCAGGAGGCTCCCCTTTTCCATAGCTTATATCATGATAACTTTTGTAAAAATTTTAATTGTTTGTTTATATCTGTCTGTAAATAAGTCACTTACTATGATTGCAATATCTTTAATTGAAACAGGTTACAAAGCAAGTGGCTTAGAGCCCGAAATAGGCGAGACGACAAAAAAACTAGTACAAAATCAACCTTCCCAAGACTACTATGTCAATTCGATTACTCGCACGACGCAAACATTTGTATTCATGAGTATGATTGTTTGTATTCTATGTACATATCTTTATATAGTATAATATTAAGTCGCTTCTTCTGTCTATTCGCTCCAGTTAATGCAGTTTTTGGCAATAGGGTGATTCAAGAGGAAGGTTTATATGTATAATACATGTACACCCATTCGAAACCGGGACGAGTAACTAGTGTATTAAAAAAAATATGTATCAATTGTCCAGTACCTATAACACATGATCTGCTTAGCGTGAGATTAGATGGCGCTGTGTGAATTGTCTAGGGTTATTATTATTATTATTTACCCGACTTCAAAAAAGGTTATTCTTTTATACTTATAATCGTTTATCTTATATTTTCAGGTGGGTGAAGGTTTCAACAGACATGCGTGGAATACATTGGAGAAACATGTGAGAAAATTGACCAGAGTGTACAATAATGTTTACTGCTGCACTGGACCATTGTATCTACCAAGGTTCGATTACAGTCCAATATTACTTATATTACATAAGTAGTTAATAAATAAAATTTACATAATATATTTCTAAATTATAGCGTTTTTGTAATGTATAGGCTATATCAAGTGTCATCAAAATCTATACAGTAGTTTTTCCGTGAAAGAGTAACAAACATAATCCATCCATACTCACAAACTTATGTGTTTATAACTTATTAAAAAGTAAAGTTTGTAAATTATTAAAAAAGTTAGTCAGATTTTTGTTGAACAAATTCTTAATTTATTTTCTTATTTAGAAAGGAATCGGATGGCAAGACTTACGTGAAGTATCAAGTAATAGGCGCTAACACAGTATCAGTTCCCACACATTTCTACAAGGTAGTCGTGGGGGAAGCGACGAACGGCGATTTACACATGGAGGCCTACGTGATGCCCAATCAGAAGATATCAGATCAGACGCCAATTACATCATTTATGGTAACATCCTATTAATATTAAAAGAATCTAAAGGTACACATCTTAGGTATATGATATTGGAATGGTGCACCCGCCTGCGCTAACGGTTTACGCTGGCGGGGCACCAGTTGAGGATCCAGTTGAGATGAGTCTGAGGTCAGGTCAGTTAGCCAATCGTGGTAAATTCCCCAGGAATTAATCACTATGATTTCCAGGTCAACCTGACGTGGTGCATTGCTAGCAATGGGGTTATTAGTCCACATCACTAACAATTTTCGTGAAAATGAAATGATATTGTTATTATCATATTTGTTTCTGTTACAGGTACCTCCAGAAACAATAGAGAGGGCGGCTGGTTTGTTATTCTTTAACAAAATTGATAGGAGTAAATTGTCTTCGATTAACGGACGGAAAGTGTGATCTTTTAGAATTTTATAATGAAATAAGTAAACAAAGTTTGCGAACTCAAGACTTATTGACTTCCTATAACCTTGGTTATAACCAAGTTTAATCTTAGAAACAATTTTTATGTTATAATAGAAAAAATCATTATTTATTTATGTATTCGGCCGGGCGTGATGTATATAATTGTAGTCAGCAATTTAGTAATTATAAAACAAATTTTATTTTCATAGAAACAATAATTATATATTGTATTTGGCCTAATTTATATATTTTAAAATCTTAAATGGACCTTTCTCTAAAATATTAATTACATGTCTTCATAATGTAAGGCCGCCTGACAAAGACGGTTATTTGTTTTAATATTTTTATGTTTAGTGCAATTCTAAAAAGATCCTTTGGCGAATGATTGAAACCAAATATTAGTTTATGTAAGTGATTGTTTCTGAATGCAATTAACGAAAATGTGTATAATTATTGACATTAAAAAATAATCTAAACATGAAATAGAAATAATCATTATTCAAATAAACTTTATATAAGTACTTTTGAATAGTCATATAATTATTTTTTAGCATGCCACTACCGGAAAGTAGACAGACAACAAGAATAGTGGACAAAAAATTTGCTTGTTGATCTTTTAAAAATCTGTTGATCAGCATTACATATTTAATATTTTGTGTGAATAGAAACTGCCAAATAGCAAAACTAGTAATAAAATAAATCAGTGATAGTTTATGTTTGTAGGTTACTTATACTTATGAAATAAATAGTTATGAATAACACTATTTTTTATTTGTAAACTAGTAGTGTCATCTATTGATAATCAAACACACAATCACGCTACAATAAATTTTATATATAAATTTCTCGTGTCACAATGTCAGTTACTATACTCTGAAACAGCTTGACCGATTTTTATGAAATTTTATATCAATAGTAGGTCTGAGAATTTGGTGTCGGCGTTTTTCTGTTCCATTCAACCTTTTCTTTAATATCCCTGTTTGCAGACCTCTCGTTATTCATCCCTTTTCGGGCCATATCTTTCACAGAGTCCATTCATATATTTTCGGCCGTCCTCTGCTCTAATAACCATCTACATTCTAGTCTAGTCTTTATATAGCATAAAATTGTTAGCTTAGATCTTTTATAGCGGTGTTTAGCAATAGACAGAGTGAGGAAAGTTTATATCTATAATACATGTAAACGCGTGCGCAGCCGGGCCGGTCGCTTGTATAAAATAAAATGCTTTAGTGTGTAAAAACATTGTATATTCTAAATTAGCTTAGTATTACAGTTGTTTATATAGATACAAATATCTAGGGGTACACAGTTCAGTTCTCGTCCTCGTCCTCTGATGTACCGTTTTGTTGTGGCTCTTCATCCATACGCGCGTTGCCCATACCTGCAAAGAAACCATATTTATTGTCTATACTGTAAGTTAGTCTTGCTGACAGTTATATATATACTATATATAAATATCAGCTCTTGTCAGTTATAATAATAATCGAGAATACCTCACATAGCGCCATCTACGAAACATACATAGAAAACATCTAGACGATAATACTGATCAGACGATACTTTGTGTTGAAACTTACTTAAATTTATTTAACTTGTCAAAGAGTGAGAAAGGATAAGTGGAAGATGACAGACTGTGTAGACCCCAGAATAATATAATAAAGAAGGCAAGGCAATGGTGATAGGGGCGGATAGGAGGGGCCTACCTAATTATATTAATAATATAATAACTCAATTAAAGAATAACCCGACCAGAAACAAGCGACGGGAAATTCTCCGTTCTGTTCAAGAGATGCGCACATGCATGGGTTGATTGATCTCAGGGTTACCAAACCCTATGAAAAGTTTTTTTTATATATTAGATGGTTATTTTTTATTCAAAATATCGCCAATTATTTCAGTGGGGGTTTTGTATCCACGAGGCCCTGGACTACAGCCCAAAAAGTCCTTAGGTAGATCTGCCCCTGAATGGTGATGATTTAATTTGTGAAAAAGATAGTCTCACCTTGGTCCTCATCTTCCTCCGCGGAGTCTCCAGCCACCTCAGCATTCTCTGCCTCTGCCCGCTCCATCTGTCGTGCCAGTTCGGCTTCATCCGTCGCGGTCACCACTTTAGGCTGAAATTTATTTTTTAAGAGATGATAATCTGCCCTCGCCGCTCCATCTGCCGCGCGCAGTGTCTTTTGATAGCACATTGCTAGCATCCGTCGCAGAAATTGGTCACCACTTTATGACAAAAAATACAAGCAAAAGAAATTTATTTTTTGAAGATAGATGTTAAATTTAGAATAATTAATGTTAGATATTTATAGACACTCACAAAACATAAAGGTCAAACATAATGTAAATAAACATTTAATGGACATAGACTTGTACATAATGTAAATAAAAAAAAGAAATTCAGTTCAGTTTCTTGCCACTTCATCTCAATTGAATCTGTATACTGAACTTGACGGTAGGGAACAATATTAATACAAAAAATTGGACGTTCATAAGCGGCAAAAATGTCTTACATGAATATTTTTTTTATTTGATTAGGGGTTCGAAGTTTGTGAAGTCAAAGTTGCAGATAACATCTATTAAAAATAATTGTCTGCTTGATCCATAGATATGAAAACCTACCGGCATTTGTACGTTGAAAACGCCGCCAGCTTCTAAGATTGTTTCCTTGATTTTTTCTATAGCATCCTGTAACGTTTTGAGCCCGTCCGTCTTTTCAGGTGTGGTTGTTGTAATTACTTGAAAAATAAATTGTTATTTATAATTTGCCTAGTACCATAATAGTAAATCTGAAATTTTATACACAATACCACGATTATTATTGACTAATGGTCAATAGGCACGCTACCATCTACCTGATAAAATTAAAGATAAAAGGGTGAGCACAATAGATCTATGTAGGTCATAGTGCTACATCTGACATTAGCCCAAAACCCGCAATAATAAACCTAATGAAAAGAGTAAACTATTATTTTTAAAAAGAGAGTTGATAGATTTTACGAATTAATAATAATAGTTTTTTTAACTAATTAGAACGGCCAACTAGCTGACGCTCAAAGATGGTAAGTGGTAACCATCATCTATACACATGGATCCGGCCGGGACGCCACTTGAGAATTGGCATTAAGGATGACTAAGGTGTTGTCTACAAATCCTGTAATTTCACTGCCTTATACTCTTCAAAACCGGAATACAGCTTACGAAGCAAGCTGCTTGGCGGCTGAAATATGTGAAACTTAGTGACTATGTTGTACAAAGAATATGCAAACTTGATGCAGACATAATTATGAAGAAAAATGAAATAAATACTGAATTCCATATTTACAAAGATATTACATTATACATACTTGAGTTATGAACTTTATATCTCAAAATATTACTAAACTTACTAATATTACAAACGCGAAAGTTTGTTACCCTTTCACACAGTAATATATCTTATATACATGGACTATAGTTTTCAACAAAAAATAATCTTACCATACAAAGGCGGAGCAATTAGATTAATTTTAATTGGCATCTCAGTTGTGGACAACGCTAGACCGGACGTCAGAGCGGTTCTGACGGCATCTATGCCTTCATAGCCGTAGCACGCACACTCAATGTCGGCTCGGATCTTCACTGCTTGAGATGTCAGCTTCCTCTTGATGTTTGCTAGGAGTACTTCTTTAGTATTCTCATCAAGACCACATTCATTTAGAACTGATGGATCACTGTTAAAAATGGAAACATTTTGAAAATTTATAATATAACAATATGTCTAATATTATATCTCTGGACAATTCATACAGCGACATCTAGTCCCAAGGTCAGCAGAGCTTATGTTATGGGTATTAGTTTTTGTAAATAGATAACATATGTAGAAAACAGCCAGACACAAATAATCATACCGATGTATACAATATCATTGTTTACAAAATCGAATCCATGACCATCGGTAGTAAAGTGGTGTGCTAAACCGTTAGACCACCGTTGCTCATAACAATCGCAAAAGTAAATTCAAACATACGACCTTTGGTTCTAAATCAGTGTAGTATACATAAACATAATGGTACATACTATTTCCTGTCCCCCATGGTCACTAGGCCAGAAAATTGTTGGTAATGGGGAATTGCTAAGGGATGACCCCACTGGTAGGGGGGAAAGGGAATTGTTAGTAATGTGGACTCATGACTACATTGCTAGCAATGTATCATGTCAGGTTGACCTCCATGCGATTCCCCCTGGAAACCATCATGACAAATTCCTTGTGAATTTGTCACGACGGGCTAACTGACCTGACATCACATTCATCTTATCATCCTCCACTGGTGTCCCGCCAGCGTAAACCGGTAGCGCAGGCGGGTGCACCATTCCATTATCATCCATAATAAAAAAAAGACCCCACTGGTAACAATGTACTCTACATTACTAATTTAATTGGGATATCCATCCATATTATGTTAATAAGCAACTTATAAATTATGTTACTAAATTATACATATATCTATGTCCACATCCAGAAGCACTGGGTCCACATCAGTGCAACAATATATTTTATTAATTAATAAAATATAATGTAACAGTCACAACTCTTAGGCGTAAAATATACTTACACAGCAGCCTGCTTAAAAAAGTCATAAGCTGATGCTTTTTTCTTATATTTCTCTTCAAATAGCCATGCTGTCCTCTTATACAGCTCTTCCAACTGTTCCGACGACTCATAATGTAACAATTCAGCAACATGTCGCAGGATTGAGTTCACTGCTTTTGCTTTCGCATACCTTTCTGTGCATTTATCTATGTCCTCGGCTGACACACGACGTTTTGATAAGTCTATGTAGCCTGTGAACATATGTATCAGTAACATTATGAGCCAGATGAGACAAATGAATAAGTTATAAGTTTATGTGTTATGAAGTCGTGGCCATTCAGACCTATATTACTTTTACAAATAAAAAATAAAACTTACGATGTGGCATTAATTTTGATAAATTGTTATTAGAGATTAGGACACACAGACTAAATTCTAATAATCATCACTTTGGGTTTTGTTACTTTGACAAAATCTTTTCATAACAGTTTTTCAAATAGTTTCCATATATAGACAGTTGTCAATTATGTTAAAATCAATAATTGTTTAAATGATTTTTTGCAATATAATTGATATATTTATATAGTATTCAAGTTATATAGACAATATTAAGTTTATTATACATACTAATTACAATATGAAACATTATTTCCATACATTACTAAATGTGTGTATTTAAAATTATGAACTACAATTTGGGTTCAACAAATATATAACAGTAGCTAATGACGGCCCAGGGTGCAGGGTGTAGTGTTTTGTAAGCATATATTAACACAATATATCGCCTACAGTACTCTAAATCAACTCAAAGATAAAAAGAACTTCTCAAATTGGAGCAGTGGTTATAGAATTTACTTATATCACTAATAATAAGGCCTCTTTAAATGATTACTATTATTATTTATACTCCATGTTCCACATTACAAGATTTCATTTAAAATTCTATGAAATATCTTTACCTTTTTCTTTATCCACTCTGATTACCACAACGGGCTCTGTTTTACCGACCCTGATTAATTTATTGATAGACCTGATTCGTCTTCTGGACAATTCGGAGAACAAGATCATGCCTTCGATGTTATTGTATTCGAGTAGATGAACATAGGCGCCCATCTCTGCGATAGCCCTTACGTTCACCATCACTACATCTTCCACCTCGGGATATTTTTCCTGATAAAATCGACACGACAACGGCATCTGAAATTACAAATTCTAACCTATAATTACTATACATGTAACACAATAAAATATAATCATGTAACATAGACACAATTTATAATAAGTATAATTATCACCTCAGTTGTGTATTGTCACGTATTGTTAAGAATATTCTTTGTATTATTTGTTGGAATATTGAAATAATCAAATTGTTTACGTCGACCACAGCACGAAGACTCTTATACCAAATGTCACCCCCCTCGGGGGGAGTGGGTGACATTTTGACATAAAATGTAATGAAATTTGACAGTATATTTTTTTTATTAAGTATTTTACGGCCCTGGAATTTTCCTTTCAGCCAAACAATTACATTGTACACATGCAAATCAAATTTGACAGTAGATACCTATGTTGCCAGCAAATTACGCTTTCTAAATAGGTTTGTGGTAATCAGAAATTAATATTATGTACAAATTTTTATAGGTTATTCACAAAAAATGTGTGAGTCTATTTAAAACGTATAAATACGAAATTAGTAAAGAATAGATATTAATAAATATAGCGTCGTACTATCAAAATAATAATATAAATAAATGCGCTCGGAAACTACAAAAATGAATTTTGTTGTTGTTTAATACAAAGATAGCAAGGGAAAACATACCTACGCAGATTTTGAAAATATTTAGTTCAATATACGTAGAAAGCTAATCGTCTAAAACAAAAAAAATATGATTCGGAGTAGTGTCGTACAACTCCGCTAAAGTGGTAACATTATTAGAAATTTGACATTTACATCTGGCAATTAAGTCTTTTTTTTTTATTAAGTGGTTTTACGGCTCCAAAAATTACGTTTTAGCCAAACAATTACATTACACACATACAAGTTAGGTAATAATTACTATTTACTACTAAATGTCCTTATGGTATTGAGCATGATGTCATATATAAATGTATAAGTTTCAGTGTTTTGTAGGATAGATTGTGAGAGACGGGGTATTCCTTAATTTAGTCTCCGCTCCGAGTTCAAAATCAGACAAAACACCTGCAGTACCTACCAACTCTGCTTATTTTTGGAATTGATGGCGCTCTTAAATTGTTCAGCGCCATAACTTTAATTCACAAAAAATATAAATATTTTTTAATTTGAAGTATATTTTCCGGTATGATAATGAATGCGGAACCCCTTTGGTATATTTACTTTACTCTTTGGTAGGTACTTCACTGGGGCTGCAGTACTGTAACGTCGTTGGTCACCAATCGCAGCCACGGCCGTCACCGCGCGCTTTCCCCATATTCCTAATCTTATTTAGTGATTGGCTGATATGACATATATTTGATATTATTATGGATATACTTCAAGTATTCGGTTGCATGCGAGTTGTGGTATACTTATAGAGCTCTATATATATCTTATATGTTTCTAGCATATTTCTCGAAAGACGTCTTATATTATATCCTTGATAGTGTACAATTGTACATATGCTTTCTTGAAATATAATAACGTAGCGGTTTTTATATTGTGGAATGCATTCTTGTAAAGTACGAATACTATAAACATCCACATGGCAATTTTTAGTAGTTTAATTTTTAAACAGAAACAATAGAGTGGGCAGTTGGTTTGTTACTCTTTACCAAAATTGATAGAATTCAATTGTCTTCAATTAACGGATGGAAAGTGTGATTTTTTAGAATTATACAAAGAAATAAGTAAACAAATTTTGCATACTCAAACATTTGATTCGACAATATTCAATGATATTAGTGAGTTCCTTTAGGTATTTCAGACTTCCTTGATGACCAACCAAAACAAGTGTATAGGCGATTAAACACGATTTATTAGTCAATGGGGTCATCACACATTGTCCACATACTAACAATCATCCTTTCCCAATTTGTGCAGGTTACACAGTCTAGTATAAGATAAAACACTTCAGTGTGTAAAAAACATATATTATATATAGAATTATCGATGATGGGTTACTTTTACAGTTGTTTATAGAGATACAGATATCTAGGGATACACAGTTCAGTTCTCGTCCTCGTCCTCTGATGCACCGTTTTGTTGTGGCTCTTCGTCCATGCCTGCATTGCCCATACCTGCAAAGAAAAAATATTGAATGTTTTCTTTATTTGGTAAAGGTCACTATTCCACGCGGATGAATCGCGGGTACAGCTAGTTTTTATAACTGTAAATACTATATTATTACTATACCTTGGTCCTCATCTTCCTCCGCAGAGTCTCCAGCCACTTCTGCATTCTCTGCCTCTGCCCGCTCCATCTGCCGCGCCAGTTCAGCTTCATCCGTCGCAGTCACCACTTTAGGCTGAAATTTATATTACATTTATGTAATTTTAAAACGGTATATATTGTAGAAGGCCTTTTGAGATCTTCTATAAATTCACATTTTCATAAGTAGACCGCTTCCCCATCCTTGTCACAGCTTGCAATATTTATGAGATTGTTTTACGGCTAAACAGTTGAATGGATTATAATAAAATTTAATATGAGGATAGATCAGCTTTTCCCAATCTTATTTGTGCCATGCCTTAACCTTTCGAAAATTTAAGCCCCTTATCTCTAATCTCAAAAAATAATTTGGGAGGGGTGCAAATAGGGGATGAAAGTTTGTGAAGTCGAAGTTGGGGGTAAAATATAGTTAAAAACTGATCCATAAATGATATAAAAACATACCGCCATTTGTACATTGAATACGCCGCCAGCTTCTAAGATGGTTTCCCTGATTTTTTCTATAGCGTCCTGTAACGTTTTGAGCCCGTCCGTTTTTTCAGGAGTAGATGTTGTCATTACTTGAAAAATAGAAAGAAAAATAAATTATCCTTAGTAATATTATTAATGGGAAAGTAAATCTGATTGCCTTGCTTTTACACCAAAACTGATTTATATGAAATTTGCTACACAGATAGTCTAGGTTAGAAAAAAGGGTTGGAAGGGGTTGAAAGGGGAGACGAAATGTGATGCCACTTATACACTGCTATCAGATAACTAAGATGTTAAGCCTCAAAATCATATGATTTCATTGGCTTATCTCCACTCTTCAACCTAAATACAGGTTATAAAGCAAGGTATTTGGCGACTGAAATATGTGTGAACTTGATGCGGACGTAATTATTAAGAAAAATAAGATACATAGACAGAAACTTGAATTATGAACCTTACATTTTACAAAATATGCTATATTTTTAATAAAAAACAATTCTTACCATATAAAGGTGGTGCAATTAGATTAATTTTAATAGGCATCTCAACTGAAGACAGCGCTAGACCAGACTTTAGGGCGATTCTGACAGCATCTATGCCTTCATAGCCGTAGCACGCACACTCAATGTCGGCTCGGATCTTCACTGCTTGAGATGTCAGCTTCCTCTTGATGTTTGCTAGGAGTACTTCTTTAGTATTCTCATCAAGACCACATTCATTTAGAACTGATGGATCACTATTAAAAATGGAACTATTTTGAAAATTTGCAATATAATATTATAACACTGGATTATTCTCACAGCCGCATATAGACACAAGATAAGCAGAGCATGTGTAACAGGTACTAGTCAACAGTCATGATATTATTTTGTAAATACATACATAACATATGTAGAAAACACCCAGACCGACAAACAAGCATACTGATATATACTAATGTTTTTGTGAGGAATCAAACCTGTGGATATTGGCAGTAAAGCAGTGTACTAGACCACAAAGGCTGTTGCTGTAATATCTGGGATAACAATTGTGAAAGTAAATTCAAACAAAGGACCTCTGGTTTTAAGTCAGGTATACATAAACCTGGAGGTATATACTAACCATTTCATCAACCATAGCCACTAGTTCAGGAAATTCTTAGTAATGGGGAATTGCTAAGAATAATGACTGCTAGCAATGTACCTTATTAGGGACACATGCCTTGGAAACAATGGTGGTAACTTCCTGATGAGAGTGGAATGTAATCCTGATCACTCTCCACTCTCATCAGGATGTACCATTAGTACCAGCAGTATATCACACTATATTTATTAATCTATACATATAAATAAAATTGGAGTGTCTGTTTGTAATATTGAAATAACCGCTTTTTACTACATGCCTATGAATATAAATACTGTACATACACCAAAATAACACTTATTACAATTTTTGCCCGTCTGCCTGTTTGTTCCGGTTAATTTCTGAAATGGCTGGACCGATTTTGATGGGACTTTTTTTGGTAGGTAGCTGTAATAAGGAGTAACTTAGGCTACTTTTACTTTAGAAAAATAAAGTTAATTCCACGCGGAGGAAGTCGCGTGTACAGCTAGTTAAAAATATATTACTAGCAACTCTCTGGCGTAAAATGTACTTACACAGCAGCCTGTTTAAAAAAGTCATAAGCTGATGCTTTTTTCTTATATTTTTCTTCAAATAGCCATGCTGTCCTCTTATACAGCTCTTCCAACTGTTCCGAAGACTCATAATGTAACAGTTCAGCAACATGTCGCAGAATTGAGTTCACTGCTTTTGCTTTCGCATACCTTTCTGTGCATTTATCTATGTCCTCGGCTGACACACGACGTTTTGATAAATCTATGTAACCTGTGAAGGTGTATACATAGAGTTAGTATGGACTAGTTGAGCCCAATAAATAAACTAGATGAGACAAATAAACAACTTATATGGTTATGTGTTACGAAGTCCTGGCCATTCAAAACCTTTTAATTTCATAGTTATTGGTATAAAACAATTATAAAAATTTAACAGTGCAGAAGGCAGTTGTTCCTGAGATAGCAAATATGTATATCATCTCCTTATGTAATCACGCATGTTTTACAAATAAAGAATTTTGAATCTAGAAAAACATAAATAACACTTAACAATCAACAGTTTAGACACTCCAATGTATAAACTGGCATCAGTTCCAATTTTACTGTATGTATAGATAATCTATGTATAAATAATAATATAGATAATCAATAGACTTTTTATTAAATCATTGATATATTTATATAGTAATCAAGTTATCTACACAATATTATATGAATTATACATACTAATTATGTTATTTCCATACTAGATGTATATTAAAAACTGTAAACTACAACTTTGGTTGCACAAATATATAACCATGTCCAGGGCAGTCATTAGCTGTATACCTATAACAAATATATATAGCTAATGACTTGCCCTTGCTTTGCCCATATGCTCATAATGTAGTCTTTTGTAAGTATATATTAACATAATAGATAACTCTAGAATATTGAACCTTCCAATGAGTGAAAGAACTTCTCAAATTGGAGTAGATGGGTTTATTCCAGACTTAGCTGAGCCTGGGCAAGTAGTGAAGGTGAGTGTTATTGCATTCTTAAGGAGCTTTTAAACCTACACCCGTGTTACGGGTGCTACTTGGGGTTTCTCTTCCAGTAGCCGTCTTCAAAGCCTGAGTCGTCATAATAATTAGTGTTTCTTACATAAGTGTTTTTTTTATTAAAATTTTTTTGGGGTTTTTCTTTTCAAACATGTCAATCCCATTAAATCAAACCTAATCATAACAATACTTAAAAATAATAAACTAAATTAAATAATTACTAACTGAGAGGGATCTATTCATTCTTTTAACAGTACACCCAAATATAGCGCAATCTCAGAAGTAGGGGCATGTAGTATGCTCTGAATTGTACTCTTATAAAATTTGTTGATATCAAAAGTTTTTATGAATCTCTCTCTCCCTCTGATCGATTCCTATCACATTCCATCAATAGGCCTGGACTTTTTGACACAAAACACAATCTTCTTTTTTAATTAAATATACATACTTTCTTGATGGATAGTGACTGAATTGGATTCTAAATAAAAATTTCTACATGGTGATGCAAGAATCATCAGGTGTTTATAATTTTCTTTCTTTTAAAATTCTCTGAAATATCCTTACCTTTTTCTTTATCCACTCTGATTACAACAACGGGCTCTGTTTTACCGACCCTGATTAATTTATTGATGGACCTGATTCGTCTCCTGGACAATTCAGAGAGCAAGATCATGCCTTCGATGTTATTGTATTCCAGTAGATGAACATAGGCGCCCATCTCTGCTATTGACCTTACATTCACCATCACTACATCTTCCACCTCAGGATATTTTTCTTGGTAAAACCTACACGACAACGGCATCTGAAATTACAAATTCTAACCTATTACTTAAATGTAACATAGAATTCTATAATCATATAACATACATATAATTTAAAATAGGTACAATGATCACCTTAGTTGAGTATTGTCACGTATTTCTAAGAATGTTCTGTGTATTATTTGTTAGAATATTGAAATAATTATATGGTTCACATTAACCAAAGTGGACTAGGACTGCAATTGATTGTCAATTTGACTTGACATGACAGCCATATAATTGTCAAATTTGTCAATCGTTTGTCAAGATTGACACCAAAAATAATGACAATTTGACAACTACACTTTGTATTCCGTTTCATGCATGGAATGTTTGGGTTTATATTTTTAAATACCTAAAATTCAATATGCGAGAAATCGTTCTTTTGTGTATATTTGCAAGTCATTTGAGAGTATCTTGGTCTAATGGTTTAATACGCCGATGTATAACCAAGGTCGTGAGTTAAAATTTGGACGACATCAAATAAATAAAACTGTGTGTTATTTGTCTTAGTCGCTAACGAAGGAAAGACAAAATCAAAAATTCAATTATCACATATAATTAATAATTATATTATTAATCCAATACATGTGTACGGTACGTTCTTTTAATAAATGCGAATGCGATTTTGTCACTTGTAGGTTTTCGATTTTCGCACATTGGGGAAGGGCATTGTACCATGTCAAGTTGACCTCCACGTGGTTTCATTAGGAAACCATCGTGATAAATTCATAGTGAATTTATCACAATGGGCCAACTGACCTGACATCATATCATCCCTAAAACCGGCTCTGCTTATTTTGGAAATTGATGGCGCTCTGGGTTATAATTTTAAATTACTGATTTTTTAAATAAATTTAACAAGTTCCAACTTGAAGTTTTTTATATAACCAGGGAGCCCCGTCTAATGTATTTATTAGTAAAATTACGTCGTTGTTTATGATATATTATATGATCTTTTTTACGAGTTAATTTATTAGGGTTATTATTTAGATTATTCGTCTGCTGATAATATTATGTCTGACTACTCTATCTGGGAATATAGTCGTGAGGATGTGTTTAAAATAAATGTAACCTTATTTAGTAATTGGCCGGCACGACATATGAGTATGGATTGGAATATTCGGTTGCATGTGAGCCGTGGCATACTTCTAGCATCTTTCTCGGAAGACGTTCCATATTTTATCCTTGACAATGTCTGTATGTTCACTATACATATATATATATACACTATTGCCCACACGCTCGTATAATGTGCGTTCAAACACCTATTTAGTAAACAGTTTTATTATATGTTTTTTTCAAAGTGACTTCAAACAAAATCGACATATAATAATAATATACATCTTTATTTGTTTCAAATAATAAACTATTACAAATGCTGCCTAAGAAAAGTTAGTAATAATCGAGACAAAACGTTCTATAACTCAGAGAGAGCAGTCCACCCTCTCTGAATTCACCCACTAGCGCTCACGATGCACTGGCACTGCACCAGTGGAGAATGGTAGGAAGAGCATGAAGTCAGTTGTGATGTATTCACCAGAAATTAACCAAATGTCTATAGAGAATTGTGTGGTCACCTGACGTAGTAGATTGCTAGCTACGTCGTAGTATTAAAAAAAAAGGTGCTATAACTAACAATTTCTCCTCTCATATATGTAGGAATCGTAGTGCTGAAAATATCACTTAGTCTTAGGAAAAAGCTTATATATCCAGCAATAAACATAATTTTCAGCTTTATCTAGATACAGTACGGACTTTCAAATATTAGTGGTAAACAAAAAAAAAATATTTAGAATTACAAGACAGCGTAATTAATCAGGCATACTCTATACGGCCCGCTACAGAATCGTGGGACATTAAAAAGGTTGTCGTGAAATAAATTAATTGATATATATGAGAAGTAGCGCACGAGACAAATCTCTGTTAATATTTGACCGTTCCATTCAGCCAGCACGGCTCCTTAGGCATTCTGTGATGGTTCCTATATAGTAAAAAATAAATTAAAAAAGATCAATTTGTGTTTTTTAAATTGTGTGGTGACCAACTATTTTTAACGAATATGCAATTGTGTATTACTGGCCAGTGAGAATGCGGCTGTATATGTATGTATTTTTTGTTATTTGGCATATAGATTTATTTTGTTTAAAAAATAATCGATAAAAATCTTTCTAATATAAATTATACACGAATTTTTGTTAGTTTGTGTTTCGCGCGGAAATTATTGCATGTTAGTACTTGTATATACAGTAGATACATATTTACAGATTAAGCGAAGGTATAAAAATTACGACTATAAATTAAATTATAGAATTAATTATTAGAAATGTATAATAATAATAATTTATTTAAATAAACTTAAATTTATGCACTTTTGAATAGTCACAGTTATCTTTTATTTAATCTACCGCTCATTTGGAATGTCTCCTCATCACAAGAAGAACGAGCTAGAAATATGCGTGTTGCTCATTTGAAGAACTAGAAGAATTAAAACTAGTTTGATCTCCGACCTATATAACAATTTAAATATGTAATAGTGCAATAATACTCAAAATGTTATAATTTATTGTATATTGCATATTATATTACACTACCTGGGAAACGCAATTCAATCCCATAGGATAGCAGTCAAAGTAAATATAAATGGTCAAGAAGCTTATGGTTTTAGGTTTATATCTATACCTCATTTACCGAGGAAGTCTTTGTAAGAAGTCGTCTACGTCTATCACGATCTTACATATTTTATCTGCCAAGCAATTTACTTTGTATATTTCGGTTGAAAAACGAAGTCATTAAAATTCCGGGATAGGCATGACATCTTTGTCCTCTAGAATAGCAACGCACGTGTGATAACGTGATAGCTTATGTATGCCTGTATATGCCACATTTATTATCAGATGGGTTGTCAGCTTTTTTCTCATTCCAATTACATAAAAAACCTATTATAATTACATTTTTATATAGAATAAAATGAAGTCGCTGTCTGTCTTTCGCTTAGATCTTTTAAACTACACAACGGATTTTTATGCAGTTTTTAGCTATAGTGATTTTTTTCCGGACTACTCTAATGCTGATGGTTGCAACTGGCCTTTACAGCTTTACCCGACGATAGGGGCGAGTGCAGATGACATTCCAAACCAAAGAAAGGTCTTATTGAGGGGCTAAAGATCAACTCCCGCCAGACATAAGTCGTACCGAACCGTAAGGGTTCGAACCTCGGCTTAGGCCCTCATAATTTCGATCCCCGTTTGAATTGGACGGGGAATCTATCGGAGAGGGACAATAGATAGAATGATTCAAGAGGAATCTTTCTATGTAGGTAATTTTTTTTTTATACCACATAGGTGGCAAACAAGCATACGGCCCATCTCATGGTAAACGGTTACCGTAGCCTATGGACGCCTGAAACACCAGGGGTGTCACATACGCGTTGCCGACCCATAAGAAACCTTAATATACCCTTCTTGAGAAATGCATCCGTCTGTGCGAAGTCGGGGCGGGTAGCTAGTAAATAACGAATATAGGATAATAAATTACATAGATTTTTTTTTTTTTATGGATGATAATGGAATGGCTCACACGCCTGCGCTAACGGTTTACGCTGGCGGGACACCAGTGGAGGATGATAAGATGAGCATGAGGTCAGGTCAGTTAGCCCATCGTGACAAATTCACCAAGAATTTATCACGATGGTTTCCAGGGGGAACCGCGTGGAGGTCAACCTGACATGGTACAAATTACATAGATTTATTTCAATAACGTAATGCTTGCAAATATATTTGGCGCGAATTCAATAAGTAACCATAATGTTTTTCACCCCACCGGGTTGGCATAAAAATGTCGCTCGTAATAGTCATAAAATTTATTAGTCTTTTTACAGCTTGCGTTGTATTCAGCAACAATGGATTTAAATAGCGTTTGATGGGATATTTTATGGTTTCAGTAATAGTAACAACAATAAATTTATTTGTAAAAGATTTTGGCCACATATATGATGTTATTGAAAACATGGCACTTGAATCTGTCTATACATATATATCAAGCATATAAATCTTTTAGTTCATGAATCTATAAATATTAAATTATTACGATAGGGAAAAATAATAATAACATAAAATTTGACCATAATAAGCGGCTAAAATGTCCTTTGATTTTTGATTTGATTTATTGATTGTTTATATAATTATTGTTTATTTTATATTTATGTATATATCATTTAAGGTTACCATAAACACTTTGATTGAATAGAAACACTTGGAAACTAACTATTCATGCAGTTTTTTTTTCTAGATAATTAGTAGTAGTATTTTCAGTTATCAATAAAGAATACTAATATGTAATGACTGACACGACTATTTAATATTTGCTATTACCACTTTTTGTACATTTTAAAAGTTCAATTATCTCCCGTATTCGTAGATGTCTTCAGTCGTTTAGTTGTGAAATACAGGATAGGCATATAGACAGATAGACACTTTCAAAATTATAATATTAAGTATAAATTAGTATGGATGGATTTATATTCGTATAATCTATAATTATTTGTTTATTAAACCTTTTAATACATAAATAAAGTTGCATATGGCGGACTTAACACCTTAAGGCATTTTCTCCCAGGCAACCATAGGGCAAACAGAGATTAGTGGGCGGTGCATTTATGTAAGTGAATAACATGATATTAAAGTAATAAAAGGATGTAGGTATAAATATTATATTCCTTTTTATAACGACCTCGGTGGTCCGGCGGTTAGATTCGCCGCAGGAATGGATCCCGCATCGAGGCCGTCTATAATATATTGTGAACTAGTTTGCAGAAATTTCAATATATTTATTTTATGATGTACGTGGATTAATAAATAGATTAGACATCACTTTGTGCAAACTATATTATCATTTTGTTATGTGGGTATTAATTGCATAAGCAGATAGATTTGATGCAAACAACAGGCCACTGACCGCTTGTAATATAGCTGAATCGCTCTCGTTGTTAATAAGCAGTTATCAATTGGCGAATGAGGCAAACCTACAGGTCTAATTGATTGTTGCTAGCGCAGACTTGGTGGCTATGACTGGAACGGGAACACATCGACTATTATTAAAAAACTGAATAATTGTATATATACGTATTATTCGTAAATCACGGGATCTTACCACGTTTTATTTTGAATTCCCGATATTTCGGCAGTGTTTCAACCGTCATGATCAGGGGTAAACTGAAGAACAGCGAGTAGATGGTAAAGTAAATCTTTTATGGGCATACATATTCGTCTACCTTCACACGTCTTCGTTTGTTGTTACTATTGAATCTCGCTCGATATTCATCTCAGCAAACTATACTTACAGTATCTTTACGTACACTTAATAAATACACTTCCTGATCGCCTTTTATTCCCGATTCAAATTTTTATATTTGTGTATTTCGATGGCTTCTTTTAATAGTAGCAACATTTAAGATATCTGTGAAATGTATCCGATTAAATAAGATATTTAAATTCCCTTAATGCAGAAAGCATTAAGGGAACGTAAATATCTTATTAGGTTAAATATAGCAGAGAGATGTGGATTCGTATTCTGTCGAATGGAGCATTGGAATATTAAATTATTCAATCAGGTAATAAGTACATCTTATATTATATATTAATATTATATAGAAAGAAAGACAGCATTTTGTTATGATGAAAATAACTCTGAAACCTTTGCACCAAATTTAAAAATTTTTTCTAGTATTTAATACACATATAGAGCCGAAGATTTTTTTGATCGCGCTAGTATTGGAGCTACTGGTTACATGTAAAAAATACTTAACCTATTTTTTTAGGAAGGCTAGATGCTATGAAGTATTAGCACCCAGGGTAACACCCTTAGAAACAGAGTAGGAGTAAAAAAGCCAGAAGGAATGGTAAGCCAGAAAGAATAAGTAACGTAGGCAGGCGATGTGCAAATGTTATTAGGTATATCAAGAATATATTTAAAGTTTACTGTTTCTATAATATTGTTCTATAGTTTTTGGTTCTAATCAAAAATCACTTCACTTTCTCTATAACTACCATTAAAATGTTTATCCTATTATAAATTGATTTTACTTCATATTTCTAAAACAATATTAATATTGACGAAGGTAGACTGTCCAAAGTTATCTGCATGTACCTCTACCTTATAAGCTGCAGATACATGGCATAAAAGATTTTATTTACCATCCACCCGCTACCTTGGGTTTACCCATGATCATGTCGTTTAAAACATTGTCGAAATATCAGGAACTTAATAAAAATAAATAAAACGTGGTAAGATCCCGTGATTTTTCTTAATTGTATGTATAAATAATGACCGCGTCAAATTTAAAACAGATGCATGGTATCCTTCTGATTATAAAATTAGAAGAATTATGATGTTATATATCATGCTATCATACGCATAAGGTGTATCGGCGCCACCGACAGATTATCGCCGTCAGTGCCATGACCACAGTGATAATATATATTAATATTACTAGCTGTTCCGGCGACTTTGATCGCGTGGATTTTTCTAAAATAAAAGTAGCATAAGTTCTTTTTCTTCTTCTTTTCTTCTATGGCAATCGGTCGTTATTTTTAAGACCAATTATGCCAGCGTCATGTATCAGAGGCACGCACTGGAGACAAAAAGTATATCCAAAAGACCAAGTAATTTTAGTCTTTCTGGTGTAGAAACTGGAAAGGACAACACAAATTTGGTTAGTAGTCAATAGAGTACATATATAATATATAGGTAGATATATAGTATTACAATTTATTTACTTAATACATATTTAGATTTTAATGCTATTACTTTTAATGAAATTTACAATTATCCATAAAACATTAGGATTTTCAAAGGAAATTTTTAAAATATTCGCTAAGTTGACTGGCAGGGGAATTTTTTCTTTAATAAGCTGTGGATACACTAAATTGGAGCGGTTTAGTGGGCAAGAGCATAAGAAAATTAAATCTCCCTCCTCATGTCCACATTCACAAAGGGAGTTATCTCTGATTCTAAGTTTATGTAAAAATACTGGTGAGCAACAATGCCCTATGCGCAATCTACATAATACAGAAACAATATTTTTCGGCAATTTTCTATATTTGGCGAACCAAGGCTTTACAGGTATGTTTGGTTGAATAAAATAGTAAAATCCTTATTACATCAGCTATCTGCCAAAAAAGTCCCTTCAAAATCGGTCCAGCCATTTCAGAGATTAGCCAGAACAAACAAACAGACAGACAAAAATTGTAAAAAATGATATTTTGGTGTATGTACCGCATTTACATTCATATGCATGTAGTAAAAAACGGACTATTTCAATATTACAAACAAACACTCCAATTTTATTTATATGTAGGTATAGATTATTTCATATGTCTATTAGTCTATAAGGTATTTACAATCTGTGAAATTAAAATCCTGGAATAAAAAAAATAAGTGGTGTCACGGGCGTCATATGATATCGTGACGTGTAGTGTTGTATATGTACGTGGGCAACGGTTACCACTCACCAACAGGTGGTAAGCAAGTCAGTCAGCTTGTTTGTAATTTCAATTAAATAAAAATTATTGTATCTAAAATTGAACATAACCTTGATCTTTAATTCAATATATGTTAAGATTCAAAAGACATTTCCGTTGCAATGGACGAAATAGATAACTGACTGATCGTTGAAGGTCGCGCAAAGTGGGTCGCGGCTGTGTTACCAGTACCAATTATTATTTGTTGACCCAATCGAGATCTGATCATCAGAAAGTGGGGCGTCGGTGTCGATGCTTTTCGTATTATTTATTGTCATCATATATTAATCAGTATGTTGTTTGCCGCTTATTAAACGAATAAAAAACTAATAAAAATATCTCAAATATTGAACTGTGTACCAAATTTCTTCCGTCTAGTAGTTCTTGCGTGAAGGAGTAAAAAGCAGCCTTACTGACTTTTACTATTAATAGGATTTCTACTGGGAAATCTGTTATCGGATTCGGTGGTCTAGGGGTTTAGTGCACCGCCTTACTTCCGATGGTCACGCGTTCAATCCTCGCACGGCACAAACATTTGTATTCATGATTGTTTGTATCGGTCTGGGTGTTTTCTATGTATAATCTGTATGTATTTAGGGGAAAAAATATATGTATTTGTATCCGTTATTTAGTACACATGACAAGCTTTCGCTAGCTTAATTAAACTTAAATGGCGCTGTGTGAATTGTCCTGTGATTTTTATTATTATTATTATCTATAGACAAGATCTATAAAGTCTCTATTACATAGAAGTCTATGTCAGAAGATAATAATATAGAATATCCTCGTCCCTGACAGGTCTAGGTAGTTTTTGAAAAAATAAGCACAGTAAAATATACATGTCCTGACAATAGCCTAAGATAAAAAAATCGTTCCGATATTATTTTAAAAAAATAATCAAGAATATTATTCACAATTATTATAACATTATATGAAACGCTTTGTAATACAAACATTTTCTTTAATATAACCTGATTTCACACTTATATGCAACTATAAAAATTAAAGAATTTTACATAATTAAAAAAATTCTTTGCGTTAACTTTGTTTCAATAGTCGGCTTAAATGTTATTAATATTATAAACGCGAAAGTTTGTGAGTATGGATGGTTGAGATGATGATGGATGGAGTGAGTGAGTGTGGATGTGTGAGGATGGAGTGGATATGGATCTTTATTACTCTTTGACGCAAAAACTACTGCGGATTTTAATGAAACTTTACGTAATATACCTTACGTCAGAATAACATATAGGCTATAAATTTCATGCGGCTGAAACCGCAGGCATAGCTAGCACATTATATTGGTAATGATTTCATTTATTACGAATTCGTTTTATTTACGGACGAATCATTTATGCTAAGAGCCATTTATTAAGATCATTACTCATATAATCATTTCTATTTCAGGTTGGTGATCTTTGTGGGTTTGATATCTCCATACTCAACTACCAATGGTGAATCAGCAGGTACATATATACACATATTTCTATATCTAGGTATAGATATAATAAAATATAACTGATCTATATTTGTATATGATAATAACACCCTAAACTATGGTTGTGTGTTTTTTTAAGTCATTCAAGGTCAGTCAATTCTCTTTATAATTGTTGAAGTAGCAAATGCGGAATAATAAAGGTACTGGTACAACTTCAAACAACCTTTTTTCCATAGTAGGTAAACTTGAGATTATCAGTTTATTAGAATCATAATATGTTTGTTAGAATCTAACAGATTGGTAAATTTAGGGGAAAGGATTTATTTGAAGACTTATTTTAAGAAAACTTGTTAGCGCATTTTAGAACCACAGAGAACAATAATAGCAGCATGCAAATAAATCGACGACACGTTTCATCCATTACCAGCCAGTCGCAAGAGCCTTGAATCATTTCATTATTCTAACCAAGAAATTTCAGAGTGTTACACTTTGAGAGTATTCTCGTGTATATATTTATAATACGACCTCTATTAAGTTACAAAAGGGTTGCTCGAGTAATTAAAATACAGAGAAGTTGATAACCTGAGACTCTTGTTTATTTTTGTGAGTAAAAATTTGTAACTTACGATAAAATAAATTCAAAGAAAGAATTTATAATTTCAGAATATTTGTATTTGTAATAGCTATATGTATTGATTTTGTTATTGCTAAGCATATCAATGCAGCTCCTCTTCTATTGATCGTAGCATGATGTTATATCGCCCATAGCCGTCCTTGATGTTTTCACTAAAAGAATTTTACTTCTAAAATCACTTCAGTAGATCTAAAGATTATTCCTACAACTTTACAAAGTCACAAACGTTCCCCATTTTTAATATTAATATATATAATCATTATTATTCTTCGCGGCACATCGCCGCAGTATTCCCAAGACACTGGCAGCGTTCCCTCTCTGAATCTTTATGCTTACTTTCTGGGTAAAGTAGCTATCAGCTCCCGGGTCACTAGTAACTATGATGAGCTGTGCTGCAATATTCGCCATGTAATTTAAGTGGTAAACAAGCTGAATATCCGCCTGATGTTAAGTGGTAACCCTATGTGAACTGTGAATGTTGACAGCACCAAAATTATATCTTCATGAGAAGCCATTAGGACCACTCATGCGTTGCCATTCCAGAGGCCTAATAATTAGAATAGCAAACAAGCTGATAAATGGGCATTTGACGGTAAGCGATAACCTTCGCCTATATATATGAATAGATGACTAAGATAGCAATCCTCTAATCTTGTAAATTTACTGCGTTTTCTCACAACTGAACACATCTTTCAAAACAAGCTGCTTGGCGGCTGAAATAAGTGAGACAAATGTAGGTACCCAAATAGACTTCATATAAAGTTAAACATTCTAAAGGTAACTGGGCCTTTAGAATGTTTACTTGCCGAGTAAAACATACTATAGGTATATCATTTCTTTGTCATTTCCAACATACAACAAAATTGAAATATGAAAATAAATTAGGACTTTTCAAACTAAATTGATCTTTTTTAGAAATATAGTAACAATCTTGATTTGTATAAAAGTTTTTAAAAATATTTAAAATTACCTAATTTGGTTGTTGGGGAATCATTAATTTTCGCAGACCCTAACCTTTAACCCTTGTAAGACTAAAACTTTACAGGGGTAGGCACCTTTGTTCTAATAAGTTGAAGTACAAAATATTTTAATTATACTTACCAGCTTGTTGGGAGCGAGGGGAAAAGGGGATTGTTAGTAAAGTGGACCGATGCTCTTATTGCTAGCAATGTACCATGTCAGCTTGACCTTCACGCGGTTCCCCCTGGAAACCATCTTGATAAATTCTTGGTGAATTTGTCACGATGGGCCAATTGACCTAACATTGTTCATCTTATCATCCTACACTGGTGCCCCGCTAGCGAAAACCGTTAGCGCAGACGAGTGCACCATTCCATTATCATAAAAAAAAAAAAACTTGTTGGGAGCAGAGTTTTATTAATGGACTAGCCATCATATTGCTAGCAATGTACCGTATCAGGTCGACTCTACGCGGTCTCCGCTAAAAACCATCGTTGTCTGACTGACTCTAAATTGGCTGACAAAACTGAGTTTATGCTCATGTTATCATTCTCAACTAGTGCCCCGTCAAAGTATATCAATACCTGGTGCATCATTAATACCCATTAAAAATATATTCCTATACCTATGTACTTACTATTTTGGAAGACTTCTTTGAAGAGAGTTGGACATGCTTTGGTAACCATTACTTCGACAGGTTTTAAACTTGAACATGGCCATTGCTGGCAGCTTGTCCACAATTCATTTTAATACAATTCTATTATTTTTTTATAAATGTTTTTTGACTTGCTTGTGAGCCTCTCGGTAAATATACAGTTATACCTACACGTTAATTATTCCTGCTTTTTTTTATTAATGGTTGTATAGTGAACCCGCTGAAGTTACGTTTTGTTTCTTACATCTAAATACATAATATATAAATAATTTGTGGTCAATAGATGAGTGTTGGAGTATATGGAAAGCGAATTATACTAGAGATAAAAATGTTAAATGCTTATAATATGGATATAGACAATATGACAACAATAAAATGACAATATAAGACCATTCTATAATTTAAAAGATTGTGGTGAAACCTATTTGATTCTAAGTTTTATTTTTAAATACTAATATATTATATATATAATTCGTCAGATCATTGAGAATAGTGACAGTACATATTTTTTTCTTTAATTTACTAAACTTAATATAATATATGTAATTAGTAGATTTCAATTGCAAAGTGTCATTAATCTATAAATTCATTCACCTTTGTACCTACTATCCCGGAACCTCTAATTTTTATACACGATATTATCTATTCATATTATTATGTTCCACAAAGACATTCAAAGTTATTAAAAAAGTAAATGTATAAAAATATGCAAAAATTTTGCAATATATTTAATATAAAATATCAATATCAAATATTTATTGCTTTTTCCAGATATACTTACAACAATAGCACCTTTTCCTAGTGTGGCGCCATGTTCATCGCTTCGTCCTGGTGACGTAGACTTCCAGACTGTCGACCTGATTGCTGTGTACAGGCTCGACAGACCCGGTACTGCTGGAGTATCGCTGGTACAAGGCTCGCAGGATTTGCAAAGAGCATACAGAATACGAAATAATGCTAATTTGACATTACCTCTGCAGTAAGTACGCTTCTTTTCTTTAACTGGAATATAAAACGCCTATTGAACCTAAATAGTCCAAACCTTAAAATAATCATAGGGACAATATAGGGCCACTGTCCCTTTAACAAACACTTGTACACAATAGCTACAGATAGTCCTCATTCTTGGATGTGCTTTGAAGCCGAAGTAACCACCGCTCACGTGATCCTGGAGTGTGTAACAGTGGCCACACAACGTACACAAAACCTCGGAAGAGGTCTATTGGTGAGGTCGCTCCGTGAAGCCTGTGAAGACCTCCTGGTGTCTTCATAGGCTTCACGGAGCGACCGCTGTCTTTCTTTCTCCGCTTCTGGGAAGAGCTTGGGCTACTTTAGTAGCCTCTAGATGAGAGGTTAATTGCAAAGAGATTTCCATTTACATTTACGTAACTGGAATGGCCAACAAGCTAGCGGCTCATCTGCTGGTATGCAGTAACAGTCGCCTATATACATGAACAGCGATACGAGTATCACGTTACCGTATGACACCCGTAATATCAATCATGGGCAATAAGAGGTAAAACATCCCATTCAAGAGAATTAAGATATCATGCCTCTTATCCTGTAAATTAACTGCCGAAACTATACCCTACAACTGATAGAGCTGGAGAGGAAGGCTGTTTTAGGTGAAGTTTTAGGTGAAGAATCGCTTAAAGATTAATAGTTTTGAATTCTATTTCCACATCAAATCGAAATATCAAGCAGTAATGAAAAACCGATTTTGATATTTCAGACAAGTGTTCCCCAACGGCCTACCTGAGCATTTCAGCGTCATCGGCACCTTCAACAGTCGCGGACAACGAAGACCATGGAGTCTCATCAGAGCCCGTTCCAAGAGTGTACAGTTCTCATTAACGCTGCTGCCAAATGCGAAGAAACTTTCAGTTTTTGTGCATGGTAATAGGGTTGTGTTTGGAAGTGAAGAGGTATGTTTGATTAATTTATGTATTCATTTTTTGTTATTAGCAAACTAGCTGACGATACAGCGTATGGATAGTGGTAACTATGTGATATTATATTATCTGTGGTGGTAGCCATCGCCTATATACATGAACAGATACTACGTTCTTATCTGAGACCCATAATACCATTCATTTTGCTATTTTAAGGGTTTAAGATGTCATAACTGTAACATATATATTATATAGAATACTTGTATGTCGCTTTGGAATAATAGTAAAATAGTTTCTCAGATCCGTGATTGCGATTATGAAATTTATTTCCTCATAACAATTTTTTCTCTCTTTCTATATAATATACATAAATGAATAAAATATAAAAATACTTCATCTACTTAAAAAACACATTTAACTATAAAAATCTACATTATGAATAACCAACTTGGGCCTGTATTTTATTTAAAAAACTTAGAAGTTAGAGCGCACTGGTATCAAATAAAAATAAATGATTTTATGTAGAACAATCATGTTTTTTCTATAGGTATGTTAAATTTCAACTATTTAAACTTATTACAGATGGTTAAGAATCCACAGAAGCTTAAACTTTCTGTAAAGCAATTCATAAAAAAATAAGATGGATAGATTATAGAAGGCTATGCTCCTTATAAGACCAATAGCGTGGCCTTCAGTGATTTAATAACCTTATATTTTATTTTTCTAGTTGTTTTCACCTGGTTGGCATAAAGTACATATGGCTGTCACAAATGACACAGTACACGTGGCTGTTGATTGTATAGAGGTAAGTAATCATTAGTTTTATATATTTATATAATATGTCAATTCTTCAGAACACAGTGCGTTGTATATTCAATAGAACACACAGAGCTATATCCTGTAAATAACGGAAGAGATTTTATACACGGCTTTTACTATAATTTCAAGAGTTGTACGACTTATGTCTTAAACACTGGACTGTGCGAAGTTGAGGACGCTAGTTAAAAAACTAAACTACGTTGACCCAAACAATGAGGTCTCGGTAATTTTCCTTAAAATACTATATTAAGTTATTTAACACTCATTTTTTTATGTAACTGGAATGACAAACAATCTTACGATATATTTCAACCGAAACAGCTCTAATAAAGGAGGCTGCTTGACGGCCGAATAAGATCAGTCAGAGACCCATGCATATAATAATAAATAGGTAATAAATAGAATGACAGACAGAAATGTTACAAATGTAGGCATAAATCTATTGTTTTAATTAGAATTTATTAACATGCTCCTCAATTTTTATTTAGTAGAAAGATATCTTATGAAGAAGGAATAGTATTCTTCGTGTTCTTACTCAAAATATTTCATTGTTTTTTGTTGTTCCAGTTAAGACCGGAGAATATAAGTGCGCATGACTTCACGAATGCTACAATTGTCACCATAGCATCCAATGAAGATGGGACTCCATCTCCGGTAAGTGAGAAAATCAACCTTCCTCTTGAATCACTCTATCTACTTCTGAAAACTGCATTAAAATTCGTTGCGTAATTTAATAGATATAAGCGAACAGGCGGCGACTTTGTTTTGTAAAGTTTATGCATAGATCAAATTATAAAATAAAATAAGTAATTTCAAGCTTATCTCTAAAAAGAGATTTCTTCCAGTAAAACCTCGAAATGTTATAGAACAGTACAAGAACAGGTGTCCCTTTCTCTCAAATGGATAATATGGCTTGTAATAAAATTATCAGAATTAGTTTCAAAAAATGCTGTGAGTTTATATAAATAAAAATTAAAGAAGGAGATATGTACGTAATTATTAGTTTTGGACTTAATAACTGCTCTATATTTTTCCAGATCGATCTACAGTGGCTCTCTCTGAGTTGTAACCATTACAACCTTACTAGGGACAGTTGTGAAGAACTGGTAAGTAATATTTACAGTGTTTGGTGTAGTTTATTATTGTTTCTCATGCTTTATTATTATTTCTTCAAATTGTTTGCCTTTAGTGTCTGTTTTATTGTATTTTCCTATCAGATAGTTATCGTTAAGTTAAAAAAAAATATCTTTATGCTAGCTGTAACTGTTTAGTGACTAAACAGTTACAGATAGCATAAAGATATTTTTCTTTTTTTAAACTTAACGTTTTACATAAAGTTTTATTTTAACGTTAAACATAAACAAAGTTAAAAAAACTGCAGACAACAAAACAAACATTATAAACAAACAATCTGAAGAAATGTGAAGCTTGCTACAATATATTAGTAAACCATAGATTTATAGACAAATATTCTATAAAAATAACTCTATTGGGAATTTATAACTGTTTTAAATAAAATTAATAAATTCCCTCGACAATACTTTTTATCCTCAATATATACATTGATCATCACATTTTTATTATATGAACTAGTACATATTTAAATAACATAAGTTTTGACCTAACTTGTGTTATTTAAATCTGTACTAGTAATTATGTGTTGATATCGTGGTTTATTTATTTATTTAAACTCTTTATTGCACCAGACAAAGAAAACACACAAAATAATATAATACATAAACTGATACAAAAGGCGGTCTTATCGCTAAGCAATCTCTTCCAGACTACCAGTAGAGAAAGTAACATTAAGATAAGAAAATAGTAGTTTATACGATTTTACATAAAAATAATATTCCCAATTGTAATATAACAGTTGTTCGCGCCTACAAAGTTCCATCCAGCAATTTATTTTTTTTAGTTATTGTTTAATTATTCATAAAGGCACTTATAAATAAAGGGTAGACAAATTATTACTTTGAAGTTGAAGAGCAATGTCACTAAAACACTTTCTATTATACAGCCATTACATTCGCATCCATCCATACAACTATACGCATTTTTATACATTTTTTAAGTTAACTAAATTGTACATGAAGCAATAAATCTTGTATTCAACAAAAAAGAGTTTCTCTATATAATCATAAGAAGCTCCAGATGTCATCCTAGACACCAGTAACTAATATTCTCAAAACATTTATTTTCATACAGTATATTTTTTCAGGAGGAACCTGCAAATCTCATTGAATCATCGACGTTACAGGTATGTTACAAAACGAAAATCTGAAAGTAAAGAGGAACGATTTAATGTTTTAGATTATGTCGAACACTCTAAAATGATTTTTAAAATTAAGTATTGACTGATTTAATAAAATATATTCCTAGTCATATTATACATACATAAACGTGATAGTGACTGTCTATCTGTCGACTAAACTGTTGAACGGATCTTAGTGTAATTCAAAGTGAAGATAGATTATATGACGACACGTTGAAAATATAATCTAGAAGGGATGACTGGGTAAAAATGTTGTTCTCACAGAAGATTATAAAATAAAAATCGTTTTTATTCCCCAGATTGGTTCGGGCTCCGTGTCAAACGTTAATCCGATATTAGATGTTGTCTGTAAAGGATCTTGTCCTGCTGTAAGTAGAATAGAATAGAATAGAACAGAGAAGAATGAAATATATGTAATTTTGCTCTTAATACGAGTTTAATATATATATTTGATTCTTGAAAAAATATTAGTTAACTTGGCTTGTGTTGTAGTTTTTTTTAATATATAAATTAAAAAATGTTTCTATATTTACAAACTGTTAAATTGCAATTAATTCTTACTAATATTTATAATATATACGAAAGTAATTCTATCTGTCTGTCTTGCTTTTACGCCAAAACTACTGAACCGATTTAAATAAAATTTGGTACACAGATAGTCTAGACCCTAAGAAAGGAAGCCTACTTTGCGAAATAAGGATTGTAAGGGGTTGAAAGGGCAGATCCAAATTTATATTGAAGAATCGTCATTTGTAAAGCTAGAAGCTTGATACTTATTTTTTAGGCAGTTGATTAAATATAAATAAATACGACATTCAAAGTATTAAAATTACTAGTTATTATTATTTATAAATATTTATTACATGCATATATTTTTGTGTTATTAGGGACCTATCGGACCACCGGGTCCTAAGGGGGACATGGGCATTAGGGGACCTCCTGGTCTACCGGTAAGTAATGAAACATACTGTTTGTATAATTTAGACACCTTTTTGTTTGAATTTAGTTCCTTATACCTATAGCTTTACTGGGTATATATATATTATATCTTGTACATATATTATATACATATAATACCAGCGTCTAGTGTTTTACTATTACACCCAAGAGGTCGTGAGTACAAACCTTGGCGATGGCACAAAAACTTTTTTCGGACAACTCTAATGCTGTTGGCCGCAGCTGGCCTTTACAGCTTCTCCGGACGATAGTAGGCGAGTGCAGATAGCACTCCAAACCCGTTGTTACAATTCCGTAGATGATTATTATAATTATGATGACCATAAAGACTTATAACGACCTATTGCACTGTGCTAGCTGACATAATGAGATTTACTGTTTAAGTTGCTATTATGTTGTAGACGAAAATTTACTCTAATGTTAGGTACTATCACAGATAACATAATATTACATAGTACTATTATATTATCCTACAATTTGTATTGTTTTGGATGAATAAATAAAATTAATTGTGTGTTGGAATCCATTTTCCGCATTTAGTTGTTAGTCCTCTCATTTGGACCGTTGTAAATTTATTAACGCCAAAAAATTTATTTGTAAAAATAAGTTTTAACTAAGTGTGATCAAAACTAACCATAATTATTAAAATTATTTTTGTTGTCAGGGTATTAGGGGACAAAAAGGCCTAGCTGGTTTGACCGGCGGGCCAGGAATTAAGGGGGACAAGGGGAACATAGGTATACCGGGAAGGCCTGGACTACCGGGGAGCACAAACGTAAGTTAAAAACTGAATATTAGTATAGAATAAATATTTGGAACTACATGAACATTCTTTCAATAATATTATTTAAAGATTAACCTAACCAATTATTTTAAGCTTTGATGCATATGCGTATACATATATGTATTTGTGTGTCTGTTTGTGACAGCGTAGCTCCTAAACAATTATGATGCGTTTATACTTTGTATACTGACTTGATCAAGATAGTTCCTAGTTATATAATAATTTATTAGAAGTCTTTTTTTATTCGGTATTTAGAATAACTTTAAAGATGCATGCAAACTGTAAGGCGGTGATTAACTTTGTATTCTAATTACATATATGAAGGGTTTGTTTATTGTCTCGTTTGAATGTACTGATCTCTGACTCTACCTATCAAATTTCAAAAGTTGTTTTTATATTTTATAGCCCAATGTTATGAAGGTTTACGTACGATTTAACGTTACGCTAGAATCTTTAAATGCTGATAAAAAAGGAAAAAGTAAGAAGAAATGATATTAGAAAATAAATTCTAAGCGATAATGTAGATGGAAAAGTAGAAGGGATGTAGCCATAGAAAACACACATGTTTTACTTTATTATACTGTAAATCCAACCGCTGGACATAGCTCGTAGTTAAAAATACTAACCTTACAATGTGAATGTTTTAGAATAATTACAAAGAGAATAATTAATAATGTTTTGATGTTATTAATAATGAATATCTTGAATGATAATAATATTATTTTTTAATAGAATACTGTCACAGTAAATGGACGACGGGGACTACCAGGGAGACATGGACCGAAGGGAGAGAAAGGAAACAGCGGGGAGAAAGGTATCCATATTTAAAATAGTTATATAAAAAAAAATACTATTTTTATTTAATTACATGGTTTAAAACAAAGTCACCGCCGCTGTTTACGCTTGGATCTTATAAATTACGCAACAAATTTTAATGCAGTTTTCAATAGAGTGACTCAAGAGGAAGGTTTTTTATGGATGATAATGGAATGGTTTACCCACCTACGCTACGGTTTACACTGACGGGGCACCAGTAGAGGATAAGATGAGCATGAGGTCAGGTTTTTTTTATTGATGATAATGGAATGGTGCACCCGCCTGCGCTAACGTGACAAATTCTCCAGGAATTTATCACGATAGTTTCCAGGGGATACCGCGTGGAGGTCAACCAGACATGGTACATTGCTAGCAATAGGTCACCAGTCCACATTACTAACAATCCCCTTTCCCCCCCCATGAGGTCAGGTTAGTCAATTCCCCATCATGAGGAAAAGGAGGAGTAAATCCTGAAAATTCAAAGATTTATAACATACCCATAGCCAGGCTGGGTCAACTTATATTTATATTATGTGTATGTATGTATAATTATTATCGTTTATTCACCAATGTGAAAAACTTCTTTACATATGTATATGGCAAGTTATAATATAAATTAATGGTATTTATACAACTTCAATTTAATTACAATTCTAATAATAAATTACGATACGATATATATAAAATAAGGGTATGGTGATATATGGACTAATTGAATCTGCGGCTAGTTAATCCGTTAATGTTGCAGGTGAGCCGGGTGAAGCGGGCTTAGTCGGATTATCAGGCCCGCCGGGTGTGGACGGCCGGGATGTAAGTCTCTCCTAAGATTATCTGATTTATCAGACTCGCGAAAGATAATTAAAAGACTCATGAAGAATTAAATATAGTGTGTGATTCTATTATATATTACTAGCTGTATTAACGATGTTTTGCCTTAAAATAAAAAAAAAAAATTAGGGGTGGACTACCCCTAACATTTAGGGGGATGAAAAATAGATGTTGGCCCATTCTCAGACCTACTCAATACGCTCACAAAATTTCATGAGAATCGATCAAGCCGTTTCGGAGGAGTATGGGAACGAAAACTGTGACACGAGAATTTTATATATAAGATTTAAATAATTAATGTTGTTTAGTTTCATGTATGTAATAATATAAAAAAATATTATCTATTTTTTTTATTAACGTTTATGCTAACGGTCTTCAATCATCTTCCACTGGTAGCCCTCTACCACTGGAAGATGACTGATGACCATGAACTCAGGTCAGTCAGACGTCAGCCCATGGTGGAGAATGCACCAGGAATTAACTAGGATGGTTTATAATATAAATGATAATTGGGACACTACAAAGTCCCATAACAAACAATTCCTTTCTCGTCTCCAAATCATGCTATATTTATTTATTTATTTAATTCAGGCTACATGGCCCATATTATAAATACCTTATAGACTAACATACATAAGAAATAAAAATAAAATATGTAAATAAAATTGTCTCTATGGTCACGGCACTGACGACGGCAATCTGCCACGGTATGAGTATATTTAAAGTTTAATATATCAGTAACATTTTTAAAATATATCAGCGATGACTATTTGATCATTTTAGGGCCTGCCTGGGCCCCAAGGCCCTCCGGGTCTGAAAGGGGAGCCTGGCCTTCCTGGTCCTGCGAACATAATTGACTATAACACTTCAGCGGTGCAAGGTAAGTTCTTTAAGACGTAGTCCAGTACTGAAGTTGCTGCGAGAAAATTATCTATAGGGTTTTTTTATAAGAGACTTTTTTTATAAAAAGAAAGAAATATATTTGTAAAAATAATGTTTATTCAAATATATTTCAATTTAAGTACTTATCGGTAGTTGTTTTTTTAATTTACCATTTTCATCTAAAAAGAATTGGTAAGGAAATTGCTGTTGCTCATTTTTTTATTAATTATATATATATATTTTTTTAATACTACTATGGTGGCAAACAAGCACACGGCCCATCTGATGGTAAATGGTTACCGTAGCCTATGGACGCCTGAAGCACCAGGGGTGTCACGTGCGCGTTGCCGACCCTTAAGAAACCTTAATATACCCTTCTTGAAAAACCCCATGCTGTAGAAGAGATGAGAAAACCTCGGCATTCCACAATCTAAGTGTACATTATTAATGTATATGTATATTAATTTGTCTACGATTTTGTGTAACAACAGCTATCACACAGCGTATTATTATAAAATACAAATGGATTTAACAAAATAAAATCAGACATTGCAAATCAAACAAAAAAGAAGCAGGACATTGACTGACATCTGACATCCCTGTAAGTAAAGTGTATATATGTATCTAGTGGTAAGTAAATTTATGTAGCACGTTTTATAGCTGGTGTTTAAAAGGAGTCTACTATTTTTTTTAATTATAATCGAAATAACTAGGACCGAAAGGGGAGAGAGGTGCCCCTGGAAAGCCTGGTGTGGACGGTGCTCCTGGTTTAAGGGGAATACCAGGATCTGATGGAATTAGGGTAAGATTTGAATGTTTTATATATCAATAATGGGAGAGAGAATTGTCCGAGTTGGTATAATATGAAAGATTACAAATCCACAATATACCTTTAAAAAATCTTTCATTATTAGACATCGATATTATTATCTTCTTTTGTATTCTTGGATTAAGATTTTGGATGTTTTCCTATACACAACAGACAATTCACACAGCACCATCTAGTCCCATACTAAGCAGAGCGTGTTATAAGTACTAAATACCTGATATAAATACTTATTTTTTTTATTTGTAAATACATAAATACAAACAATCATACTCATGAATACAAATATTTGTACCATCCGAGGAATCGAGCTCGCAACCACCGAAATGAAGGCGGTGTGTTCTAACCGTTAGACCACTAAGGTCATCTAAATTGTATTAATGTATAGAGCTGGCCACATGCTTTGGTATATATAGAGCTTTATCGCAGTATTTGGCTTTTCTTGTTTAACCCTTAATTTGACTATTTAGATAAAAAATGTATATAACTACAGTTTTCCTTTATAATGTTGACTTTAATTCAAAATAAATTGGATTCTATAATATTCATTTTTAAATTAGATATATTTTAATTGAACAGGGTACACCAGGTCCCGAGGGACCTATTGGAGTTCCTGGCCCACCCGGAAGCCGAGGATTGCCTGGCCCACAAGGACCTATTGGAGAACGAGGACCTGAAGGATTACAGGTTATATTATAATCTGTAATGAATTGTAGAGTTTCTTGTGATTCGTTTGATTATATACAATTATGTATATATAATTATTTTTCGACAATAACATTTTTTCCCACGTTTATATATTATATACTAGCTGTGCCCACGGTTTCACGTGCGTGAAATTGATAGCCTATGTTATTCTCACGTATAAACTATATCACTGTAAAGTTTCAACAAAATCCGTTGAGTTGTGAATCCATACTCACAAACTTTCGCATTTATAATATTAATAATAAGATTTAAATTTATATTTCATACTTCAAAATATTTAATATTTCCGTCATGTCAGTAGCTGAAATGTAAAAGCTACATGGATTGGAAGTTATTATATTTTTTGTTTAGGGCCCTGAAGGTCCCCCAGGCCGGCCAGGTCCCGCTGGGCCTCCGGGGCAAACGGCTGCGGTGACTCCCGGCGTACTGTCCGCAGGACCACCCGGCCCTACAGGTGAAAGGGGAGAAGTGAGTTAATATAAATATATACTCTTTACGTAAATTACTTTATATAATATATCATGTAGTGTTCACTATGGTCAGGTCAGTCAGCCCATAGTATTATTCACAATTTTTTATCATATTGATGGATGAGAGGGAACTGCGTGAAGGTCAATGACATGGTACATTGATAGCAATGTGGTAAACAGTCAACATTACTAACAATCCTTTCCTTCTGATAATATTATTAAATTATTGTAACCAGAAAGGCGAGCCTGGTATTCCGGGAATGCCGGGGAGGGACGGTGTGGATGGTTTACCGGGCGTGCCAGGGTCAGTAGGTCCTCCAGGTCTACCAGCACCATACAACGCTGTAACTCAGGTATTTTATCTTTTAATTTAGGTTTTACAACAAACTGCCAGAGTCTGTTCTCAATCTGCCAGGAAAAGGATTCAAATGTCTTATAAAACACTTTCTTTGTAAGAAAGTTCTCAGAAAGTATATTATTTTTAACACATAAAAATGTTCTTGTATCATGAAGTGTTAGATTTTTTAAATATAATTTTTATAACTTTGTTTAGCAAGTCAGTTATATGAATTATATATTTTATTGTGATGTTATTTATTATATTGGTGTATTTATTACATAACATGTCCTTATGTCGCTGAGTATATTAGAATCCAAAATGAGGGTTATATTATACTAAGATTAATTCCTGGTTTGTTATTCGTGTTTCCTTCAGCGGAAAGTCAATCAGTATAATGAGTTCTCACAAGCTTTTAGGTTAAGTTAGGGTAGTAAACCACTAGGTCACGACACCTTTACAGATTTGGTGAGGTAACATTATTTTTTATTTAATATATTTGCGATTTTTATAGGTTCCTACAATCACTGAGAATGAAGTCAGGAGCATTTGTGAAGATCTTGTTAGACGTAAGTAAAGATGTATAGTTTGTAGCTATACAATACTGTGTGTATTATATTATATAAACGACATTCATATATTTTGCATAGATCAAGATTACTCATAAAAATATGGTTTGTTTGCAGTGTTTTTAATATATAAATAAGGGAGCAGCTCTCAATTCGGCTGTATTTTTTACGTTATTTTAAAACTTCATTAATAAACTTTTTTGGAAAATTCTTCATTAATTTGAAATGAAATCCTCTAATCTTTTGAATGGTCCAAATAAATCAGACTCAGACAAACTGCTAGCAACGTCGTGATTGTTGTATGAAAAATGAATAAATATACTTATGCGTTTGGGATACGATTTTTTGGAAAGATTTGTTTTCACGGTCAAATGTATGTGTTGGTTTTAGAGCATTTGCAAGAGATGATGATCAGTCTACCCACATTATCGCCTATTGTTAAGAGAGGAGCTCCGGGCAGGCCGGGTCCTCCCGGTATACCGGGTAAGTGAAATCGTGATATAATTATATATATCTTTACGACTTTTATCCCAGATGGGCTAGTCAAGCGTTGTCAATAGTATATGGTGTTTTTGCAGACCTTCTACGTAGGTGTAGAGGACTCTATTACCAATGTTTCTGATTAATTTGGTTTGTTATCGGTGTTACCTTCACCGGAAAGTTAATTTTTTAGTCTTTGGGGACTAATTTGGCTATATACCACTATCTTCTTTCTGTAATGGCAAAAAGAGGACTTGATGAAAGCGTCATCATGTAGGCCGTGAGTTTGATTTGACAAACACAAAAAACAACTGAGTCAATTTATATTATCACTAATGAACACTGACTGACATTTTGGCTTGTTATCAATGTTACCATCAAGTAATACTGATAATAAACCAAAAATTAAATTTAAGGACTGCGATAGGCTTCACGTTGTATTCTAATGTACTCTATATTCCAACGTAAGTTTTGTTCGAGGTATGCTCACTGATTAGATAATTGTCTTTTGACAAAACTGTAATAGGATATGGTGATGGACACAACATTCTCCCTAATTGAATTTAAAAATGAATCTGTCTTTTTGTAATCATATACATGCTCATTTGAAAAGAATAAGAGCTGAGTTTCTTGTCAGTTCTTAGCTCGAAAGCACTCGTGAACTGACGGTAGATTTGACATATCATAAAACTGCAATAGGCCTACATGAATAAAGATATTTTGATTTGATAAACCAAGCAACTATAACCCAAAGAAGTATTTGATTTATCTTAACGCTTTATAGGTAGAAACGGGGATCCGGGTGAGTCTGGACCTCGTGGATATCCAGGTGAGGCTGGAGAGCCTGGTAAACCTGGTATATCAGGAGAGAGAGGAGAGAAAGGAGATAAAGGCGAAAGAGGGCCTGAAGGAGTAGGGTTACCAGGTTCAGAAGGTCCTAGAGGTATTGCAGGTGCGTAGATCAAATTTCTACTTACTAATCCATACTAATATTATAAATGCTAAAATGTCTATGTATCTGTTTGTTATATTTTTTACCACTAAATGGATTTGAAGCCTAAACCGGTTTTTGTTCGAACCATTCTAATGCTGTTGGCCTTTACAGCTTCCCTGAACGATAGGGCGTGGGTGCAATGGAATCCCAAACCTGCGGAAGAACTTATGGAGTGGCTGAAGGCCAACTCCTTCCTGACGGATAGTCTGAGGACAACGTTAGGGGTTCGAACCTCGGCTCAGGCCGTCGTAATACATAGCCGTCGTGAACTTCGTTTGAATTGGACGGCAGATGGATCGAAGTGGGCCTAAATTGCTAAGACTGAGTTATCGCTGAGATGACGGCCTCGGTGGTTTAGAGGTTTAGCACAACGCTTTACTTTCGATGATCGCGGTTTCGATTCCTCTCACGGTCACCTTTTGTCTGTTTGTCTTATTCTTGTTGTTTTCTATGTATGTATAATTTGTTTTTAGGTCCCGTTGGTCCTCCGGGAGCAGAAGGCAGAACTGGTCCTCGCGGTGATCCAGGGCGAGAAGGTAACTGCTATTTTTTTTCATGACACATTAGCCCTCCAAAATAAAAATGATACTTCGGGATAATTCGCATAACGCCATCTAGTTCCAACACTTTGTTTTATGGGTAGTAGACAACAGATATAAATACATATATCCATGTATTTTTTTTAAATAAAGACAATATATATAGAAAATAACATATCTAAAAGTATTACCACGATTTTTTTTTGTTTGTATCATGAATTCATTCTTCCTGACTATAAACAAATTATTTGATCGTTGTAAAACCTCGTGAGAGATGATTCTGTAATACATTGAGAATTAAGCCTCAGATATTTCAGCTTATGCCAGGTTGTTGAAGTCTGGTATTTTAATCCATTAAGACATTATGACACACAATTAAAAATATAAAAACAAACTGGACAGACATCCGAAGTTATAAATTAATACCGAAAATAGTTCAATATACATCATACCAGGGAGGTTGTCTCATAAATGTCACAAACTGTGACAAGGACGGGACAAGGAAATACTTTGTATGTGACATAAAAAAATATTCTAGTCACTATAATCTTTTTTCAGGACCAATTGGACCTCGAGGCGTCCCGGGACCAAGGGCAACTTGTGATTGTCCCTCCCCAGCTTTCTACTCTTACCCTATGGGAAGTAGTAAGGGGCCTTAATATTAACATGTATAAAAATATTAGTATTATATATCTTGGAAACTTATATTTGTATAAATCCTTTACAATATATTTGAAAATAGAATGAATTACTTTATCATAATCTATTGTATAGTATGTATAATAATAACACTTCGGGACTCCGTTTTACTTGCACTCCGTTTATATGAAAAAGTAATTATATTGGTTTTTTATTTAATCGCTTTTTTGTTACCTTACGGACTCGTGACTCACCTGATGGTAAGTGATTACCGCCGCCCATGAGCCAGCCTTTTAAGAAGGAATAAGCTCTTTTCTTAAACGTTTTAATAACGTATCGGTTCGGAAATACCATTGCTGGTTAATGATTCCACAATGTGGTTGTGTGTGGCATAAAGTTGCTGGAAAAACGCACGGTGGAGGACTGCCATTCATTTACATTTTACGTTCTAGTTTATTTACCTGTCAAGTAAACTGCAATAAAAATGTAAAAAAAAATGGGAAAATGTGATGCAGACGAAATTGTGGGTTCAGCTAGTAATAAAAAAAAAACAAAATATTGGTAGCTCATAAATAATATTATCATAGTATTATCCCGTAAATATTCCGTTTCTACAATGTGAATAATGAAATAACAGTGAAAAAAGTTTAAAATAATGTTATATATAGTTCATACTGATTTTCTTTTAATACGCAAATGTTTGAAACTCTGTCACAGCTTTGGTAACATTTTATGCATTAAAGAAAGGTTAAGGTTTTAATTATTTGCTGGTTCTATTTCCTTAACCGAGTCTATGTCAGCTTTGCAGAAGAAACACTGCTTACTGTTTAATAAGTGTTGCATAATGCAGGCTCTGTAACAAAAATAAAAAATATTCGAAATTAGAGTTGATAACTTTTCTAGTCAATATATAAGTAATATTTTTCTATGAAAATGCATATATTTAAAGTCAAAACATAATATACATAACAATTAATTGTGCATTGTGCAGTCGCCATTTAATTAAAAAAAATGGCTACCTTTCTCTTCGTTCGTCGACCTACCTCACTCATCGTCAGCCCGCTTTGTTACTTTTTCTTGTTTCAAGTTAATTCTAACATTTTCTTATCTTTGTGTGATGTACTTATCTATTATAAGGAGGTTTGAGTGTTTGATTATTATGGTTTTATATAACTCAATGCATATATTAATCATGATATCGGTATATTTTAAAATACTATATATTATACGCTGTGGGAATTACCATACCATATGGCATTTTCTACTATTCAACCATAAGTGATGTAGGAAAGAAGTATTGTCGGTGCAAATAATATAAATGAAAAACAAAATGTAATAAGATATAAACATAACGGATAGTATGTTACACGTGTCTACGTATATATACATCTAGGTACATTATATATATATTAATATATACCAATTAATATGAAAATCATAGAATTATAGTACACACCACAAAGTAGCACTGGTTCACAGAAAAATGTAAAGTTACGTTAATTTAGACAATATTCCCGATTGAAAGAAAATTCACCTGCAAGAATGGTGTCCACACGGAACAAATGCTGTATCAGCAGGCCTCGCGTAACAAATGGTGCACAGCAGTTCTGACTGCGCCCCACTAGATCCTGGAGACCTGGCTTTGACCACTGCGTCACGAGCCACTCGCAGTCGATCCACCACTACTTCGAAAGCTTTCATCTCTTCTATTGTTATATCATCAGGATCTATATAATGAACAGTAATGTATAACCCCTTCATCATTATTATCCCAGATCTCAATATATAGAATGGATCTAATCTGATACAAACACACTCATGAATACAAATGTTTGCACCGTGAAGGAATCGAACCCGCGACCATCGGTGAAGCGGTGTACTTAAAGAGTAATCAGAGGCATTAGAAGCTGTCGATATCAAGGTGAAGATAGTATATACAAGTAGATAAAAAACATATGTATATGTATATATAAACAAATGTATAATAGCTGATCCGCATAACTTCGCCTGCTTCACACATGACCAATTTGTTTATCTTTTTAAATTATAGCCTACGTCTTATTCTGATGTATAAGCTATATTACTGTAAAGTTTCGTCAAAATCCGTACAGTAGTTTTTGCGTGAAAGAGAAACAAATCCATCCATCCATACTCACAAACTTTCGTGTATATATATTTAGAGAATAGAATAAAAATAATTTATTACTAACAATTATAGAAAGAGAAGTGTTCTTTATCTTTGGTTTTTCCAATCATAAACTCCAGTCCATCGACACGAAAAAGGGGCTCTGTTACTAAAGCTTTTGTCACCTTATCCAGATGCTGTGATAAAATTATTAACAAATCACACGTTTTATAAAAAAAATGCAAAGTTCAAAAACTATTATTTTTAAAAGATAGCCTTTTTATATTATTAGAATGAAAAACATGCTGACAGCTGATCTGATGGTAAACGGTCACCGTCGTCTGTATACCTAAACAGCATTAAGGATGTCACGTTATTCCGTGATACCAGTGATATCACTCATTCTATCCCATTCCAGAGGACTAAGATGTCATGCCTGTCATCCCATAATAACACTGTCTAATCCAGTGTTCAAAAACCTTTTTAATGCTATGCCCTACCTTAGCTATTCTAAAATTCTTATGCACCCCTCCCTCGGGCCTATGTAATATACACAATTAAAAAAAAATATGCATTTAGAAACTTAAATAATAGGTTATAGGAAAAAATCACTAGGAAATTTTTAATGAAACAATAAGATAAATTTCAAAAGATATTATGAATAATTGAAGTTCACTTTCCATATAATTTTAATAAAGAGTCCGTTTTTGAATTGCCTCCCTTAATAATCAAATTTATTACCCTGCCCATTGGGGCATGGGCCCCACGTTTAGAAACATGGGCCTAATATGTACCCTACAACCAAAACAAAGCAAGCTACTTAGCGGCTGGAGTTACAGCATAACTCTGATTAAGGTTTAGCTGGGTTAACGAATACCAAGGATTGGTAACGTTAACGGTCAGATTCTAAATTATATTTTTACATCAGGAGGTAATTTGGGATCCAACATCCTGATGAGGCAGCCGGCGATGGGCGTCAGAGCGACGTAGTAGTGCACTCTATCAGTATCAGGGAGGCCTCGTGCCACCAGCCTGGCGAAGCCCGCTCCTCCGCCACCACGAACACAAACCCGAGATATGACAGCCATTATGATCTAAAACAATCTTTTTTATTAAAAATAATTTACTCATGTTACATGCGACTTCGTCTACGTCGAGGATGAAATAAAAAAAGATGTAATTCATTTTCATACTTGATCGATCATGTGACCGCGTTGTTAGTACTGGTAGTTTAAAATATTTTCAATTTTCCACTATAATTCTTGCCGAATATATTAAACAAAATATAAGAAGACTACGAGTACATTTCTCCACAAACAAATTCATTATTTGAAGATTTATGGAAGCCAAAAAATGTCAAAGGTCCCTGAAGGTTGACTGGTAGAGAATGTCTCTAGCAATAAATCCGCATTTAGTAACATTTGTTTTGTGAACTTGTTGTAAAAAGTTGTGCATAAATCTCCGTAAATATTTTTTAAAGATTTTTTGATTGTGAAGAAAAATATCATCATCTGCTTCTTCCTTATCCCATTTATTTCGGATCGGTGTAAGTTTGTAATTTTTCTCTTCCATTCCTGTTCGCAGTCATCTCGTTATTTACTCCCTTTCTTACCATATCACCTTTCACACATTATAACCTTACAACCTTAAATATATAACACCTTCCTTAAAATATTGTCTTCATACCTACATTACATGCCTATACTACGACCTACCACGACCGAGCGATATGACCTCTTCAATCTCTCTGACACCATCGTAACTTTCATATTTCCTCTGATGCATTAATTCTTTACTACCACACATACATTTTAACATTTGTATTTCAGTTGCATGCAGTCAACTTTTATATATCGTCGTTACGGGCCAGCACTAATAACCATACAAGACAGCAGGCCGGATCATGATTAAAAAATGTTATTATACAATTTTAGTAATTAAATATATACAATTTTAATTTATTCCAATTTTGTTTATTATTATTATATATTATATAAAGGGAACGTGTGTATTATACTGTGATGAAAAATGTGTGAAGCAGATATATATTTAGGCATTTTTATTCTAAATACAATCAAAATCAATCAAGTAAATACTTGACACGTCCGTCCCAGAAGAAGTTCATTTTGGTTGTCACTGGCTTCGGGTTTCGTGAGCAAATCTGGTGCCAAGTACATGCACAGTTCTAACGCTCGAGCAAGTCCATGGTATAAATCAAAACAGGTTGCGCACAACTTTATTTGTCTAGACTCTAGGTGTGCATCAACGTATACTCGATCCATCTGTACATAAATAATAGATACAAATTATTATTAAACAAAACATATATATATATATATATATATAACAAGGCGGTGTAAATAGAATAATAATAACCCTGGACAATTCACGCACCGCCATCTAGTACTTCAGCAGAGCTTGTGTTATGGGTACTAAACAACTGATACAAATACTGTTTTAGTAATAACAAGTTATTGAAGCCGCAGAACAATTGCAAAAACAATATTGGATTACAAAAGGGAAACAATGAAATGATGGTCGTCTATGAGAAAATTTAAAAAACATAGTAACATATATATTTTGTCTTAAAGGCCTGAAATAATATACAGTATAAAAGTACTCTCAACATTCAGTGGAAATTTCCAAAACAAACAATATTTTTTATTATAATAAATATTGATGGGTTATTAATTTCTCATCCAATCAATCATATCCAAACGTTGTACGGCACGAAAGCTTGGAATTTAGTAACGTAAATATCGTATATAGGAATACATTATATATTAATAATAAAGCTGAAGGATGTGTTTGTTTTAAAGCGAATATCTCTAAAACTAGCAATATTATTTGTTGTATCTATGATTTAAAGTCAATAATGCTTGGGGGTAAATACCATCATGCTAGTACCTTTAACAGTAAAAAAAAATTAAAAACACAGTAACTTTTTGCAAGATGAAATGTGAAAACTAAGTAATGTCGCGGGCGGGTGACGTGATGCAGTTGCTGAGGTCAGCGTGGGTGACTGACATTTCTTCAAAATAGACTGCGTCAGAAAACAAAGTCAAATAATAGTCAACCGTAGTTTATTACTAATATTATTTACAGTTTATTTAATTTTCTTTCGAAATAAGCTTAGCATCACAGTGTACTAAAGAAAGCATTAGTGAGCCGCTGTTGACAGATCTACGACAAGCAGAACATTATCATCATCATCACCGATATTATAAAGAGGGAAGATTTGATTTTTAATAAAATGGTTGCCTGATTTTATATATTTTTCACTATATATATATTTAACTGCATATAGCTAGTTGCGTATAAATAAAAATATTAAATTCTTGGCCAGTGAGAAGAACTTCAAGACTAGAGTTACAGATTTTCCTTGAAACGTTTAACACACATACAAATAAAATTGAAATAGAAATAATCTTTATTAAATAATCTTAAACTTATTTTCAACTTATATTTTTTAAAATGTTACTCATTCGGAAAGCAAATTCAGCACAAGATAGAGAAAGAAACTTGCCTGTTGCTATAATAAGATCTTTAAATGAAAATATCTGTGAATACTAACAATCAAATAAGTCATTAGAGTCGAAATAGTAAAGTAGTAGAATGAAATTATGCGACCATAAAGACAAATGGATAACTCAAGTTATGAAATTGTTCCCGCCGGCAAATGGCCGAAGAAAAATACTCAAAGAATTTCATAAAAAAGGTAAGCACCTCTTGCATCATGGTGATGAACTCAGACAATGCCCAGTTCAGCTGACTGAGGAGTGAGTTCAAGAATGCTGCAGCGTCTTTCGGGTGTGATGATAAGTAATCTCGTATTCGATTCTGGATTATTTCTGATGGGCACGGACCTGTATATTACATATATCTATATAACTAGTGGTCCCTTAGCCTTTGAAATTATTAAAGTTCCATTGTCAAATACTATACATACTTCTATGCGTGTGTGTGAAATACATGTTAGTGTATGCAATGTTTTTTATTGATGTATTTTTGATGCATAATTAATAAGATATATTAGTATTTTGCACTCCTCTTCTATATAATATACTCCTTACCTACCGCACAATTTTCGGAAAAATGGGATTAAAATTTTTGCTTCTTGTATTAAAATAATGTATATATACGTCCTATATTGACATTCCAAACATGGAAGATTAGTATTTAAATTATTTTTTTATAAGAATTAACTCAGATAAAAACTATGATAAGAATTCTGTTATCTATATAAGGCTAGATTTATTAACACAACACGACTGATATAAAATGTATAGTAACATATAACATATGAAGAAATATTTTAACTATATTTGATTGATTTAGTTTGAATAGATTTTAATTGTAATTTTTAATATACATATATATGTAGGGTGGTATACCATAAAATGTTAATAAAAGAAAATTGTAATGGAGATAGATAAAATTAACAAAGGCACGGACCGCTGTCTGTGAAAATAAATAATAATAAAAAAAAACATATGAAGAAAACATACAATCACTATAAAACCTGGGCAAGGCCGCGTGTTATTAGTTATTTATAATTTGCTTAGTTAGTTTAAAGTAAATACGTATTCTGACTTTTTAGGACCTATTTATATTTAAACACAAGTACAAAATATACACATATTTGTGTAGTTTTGTATTAATTAATTATCTTTAGAAAAATCGTTTATTTAGTAACTTGCCTTAAATCTATTCTTAGTACACACTCAATGCTCTATGGGTCCGAAGTCGCCATAGACTACATCCATATATTCTTTTAAGTGGTTTTTCACTAATACATTACATTACACAATATTTAGCATACATTATTTAGGGCACATTTTTTCGTAAAACTCGTATTGCGAATAGGCATGAGCTCTAATAAAACGGCTATAATCATCATAATTATTCTTCTTACCAGTGAGTTTTTATGATCATTCTAGTTATGTATGACGATGTACTAAAAAAAGCTGACGTCCTCATCCTAATATGCCAATAAATATGCACATATAGATCAAACCGACGGGACATGATTTTCATTACACCATGTAGTCACATGAAACTTTGGCCTAATATAAAAAGAGAAGCGAAACATAAAAAGCAGTTCTTGTATATTTGTATCGTATGTTGGACTGGCAAATCTCACGGCTCTTTTATTTTCGGACTACTCTGATGCTGTTGGCTGCAGCTAGCCTTTACATCATGCTACAGCATGCTACAGATACAGCTTCATCGGACGATAGAAGGCGAGTGCACATGGCACTCCATACCCGCGGAAGGACTTGGAGCGGCTGAAGGCCAAGTCCTTGCCTGACGAATACGATCACCGGCACCGAGGGCACCTCTGAGTGTTCGAACCTCGGCTCAGGCTGTCGTAATTTCGATCCCCGTTTGAATTGGAGACGGGGGCTCGATCGGAGGGGAGATCGATCGTAGGGATCTCACGGCCCATCTGATATTAAATAGTAATGTTGTATATATACAGAATCATTATGGAATAGACACTATGTCAACTTGTATGCCTCAAGTATACTTTACGCGTTGTTATTCCAAAAAAATAAGGTACGAAACCTTATTCTGTAATAAATACATTAGTTGAAATAAATTGTATTTAGTTGATGAATATTTCAATTATTTTAATTCGTGAAGTAACCGAAGTATTTCGCCCATAAATTAAATAATAAAGTAAATGTTTATGAATTATGAAGCTGTGGAATATGTATAGATACTATTCTTATATAGACAACAACTGGACACTATTAATTAAGCATGCCAGATTGTACTGAAGCATGTGATTCAGTAATCATATTCTTTTTCTGTATAAAATAAAAATATTTGTATTTAGGTGAATATCGGTGTCTACGCAGTCGAGTTTGTACAAAGTTGTTTTTGGTATATCTTCAATATCTTCTCCGATACAACAGAATTAAAAAAAACGCCGAGCATAGCTCGTACGCTGAAATACTACTGTATCGTATATAAGCGAACGAGCGAATACTTACCAAACGAAATATACCAAAATAAGGAATATTTACCAAAGCATTGGCTCATAAGACCAGCATCTACTTTAGCACCCAAATTGTTTACAGTCGGTTCTCTGTCGCCGTACCTGAAACAGCATTGTTGGATTATTTACATCGGAAATTCAATTAGCTTCAAACGTTTCTACGCATTAGGATATTAGAGTAATAAATCTTATTGACAAAATAGCCTATATCTCTATCTACACCAATATTACTTGACCAGGTAAAAGTAGTTTTGCTATATAAACTATATCTGGTAAGGAATTCTATTATCATCTTGGAATATAAACAATAGTACTACATACTAAATGTACACAAGAAAAATTCATAAAAATCAGTCTAGCTGTTTCTGAGGAATTCGATAACAAACACTATATTTCCCGATATATAAAAGAAGCAAAATTCCAGATTAAATTTTAGATTAATAGGAGCGAAGCTGTATAGAAAAATGTTGCAAAAAGGGCGAAAATGTAATGCAGTCAAAGTTCCGTGAGTAAACTAGTATCATAAATGAGACTTCGTTGGCGTAAATAATACTGTTTGGAAAATGTACAATTAAATGTAAATGTTGTTTGAAGAAATTACATTTGTGTCTACATACTTAGTAATACTCTGAAGGGAGCAAGGAGAAACAATAGAATAAACAGTACACGTAAGTAAATACTAAACACTGATACTTATATATATAGAACATTTATTCAATACATATGATAGTTTTTTTATACAAAACATGCTGTCTGGTCGCTTGATTGTAAGTGGTAACCGTCGCCTATGAACAGCACTACATTGCCTCATCATGTGACGCCCGTAATACCACCCAAGATGTCATGCCACATCACATCCTGTAATTTTACTGTCCTATACTCTTCAACCGAAACACTGCTTACAAAGCAAACTGATTAGCAGCTGTAATAGGTGAGACTGAAATACCGACGCAGACGACTTTTTACAAAGTATAATTAGGCACAATTAAGGACAGGGAAATGAAGAGTTGCCAATAATTACCTGGCGGCTAGGTGCGGCCACTGACGATGTCGGAATCCGAACCCTGACCCGTGCCAAAACCTCACCAGCACCCAATTTGACTGCGCCCATGCACGATTCTGGTATGGCCGTACTAATTCTTCTACCATTGACATTTGTCTATAGACAGAGAATATTTCTATTACATTTATACTCGGATAAATTAATGAGTGAATGAGGGAAAATAAACTTATAAAATCAATTGGTACCAGCTATTTTAAGACCGTCTTATGCTCGTATATTTTGTATTTGTGCAGTAATGCTTTAATAAGTAAAATAAATATTTTATACTGAATAAAAACAGTCCGTTATTCTGAGTCCGTTATTATTTTACCAATACTTTTATAGATAAATGAGTTCATTCATCAGCAGCACATCTGATGGGAAGTGATTACTTTCTTCCATGAGCATCCATAATATAAGTGGGTTTCGATATTGTATCGGTTTGGTATGTGATTGTGAGTGGTAAATAGAGCACGAAAATGTTCTATCGCATTTAAGTAACTAGTTGCTATGTCTAACTATATTTTAACGTCGACACCGGAAAGCAAAGTACTAGCAAACAGTAATGCAAACGAATTTCTATAAAAACTTAATGTTGTAAGTAAATCATGTACTTACAATATTATTTATTCTTTACAAAATACAAAGTCAACACGAGACAATTTACCGTTTTGTATTGTATCGTGTAGAAAATTATCTCTAAAATTATTCTGGCAGTATGACAAGACAGATCAAAGTGCCTAATCGTGTCATGCATAGATGCTTCGATAATTGAGTTGTAAAAATTGTGAGAATTGTATCGTGAGAGACTGATTCCAGACCTAGCTTTAAATGAAACCTAAATTAGTAGTGATATTATTTATACTGGTACATTACAATTTAATTCTATAGCATTCGATTTTCAATTATACTCTTTATTTTATAAAATAAGTAGATTATGTAAATTTAGAGCGCAAACATCTACCGATCTAAATTACGATGTCAACCAGCCAAGCGGAAATCCAATATTGCAATTTTAATTTGAGTTTTATGGGGATTAATTAAAGTCGTCTTCAGAATAAATTTGTGTTGATTAAATTACGCTTGACAAAGTTATTCGAATTCCGTGCAAACATATAATTGTTTTCCAGATGGCCGTTTGTTTTGGTAAACAACTCAAATCAAAAGTATGTAAATTTATGTGTATGTAGGTCCACATTGTGGGTTATTGACCTGGAACTTCTGGAGTTTATAAACGTAAGGAAATAGCGCAAGCTAAGAAGAATTTGGATGAAAGATTATTTAATGAAAAGAAATACTTCAGTATTGAAAAATTTAGAGCTGACAAAAATAATTCTCCATTACTCCTTTTTAAAAATTTGCAACGATTCTATAAAATAATTTTCTACTTATATTTTAATATTCAGTGTTATAAATTCCTCCGCCATTTTGTTACTAAATTACAATTTTGTAGAGCAACCCATCGCTGACGGATCGCCGTGCGCTAGCAGTGCATGCGTTATAGCATACACTCTCTTCTAAGATATGCATCAGTGGAAGACATAAGTTGAATATGAAAGAGCACTAGTGTAGACTTAGATTATGAGACACTTGTTTGATGTGCCATATTTTTAAATGAGCCCCGCCCGTGATATGTGTGACCGTTCTTTATTACTAAAAACTGTCGTTGTATACGTATCCTGAAATTTCACTGTCATATTATCTCACCTTTGAAACTGAATCACAAATTAGAAAGCAAGCGGGTTTGCGACAGATATAGCCAAAACAGGTTCCAATGCAGATGGATTGAATTAAATATTCGGTAATAATTTATTTTACTTTTTCTTTTTATTTAGTGTTAGTTTTAATGATTTACTTACTGTTTCAAGGGCACTCTTTCGATGGCTCGCATAGTAGTTGGCTGTGTTGCAAACGATGCCAGAGTCTGCACTAGAGACTCTCTTGTACTGGCTAGAACTATCCGCTGGTCAGCAAATTCCGCGCAGAGGAACGCTGCACAGGATACCACTAACTCCTCCCATTCTATTTATTAATATAATTAATATAAGTCACAATTGAGATACGAAAAGTAGTAAGAACTGTTCAGAAATAATTATTTTATTATTTATAACTAGCTATAACTCTCGGCAATGCCCTCGTCGAAAAATTACCTCAGTTTTGTTTCAAAATTAAAAATCATTTATTCACATAGGATCTTTCAGCATATTGTGCACGTCATAATTTTCTAGTGATGACACTCTTTACCGTCCGCTGGTAATTTAGGATTTTATCTAAAGCTGTTTGCCAATCTTTATTCTAATCAATACGAAAGTTTTTGCGGCAAACAGTAATAAAAATCTATCCATCTTCTACCTATTACCACAATCTTTGATGTTCATAATATAATATAAATAGGACTATGAAAAGGTTTGGAGGTAACCATTGGACAATACCTGGAAGCTGTTGTATTGGTACAGTTGGATGCATGTATAGTCGCAGAGTATTACATAATTCTAGCATAGCATCCACGTGGTATTCTGGGACGAATGCGAAAAGAGATTCTGCATAGTCCTGGGTACATGCAGCTAAAAAAAAATCTATTATACATTTTTTACTGAAATGAATACATAACAAAGAGGGTCCCTATGGTTTAGCAGTTTAGTATACTGCCTTACTTCTGATGGTCGCGGGTTCTTTTCCTCGCACGATGTAAACGTTTGTACTCATGAATACGATTGTTTGTATTGGTCTGGATGTTTTATATATATATATTATGTATGTAACTGATCTGAAACGCTTCCAGCATTATGCCGGTAGTCTATTGATTCGTATCGTAATGTGTGTAAATAGTGTTTTTTTAGTTCATTATAGTCTGTTGTATTTTTTGTTGTAGTAGTAGCATAGTATATTAGTACAGTTGTCTTTCTAATCTATTTAAATATTTCTATCAGTCATGTAGTACTTATAACATAAGCTTTACTTAGCTTAGTACTCTAGTAGTACTGCGTGAATTAAATACAAAAGAAATAATAACAAGAACAGTATCACGAAATGTTAAGGCGTGTGAGATATGCCCTATATGATCTCTCTACAATGACCAAGCATCTCAGACACAACAATTATAAACTTGTTGTCTGACATGCTTGGTCATTCCGAAAATCTAGTGTTATACCTTCATACCAAGTAATTTCTCTGCAATATCTCACTCTTAATTTACAAAGTCCTTGGCTGTTAAAATAAGTGAGATAGGGGTCAAAATCCACGCAGACAACTTTGCACAAAATCATTTTAATTTCGAAAATGTTGTGAAAATGAAATAAGGAAACAAACCACTATATAATTGGTAGCCAAAGTAAAACAAAACAAAACACTATCGAAATAAAAGCGTGACTAATTTGTTAAAAGCAGGCGAGAACAATAATAGGTTGTTAATAATGACATTCACATTTAGTATATCAACAAACTAAATAATTCTTTATAAATTTCTCAATCCGAGTATAACTTTTAAATTGTTTCTTGATGTAATTCCAAAAGTTTTCTTTCATAAATAATAATTATACTTACGATCGGGTGTTCCGAATTGTGAATTAGACCCGGCTCGAGGAGTTGTAACCCTTGAGATTGGACTCTGTGGACTAAATTATCTATATTGATAATTAGCTAGCTAGCGCGGGTACGCGTTTCCACCCGCGTTAAACTTATAGCTTATATATTATTCTGATGTATAAGCTATATTACTGTAAAATTTCATCAAAATCCGTTTAGTAGTTTTTGCGTGAATAAGTAACAAACATCCATCCATACTCACAAACTTTCGCGTTTATAATATTAATAATTTAATAATAATAATATCCGTGGACAATTTACACAACACCATCTAGTCCCAAACTAAGCATAGTTCGTGTTAGGGGAATCGTATAATGTCGACCTCCACGCGGTCCCCCTGGAAACTATTGTGATTGATTCTTGATAAATTCGCTACGATGGGCTAGATAATATGACTTCATGCTCATCTCGTCATCCTTCATTGACACCCTGGAGTTTACAAGGAGTAAGTAGCATTATTGACATTACTCTCCCTCTATTGTCAGGTAAAAAATGTAAAATGTATGGCAATATAAGTACGTACCTTTGATCTGAGCTAGAAGTATATTCAAGTTGAAGGGATGCGTAACTGGTGCCATCCAGGATAGAGCTTTTCCCCGGTAGAATTTCTTTACTCGCTACCTGATATATATATAAATTTGTGTTGTAAATTTCACCCATCTATAAATTAAAGATATCGTAATATATATGATGAAAATGAATAACTCTATCAATAATTTTGGTTGTTGATGCTATTAGCAGAGTAAATAAATATACATCTTCGTGGCAGGAAACTATTGTAAGTGGAATATAAGACCCGCACAAATTTCAAGAGATATAAAGCAAACATCTGTATCTTTTTATAAACGCGAAACTTTTACGCAAAAACTACTAAACTGATTTTTATGAAACTTTATAGTAATGTGTTAGATATAATGGATAAGCTATATCCATAACATATAACACAGAGTATTGATTTGAATTTGAATTGACAATATATTTTTATTTAATTATTTGCTTAAAACATGGTAAGCTACAGGAAGCGCACATTGTCTAACAGCGACATCCAACTCCAAACTAAGTAGAGTAGATAATTGATAGAAATACTTATGTACATTGTTGTAAATACACACATAATATATTGTCGGTGAAATAGAAAAATGGCAGTATTTAAAATGTACATTTTTTTTACAAGCCAAGCATTTAAAGATTTTTTTTAATCTATTTAAATTATTTTTTTAATAATATTTTTCTAATTTTACACAGAATTATTATATATCATTTTAAAAGTGTTTAAATAATGATTAAGACGGCGTGGTTAGTTTAATTGACTTATATAAAAGGAGGCAATTCTAGCTTCTAATTTTGAAAAATGACGTTTTTATATTTATTCGACGATATATAGAAAACATCTAGACCAATATAAACAATCATACTCTTGAATACAAATGTTTGTTTTGTGCGAGGAACCTAACCCACGACCAGTAGTAAGGCAAAATCGCTTGACCACAGTGGCCGAATAAAGCACTCGCGAAAACGACTATTTATAGTGCCTGGGCTTCGCACGAGTGTACATGTACTAAACATATAAACCTTCCTCTTGAATCACTCTATACGTCACAAACTTAAACTGCATTAAAATCCGTTGTAGTTTAAAAGATATAAGCGAACAGCCAGCGGAAGTGACTTACTTTTATACTTCATCATCATCATCATCATCATCATTATCGCAGCCCGGAAGACGTCCACTGCTGGACATAGGCCTCCCCCAAAGATCTCCACGACGATCGGTCCTGCGCTGCTCGCATCCAATTTATACTTAGATCATATGAAATGCTAAGTTGTGACGTCTGTTATATTAATCTGTCTTACTTGTGTATGCGCTGCATAATTGATGTCTGACGACAGTCTCAAAGAATGTAAAGCCCCTGAGAAATGTTTAGCCAACTCCGCCTGTCTTTGTTTCGTCCATATGGCGCCGATCACCCAGGCCATCTGTAGAGATCCCGCCTCTAACTTTTCCTGTCAACAAAACCAGTAAATATTTGCATTGCATATATCCAGCTGAGTAAATATTTGGAGACTTATATCAAACCTGGACTGTTATTAGATTCCATCTGAAAGTATTAAGTAAACACGGATTTTATAATTCATACCAGCGGAAAAAGTAGTTCGAAGTGAAATTATTTCTGTATATCTTATATATAAAATTCTCGTGTCACAGTTTTCGTTCCCATACTCCTCCGAAACGGCTTGACCGATTCTCATGAAATTTTGTGAGCGTATTGAGTAGGTATGAGAATCGGCAAACATCTATTTTTAATCCCCCTAAATGTTAGGGGTAGTCCACCCCTAATTTTTTTTTTATTTTAAGGCAAAACAACGTTTGCCGGGACAGCTAGTTATTATATATATTTATATGTATGAAGGTATCCGCCGGATATTAGCGTCGTGGCACCCCGTCACGGCATATACTGAGCGGAGAACTATTTGGTACCATAATAATTAAAATTGCGATTAAAAATTTGTTGTGAATCAAATAAATGTATTTTCTTTTTCTTCTTTCTTTCAAATCAATTAGATTTTATTCCTTTTATTTCTATAATGTGTGCGGCCGAAAGTAAGTGGACGCCAGAAGGTACCCAGCTACCCGCTGCCCAGCGGTGGACAGATTACGTTCGGGATGCTGTCAAGGGAAATATGCAGTCGTCGATCCACTTAGCACAAAATATAGAGGCTGCCAGATGGTTTTCTAGGTATAATTCGTGATTCTAGTTAACCATAAAGCGACGACGATATTATTACTTATTAATATTATTATATATTAATATTAAGTGTTGCCGATGGCAACTTTTTGATTATTTTTATGTTTTTTATATATATATTTGAATTTTATATTTTGACGTTCTGTTTTTATATACCGTTTGTTTTCTTATGCCATATTGTCTTTATATTTTTGCGAGCGAGCTGATTACACTTATTTTACCTCACCTAGGGACGTGTCTCATTTTTAACCAGCCTTAATACAGTCCTTCCGTAACATTAAGTATACTATATTGAATGTACGTATTTATTTCCAATCATATGCGTAAAAAATACGTAACAAATTTTCCACTAACAGAAAAGTGTACCTACAGAAAAAAGGTTACCGTACCTCATATACGGCTTTTGATCTTTCCAATTCTTTCACTATTTTCTCCATTAACTGTTTTCTTAGTTTTTCTTGTTCCGTCAATTCTTCATTTGAACCTAAACGAACAATACACCTACTCTCAGTCTATCTTCTTATTACGTACATAATATATATAGAAACATAATAATATACATTACATTATTATGTACTAGCTTTACTAGCGGCATCACCCGCGTGAAATTTCAGTATATAAATTTCAATAAAAAATATAGCTATATTACTGTAAAGTTTCATCAAAATCCGTTTAGTAGTTTTTGCGTAAAAGAGTAACAAACATCCATACTTACAAACTATTGCGTTTATAATATAATTAAGATATTTATAAGTTACAACATGCATATGAATATAAATATGGTACATACACCAAAATTACAACTTTTATAATTGTTGTCTGTCTGTCTGTGTGTTTGTTCCGGCTAATCTCTGAAATGGTTGGACTGATTTTAACGGGATTCTTTCTAGCAGGTAGCTGATGTAATAAAGAGTAACTGAGGCTACTTTTATTTTAGAAAAATAATGTTAAATTCCACGCAGATGAAGTCGCGGGAACAGCTAGTAATAATATATATGTATATAGAACCGAATATAAAATGTAGATTATATTCTCTAACCTAAATCTACTTGTGCATCTGTGGTAACGTTACAGATTCTTTGCTCAATGTCGTGAAGACAATCTGCCATGTCCAACTGGTTGTCTCTTAATTCACAAAGCTGAAACAAATCAATACTAATATTATAAATACTAAAGTTTAAGCATCTGTTATTTTGTTACCTCTTGAAAACTAAACGACTGAACTGAGTTTAATAACATTTTGACTGGACTATAGATTGTAATACGGATAAGTACAATTTTTATCCTTTATCTAAAAGAAATAGATAAAGTTGCGGGAATTAGATAGTATGATATTTTTTTTCTCTAAAGACCTTGTTTTTCATTGCTGGCCATCTACCTTATGTGAATGGTAACTGTTGACTATATAGATGAAGAAATAGAAATAATATTTATTAAAAAAAAAATTATATACTTTTTTGATTAGTCACATTTTTTTTCGATTCTACCACTCATTTTTAAAGCAGGCTGACTATACGAAGAATGAATAATTAACTCGCATGTTGCTATTTTAAATATATAAATAATTATTATTTAAATAAATGTTGTTCAGCATTACATTTGTAAGATTCTGTATGAATACAAACTGGCAAATAAAGTATTTCTATCAGTTGTTTCGTACCAATACCACAAGTTCTGATTAGTTTAGGTCTAGATGCTATATGAATTGGTCTGGATTATTAATATCAGTATTAATTAATAATCTTACTTTTTCAGCATGTTTAATGGCAGCTCCATGATATAAGGCCAATAGACCATCAACCAATCTTAAATGCGCCGATCTGACATCTATAGCACCAGCGCCGGGCATCATGGACCGTGTCCCTTTCAAAGTTAAAGACGTCTCACCCGTTGTTCTAATAACAAAATAAGCTTATTACACTCGTATACTAACTAGGGCAGCGTTTCTAAACATTTTTTAGTCTACGGACCCTTAGAAATTCAAGCACAATTTCAAGAACATATATAATAAAAAAAACATACGAATATCTTTGAGAAAACTTTAGTACTGCAAATTAATTACTAAGCTTATAATAAATATTGAAATAACCGTACCAGCATATGAATATAAATACGGTACATACAACAAACATTTTTTTTTACAATTTTTGTCTGTCTGTTTAATCCGCTAATATCTGAAGTGGCTGGACTGACTTTTAACGAGACCTTAGCTACGACGGGACGCTAGCTAATAAGGAGTAACTTAGGCTACTTTTATTTTAGAAAAATAAAGTTAAATTTCATGCGGACGAAGTCCCGGGAACGGATAGTTATACGTACAATTAGTAAAAATCACGGGATCTTACCAAGTTTTATTTTTATTGTGTTCCCGATATTTCGGCAGTGTTTCAACCGCCATGATCACGGGTAAACACTGGCGAAATATCGGGAATTTTACCAATTATACTTATAAATAATGACCGCATCAAATTTAAAACATTTATTAATTAATTAAACTATCTATAAATTAGATGGCAGGATGTACTTAACAATAATGACACATTACTATCCCAATGAAGAGTACGTTTTTTTTCTTAATAAGTAAAATATTGCCCACGTGGTTTGTATAGAGTTTTATTTTGAACTTTTCTAGCACTGTTGTTATAAAAAAAATCCCTCTAACCGTTATAATGACATATGGTATGCTATGGCGTGGATCTCTGTTCTTTAAAATTTTTGTAGTTCAAGAAACCAACTAAAAATGTGTGTGTAAATAATTTTTAACTGTAAACATTATTATTCATACACATAGAATTAAATCTAAAAGTATACCAACATAAGAAAAACAATGGAAAAATCAATAAAACTGTGGCACTTTATAATTAAAATATGCAGATACATACTTGTGTACCAGAATTGTTAACAACAATATTTACTTCCTTGGTATGGAATATTACTTTCTATAAATATATCTAATACTATAATAATAGTGTAATCTACGCTACCAAAACCTTGAGATGGAATAAATTAATATTATATATCATAATTATCATGCGTATATGTACTTAGTTTGTTTGTTTATACTTACCTATTCGTCATTGGTGGCATAGGCTGATGCATGAACCTGGCCATTGAAGATATAACCTGTGGAAGTGTGGCCAAACCTGGAGAACCAGCAGTCATATCGCTTACACCTAGAAAGAAATATTTAGAATGACTTTTCGTTAAATATACGAGTATTCCTATGCAGTTAAATGAAATCGAAAAAACGGTCTTCTTGTAATGATTGTACCTTAACTTTATTCTTTTTTAATTTGGCACATAATTCAATATTCCACTAAAGCAGAGCCACGAGATTTAGCTAGTTAATATGTGCAATTAAATTAATCAAGATATAATTATTGTAACAATCTACCTATTATAATTTACTCTTATAAATGTTGTCACATTAAATATAAATACCTTTTCAAATATACAAGAATCATCCTATGAAGGATATCGATTAAATTAATACCAAGAACGCATATTCCTATCAAGGCCGTGTAATATTGCCTTTCCTACTTTGTTATTATGTTAGTAGTCGGAAAATTACACATATAATTACGTCCTTAAATAAATTATAAATTTTGGGACAAGAATAATTGGACGAGAAACTTGATATTATTGGAAATTGATGTTAATATAGCGGTGTCGTCGTTGTGATTTTCAGTTTAAATATATAGTTAGTACTTTTGATGAGTAAGAGCATCAGCATATATGTACATTAAGGTATAAAGTAACAATAAATAGCTTTCAGATTGGATAATCAGAGGGTATACCAACAGTCGACATTCTGGCCAACAAAGCATTTGACTAACGCTTGTTATATTTTATTCTAACGTCGCGTCACAGGGAGCGACCATACCTCTGTTTCTTGGGTTATTATGCGTGTTTAATCATGCTCATCACCAGAGAGTCATTATCTGTTTCTTCCTTATCCCATTTAATTGGGCTCGGCGTAATATGTTTTTCTCTTCCATTCATCCCTGTTTGTCATGTCGTTATTTACTTCCTTTCTTACCATATCATCTTTCACACAGTCCATCCATCTCTATCGGCCTTCCTGTGCCTTTATAATCGTCAAAATTCATATGCAATAAATTTTTATATTTATTTTGCTCACGTTTGAATTTACGACCTTTAGAGTCTAAGACGTGTACAAAAATCAATAGTACATGATGCCTTCAAAGAAATAATTATGCTAAAAGATACAATACCTGTGTCAATACCTCCCGCCCTATTATAGCTGGGCTCAAAGCTTTGTATGAAAGGATTGTCTTCTCCAAGAACATTTACCAGGTCCTGTCTGTAATAGAACAATATTAATATTATAACCTCCATGACAATTAGCTCAAATGGGACAATTTGAGGTATTATTACTTTTTGTTTCCATCATATATTCCCCTCCAATCGATCCCCCGTCCAATTCAAATCGATATTACGACAGCCTGAGGTTCGAACCCCTAGCGCTGCCCTCAGACTGAAGTCATATCCGTCAGGCCATAAGTCTTTTCGCGATTTTGGAGTGCCATCTGCACTCGCCCCCGATCATCCGGCGAAGTTGTAAAGGCCAGCTGCGGCCAACAGCGTTAGAATATTTTGAAAACCATCACATAACAAAGTCAGAAATATAAATTAAAGTACAAAAATTTTAGATGTCGGGTAGATTCGAATGGATGATGATAGTTCAAGATTCTAGTTATGAGCATACTGTTTGACAATCAATAGAACGATTGAACATACCTCAGAGTCCTTACGAGAAATGGTAAGACTCCGCCCAAACGGTCCACATTATAGAAGTCCAATTCTCCATCTATGAAAGTCTTAGCAGGCAGATGTGGTGGTAAATTTCTATAAAATAATTGGAACATAAAAATTCTAAAATCAGTTATACTGTAATGAATGAATACTGAATTTACTGACTATATGGTATTCTTTAAGAAGAGTACATTAAGGTTTCTTATGGGTTGGTAACGCGTACGTGATAACTCCTGGTGATTACAGGCGTCCATTGCATATGGTAACCTTTTTCCATCATATGGGCTGTATGGCTAACAGACATACAGCTTAAACTAAACTATGTTGTCTAATAAAAAGGAACAAGAGCCCGCTTAGCACTTGGTTGCTCACAACTTATTTACTTTTCTATACATACATATATTAACATAAGAGTACGGTATATAGTCTATATCGCACACAAGCAACACTAATAATTGTCCCATTGTACGTGCAACTTATTTTTTGGGTAAGGTCCAAGATGCTGACGGGTGCCTTGCCTTCTACAATAAATAAAATAAGAATGTACCTGTCTTTATATAGGTATATAAGTAGTGTACATAGAAATATAATCGTTTTAACATGTAATTTTGTATTGTATTACTTGAATAAATAAATAAATCACTCTGGAATAATATAGACCTTTCAAACAGTGAAAGAATTTCTGAAATCGATGCAGCAAATTCGGAGTTAATTTTCTTTAAAAAAAAATCTGCTCTCTCTTTGCAATATTAGTTTGGTTAAATTGTTTGCAAATTTAACATTACATTATATGTTATGTATCACACTGACAATATACAAGGAATGCTTTGATAGCAAATTCATCGAATTCCGTGAACCTCCTTTGATAGCATCGAATATACAAATTAATATAAACACGTACACGATAAATAACTTTTTAGAAGAACAAATATTTAAATTAAAATTCATCGCTGTAAATGTAGATTGATAGATGTTATAGTGAACAATACTTGGACTACAATTAAAATACGGTCGAAATTTAATTATAGTGCAAGTATTTTTGAAATCGTATTGAATGGAAAACTTCCTTCTGGTTAAAGTTGGTTGAAGATACATCAAATTTTCGTTTCTTTTTATGTAATTGAGATGCCAAACAAGCTGCCCACCTGATGGTAAGTGGGAACCGTTGCCTATATACATAAATAGCAGTAAGAATGCCGCATTGTCATGTGACGCCTGTAATAGCATGCATACATTGTTGATCCAGAGGGCTATGGTATGAGCTATGATATATATGCTATACACTTCAACCGTAACACATCTTACAAAGGAATTTGCTTAGTGGGTGAAATAGGTAAGATGAGACTGAGATACTCAAGCAGACGACTTTTTAAGAAGTCTGTCTCAGTTTTCTTAAATTGACGAAATGGTTCCCCCGTTTGCGCTAACGGGTTACGCTGGCGGAATAGATGATGATAAGATGAGCATGAGGCCAGGTCAGTTAGCCTATTCTGACAAATTCAGCAGGAGTTTATCACGGTGGTTTCTGGGTAGAACCGCGTGGAGGTCAACCTCACATCGTACATTGCTAGCAATTTGTCCACATTACTAAAAATCCCCTTTCCCCAGTCTACCTCGTTATAAACTTTAGAAGGAGCATTCATAACAAAATTTCACAACATCTGAAATATTCATCACTTTTTCAAATCAACGATTATTCAGGTAAGCTCAAGTCTCATTTAACGTTGGCCACTCTTCCCTCGGCACACCGAATCGCGTCGCAAAAGTCGGCCGAGTTATTACTATTCCTCTTTAATTACTGTTCATTCTTTTTTTTGTAAAACATATAACTATCCTAAAGATATAGGTCATAAAATGCCAAGCGTTCTTTTTAAAAACGAACTGGTAAAAATAAGGCAAAAATATGAATTATAGTACATACGGGTTTCCAACTGGATTTTCGCTCCACAACTTGAGTACGGCGGTGAGGAGACGAGCGTGACAGCACCACGAGATAGCTGGAGAATTGCGGGAGATGTTGAACAGCCTCTGCAAAATGTGTTCCTGCTTTTTTTATTTTGCAAGCATTTACTTTTTAATCTCAGTGAGATATTGATCTTTTTTACGTAATTGGTAAGGCAAACTGAAGGTCCACCTAGTGACAACCGACACCTATATACGTGAAGAGCACCACGAACACCACATCATCATATGACGCTCAAGGTAGCAGCACCTCATATATTATAATTCTGAAGGACTAAGATGTTACACCTCTGTACCTCACTTCACTTTTCAACCTTTAAGTTGGAGCATTAACATTAACATAAGCGTTAACAAAATCATTAATATTAAAATTAGCATTAACAAAAGCATTAACATTAAAATTAGCTTTAACATCAGCATTAACATCAGCATTAACATTAGCTTTAACATTAGCCTTAGAATTAAAATTATCAGTTAAAAAATAAGATTTACGACTGGTAGAAATAGGTGAGACAGTGTTACAAACACAGATGACTGTGCCGCCTGTGATTCTGTTAGCTATTTTGATCGAGTGGGTGCAAAATGATAAATTACCATGTCCAGTATGCAGTTATCCATTATGTATCTACGGAACTTCTCTAAGAATATCTTACGAGTGGACGGTACCATATTCGTGCCATCTGAATTATTTAGTAGCATTAGCACAAACTCCAACTGAAAATATACATCAATATGGTTTACCACATAGCTTTACTTCCGATGGCTGCAAGTATTATTATACAAATGATTCTATGATTTCTAGTCATGAATATGATTGTTTGCATTGATATAGATGTTTTCTACGTATATAATATACAACTATGCATTTGTGAAACACATACAAGTGAAATTATATATAAGTATTTCTGTAAGTAGTTTAGTCCTACCCATAACACAATCTTTGCTTAGCTTGGGACTGAATAGAGTTGTGTAAATTGTCCTGGGTTGCTACTATTATTAAATTCAGAAGGCATATCATTTTCCTTGAAGAGTTAATTGAGCTGACTTCAATATGTTCGTATCATCTTCTACCAACGTCCTGCCAGTGTATACTTAACTAACTTAATGCAGGCGATTGCTCTAAACCTATAGATATTCACTAGAATAAACTAAAATGGGACCTCCCTGAATTTGCGGCAAAATATATCTCCGATAACTGTAACCAGCAACTTCGTATGCGCAAACTTTCATCCCCTATTTCAGCCACTCCTAGTATCCTATGGATGTACATGGCCTAGCCTATGCATGTGTATGTACATCTCGTGTTACAATCGATCTTTATCTTAAATTTCATTAAAATCCGTTCGGTATGGTCGTGAAAAGAAAGTAACGGACAATTTCGCGTTTATAATAACAATCATGAATGGAGGTAACTATTTTTTTAATTTGCTTTTGTAAGTGCAGATAATTTTATTGCGGTTTAGCAATTTAAAAGATACAAGTTAATAAACAACGGCGGCAAAACAATTTTCAGTAATAGATACAGTGATTCAAGAGCAAGGTTTATATGTATAATAGATGTAAGTTATAGTATAAGCAAGTCGAGAAATTCAAAGATTTGTAATGCATCCGTGTGTAATGGAGAAGGGACGCTAGTTCTGTATAAAATAAATAATTATAATAGCAAAATACATATGAATACGTACATACATTAATACAAATGACCTACTTTTTAATAAAATAATCACATTTGATTATTTTATATTTCATTTACAAATTTTAATATTAAAAGATGCTCGAATCAATTATGTAAACAGGACGTTTCAGCACTTCATAAAAAAATCACAGCAAAAAGGTTCTTGTTGCGATATAAAAAAAATATATATTTATAAGGCTGCTATAAAGCCTAAGACCGTTTTACGATGTTGGAAGCTTTAGAAAAGACCTAAAACTTTTTACTTACTTTATGAAAGTAAAATTATTTTTTTAAGGCGAAAATGTTTATCCTAATGTATTTATTTATTTACTAGCTATTACCCATGACATCATCTACACAAACCCTATTTAACAGATACATTTTCTGAAAAAATAGATAGTCTATCTACATCACCTATCTCTATATTAAATTTTATTAAGATCAGTTCAGCCGTTTAGTCGTAAAAAGACAACAAATGGACAGACACACTTTTGAATTTGTAATATAGATGTGCCTGTGGTTTTTCCTGCTTGAAATTTATAACTTATATATGTGTGTATGTGTTATTTTGATGTATAAGCTATATTACTCTAAAGATTCATCAAAATTCATTTCGTTTTTGCGTGAAAGAGTAACAAATATCCATCCATCTCATCATCATCCATAAAAAAATTTGCGTTTATATATACATATATATATACAAACATATTAGTAAAATATTAATATGGGCGAGAGGTCTTGGTGGCTATTTTGACGTCTATAAAATTTTTTTATGTGACAGGAGTGAATACAAATCTGACGGTCCACCTGATGACAGATGGCATCAATACCACTAAGATCATGTTATTATGAAACTCATGCGTTGTCATTCCGCATTACATCTCAGACCTTTTACCCTATAATTTCACTGGTATCTCTCCACTCACCTTTCAACCGAAACACAGCATACATAGCAAGCTGCTTGGCGGCTGAAATAGGTGAGACAGAGGTACCCATGGAGGCGACTTTGTATTAAGTCAACTTAGGTAGGTAATACATCTATAGGGGCTATAAAAATATCTACAAACAAACTAAATGTTTACAAAAGTATTACCTGAATTTGTTCCAAGGGCGCTATAAACTTTGTTATTTTGTCGCAATCTTCTCGGTACTGGTTTTCTAGATCTGAATTACTTTGAGCTGGTAGCAGCTTTGATATTTTGTCTATAGGAAGAAAAATAAATGTTTTTTTTTTTAAATTAACTGACTTTATCTGCAAAGTCAAGTTCGTGTCAAAGCTAGCTTTTTTATACCTGTTCCCGTTGGTGCAAATGATGAACGCTTTATTGTGCCCTTTTCAGCCATTTCTGTACAAAAAATTGGATGCAGACGTAAAGATAGTGCTTAAGATTTCTATTCTATAATATTATCAATTTATGTCTGACGACCTCAGTGATCTGGCGGTCTAGCACACCAGACCTAGATGGTCGCGGGTTCGATTTCTCGCACGGCTCAAACATTTGTATTCATAAATATGATTATTTGTATCGGTCTGGGTGTTTTCTAAGTATAATATGTATGCATTTACGAAAAAAATATATCTATGTATTTGTATCAGTTATCTAGTACCCATAACACAAGCTTCAGCTAGCTTAACTTGGGTCTGTGTGAATTGTCCTGAGATTATTATTATGTTACGATAATATTACATGTTAAAATAATTGTTTAACTATTAGTCCAGACTTTTGTCTGCCGTTTCTGAGATAAAACGTAAAACAATAATACACGTCCGGAATTTTATACTATTATAGAAATTGAAGTATTGTAATACAAATTATAATGGCATCAAATTTAATTGTGAAAATATATCAAACAGACAGATATAGACTTTAGCACTATTTATGACACATCGCTTTGTAGATGGGACAATACGGAGTTCAGAGCTAAGACGGGAAAGCAACGGGGAAGCTGCGTTTGGGGAAAATTCTTCAAAAACTAAAATTACAAGGTAATCTTCTAATATAAAATAATCGTAATATAAAATTCTCGTGTCACAGTTTTCGTTCCCATACTCCTCCGAAACGGCGTGACCGATTCTCATGAAATTTTGTGAGCGTATTGAGTAGGTCTGAGAATCGGCCAACATCTATTTTTCATCCCCCTAAATGTTAGGGGTAGTCCACCCCTAAATTTGTTTTTTTTTATTTTAAGGCAAAACAACGTTTGCCGGGACAGCTAGTATATATATGATATCGAACTCTTTTGGTATGGCAATACATATAATATGATTACGTGATGGCCATGCAATGTACTCTTCATATATATAGGGGACGGTTACGTTTATCACCAGGTGGGCGCTTACAATCAGCTTGTTTGCCATACCAATTATACAGAAAAAACTAGTTCAGTTCTACATAGAAATATCCTGCATTCTCTTATGAAATGGAAATTATTTATTATTTTTTATTATTTACATACACTATTATGACCAAAAGAAAAAGAGTCAACAATTGGCTCTTATATTTTATAATGATAACTCATTCGATAATATTCATAATATCTTAAAAGATGCATTTAAGATTTTGAATGCCGAAACTTTATTCTGTAATAGATTTGTTAATAGAATTAAAATCTATAACATTTATACATATAAATAAATTTGGAGTGTCTGTTTGTAATATTGAAATAACCGTTTTTTACTACATGCATAATACTATAAATACGGTACATGCACCAAAATTTCATTTTTTACAATTTTTGTTTGTCTGTCTGTCTGTTTATTTCGGCTAATCTCTGAAATCGCTGGACCGATTTTGACGGGACTTTTTTTGGCAGGTAGCTGATGTAATAAGGAGTTACTTAGGCTACTTTTATTTTAGAAAAATAAAGTTAAATTCCACGCGGACGAAGTCGCGAGTACAGGTAGTTAATAATAAAAAGATAAAACCTGCTATTCTTGGATCTGTCTCGCCTTGTACAGAAGTGGGTCTTTGCCACCAGGGCTTCCTAATTACTGTGCGTAATACTGCATCATCAGGGCACTTCACGTTTAGGAAGTTATCGAACCTGTAAAACATCATTGTTAATTTTGAGTAATGTTAAGTTAATACTGACTAATGACCCTACGTGTGTTACCATTGGTAACCGCGACGATGATGGTTTCATCGTGGTACAAAAGAAGAGACGCACAAAGAGGGTCAATACGAACCATTATGGGCAGTACCATACCCACTGAGCCCAACTTCAGTTCTTGACTATATGAAAACAACGATTATCTAATATAACAGACTTATGATACTTTATTCCTTTAGAATGGTATTATATGAGGGAAAGAACGGCATATAATGTTCGCGGTGCTATTGGGTACTATAGGCGAACTTACCATTTACCATTAAACGAGTGTCGAATGTCTTTTAAATATAAATATTTAAAAAAAAATACTACTCACGTGATTTTATTGAAGAACACGTATTTGACAAGATGGTGCCTAGTACCACGATGTTGCATCAGCCCGCATAAAACGTATACACCCTCCGTTTGCTGCATAAAGAACATGTCCTGGAAAGAAATTCTTCTTAAAAGGCATTCGTTAACATATTTTCTATTTAACTGGACACAAGACACAAGTATGACGGAATAGAAAAATATTTCCTCGTACTCGTGAACGTGGGGATTTATCTGTTGGGTTTACGGTTACTTATTAAATTATTTCCGTTTGACAAGAATACAATAGCATATGCTGGTAGTCTCTAAATTCTTTCTGATTGAAATTAATTATAAAAGAATAAGAGCTGAGTTTATTGTCAGTTTTTCTTAGCTCAAAAGCACTCTGAACTGACAGTAGATTTGACATATCATAACAGTTTGTAATAGATCTACATAATAAAGTATCTTGATTTGATTTAATACCATTACAGATACATAAAAAAAACATGTATAGCTTATAATATCGCAATATTGTTATTACCGGAGATACCAAATCAAACAGCAAACATTCTCTAACGACACAATGCTCCAAGATATCACAAAGTGCTGCTTCATCCAGGAATATCCAGAGAAGATCCAGTAAAGTGCACAAACGCGGTTGCGGCTGAGCCAAAAATAAAGCCGAAAGATTTTTCTAAAATAAAAATAATCTTCTATTATGATACTATTATTAAGCTAGAATTAATATGAACTTCAATTAAAATGACTACTAAATAATATGCTTTTTTCTTCTTTCGAGTTTAAAAGTATTGTGAAAGTAATTTGCTAAAAAATAACTCTGCAAAAATATATTGTTGACTGGCTGATCCGCGCAATTTCGTTTGCGTCACATTTCTCCCGCTTTTGCAACATTTTTCATTGCTGCTCCTGTTTTATTGGTCGTGACGTGATTTATTTATAGCTTATAACCTACCTCGATAAATTGGCTATTGAACAGTAAAACATTTTTCAATTCTTACTGATACTTCCTGTGATTAGCGCGTTCAAACAAACAAACTTATCAGATTTATCTTTACATAAATAACATTTAGTATAAATGTAGTTTAGATCTTTTACGAGTACAATACGCAAAGGATTTTAATGAAAAATTATTCAAAAGAAAATTACATCTCGATTCTTCTATTACTTTATTCTTTCAATTTTGAAAACCTCGATGATTTTGCTGTTTGGCATACCGCTTTACTTCCAATGATTGCGGGTTTGATTCCTCGCAAACAATTGTATTCATAAGCATGACTGTTTGTGTCTATCTGTGTGTTTTCTATGTATATTATATAGGCAATTATAAGGAAAAAACGTATCTAAGTATTTATATCAATTGTATAGTACCCACAACATAAGCTCTGCTTTGCTTCGGACTGTATGACATGGGGAGAATTATCCAGGATTATTTTTATGAAAAATACTAACAAAGTTTTCATCGCGGATTTTCGTGTAGAATTCACTGGCATGTTGGTCAACGTGTATGCCCCTGCTCCTCAAGCCGAGAGCTCCTCTCAGCCGAGGCAGGAGTTCATTCACCACCACGTAAGACAAACGAAGACAACCTCCCAACTCCACAACAACAATACGTGCGAGGGACATGAGGAATGCCTGGAGACATAACAATTCTAAATACTATTCACAATATATACACATAATAGAAATACTGAATTGCAGTTTTTTAATACATACTTATATAGAAAACATCCATATCAATAGAAACAATTATACTGAGGGTTCAAATGTTTGCTTCGGGGAATCGAAATAAGATGCTGTGCTAAACCGTTAGACCGTCGTGGCCGTTAGTATAATCAAAGTAGGTATAGACTGTTTTAAGCATTTTTTTAATTTTACATACTTTTTTGGACATTTTCTTCATCTCTGCACTTTGGGCATTGATAATAGTATGAGGGGATGGTCGGGGAGTGTACGCTGACTCAGAACTATGGATGCGGAGTGCCACCTCCTCTTCAGGGGCTCTTGAAGATTCTGACTTGGACTAAACATTATAAAGAAAATAACATATACTGTAACAACATGTAAGCAGTGATAAAAAAGAAATGATGAACTTTATAGCAGTATTCTTCTTTATTTACATATTCTACTTATTTCTATGATAAAGTATCTGAAGGCCCTTCTAATAGTGGTCTAAAGATACCCCATAATTTCTCTGCCATATTTTGCCCTCCAACAGAAGTAACAAAGTTAAAGTTTTTTTACAAAAACGATATGAAAGTTGAACTTATACGATTAAGCATTCGATTATTATTTATAATGTTACTTTAAATCACAGATAACATAATATTACATACTTTAAATACTTACTAAAATAAGTGATTTACGTTCATATACTTTCCTATTCGGTACTTAAAAGAACATAAGAACAATACACAAGTATCTTGCTCACTTTTCTTGTGATTATGCGTTTCGAATAAAAAAAAAACTATTCATAAGTACTTATATTAAGTTTATTTGAATAAAGATTATTTCTATTTCTATTTATACAAATATATATTGAATTATAATAATTACCTTACTACTTTTAGGAGTTAGTGGTGGTTTTAGTTCAGAAAGACGATTCAGATTCAGTTCGTCTAATAGCCCGTCCAGATATTTGAATAGCAGCGAGGCTCTAGAACATTCTCTGTTAGGTGGCGCCTGCAGTGGTGCATAACCGTCCACTGGAAATCTTATAAATTATATTATTATTCATAGAGTATTTTAATTATTTATTGAATAACTTCATCGACAAATTTTTTTAGGATTCTTAAGGTAGGCAACGCGCACGTGTGTCACATGCGCGTTGCCCTAGTGTTTCAGGTGTCAAGGAACGGTAACCGTCTACTACCAGATGGGCCGTATGCTTGTTTTACTTCTTGTTGTTACTACGATAGTGGATCTACCATCAAGTTTTGGGATAAGTAAGTGATGATTTATAAATCGCGTGGATATTTGTAAGTGTGGATATATGAATGGATGTTTGTCACTCCTTCGCGCAAAAACTACTGAATGGATTTTAATGAAACTTTACAGTAATATAGCTTGTACATCAGAATGACACACATGCTATAAATTTCATGCTGAAACCGTGGGATCTAGCTAGTTAAATAAATTAATGACTGATAACAGTTACTCATTATTTATAATATTAAGGGACGAATTTTTATGGTAATTATTTACCGCACTATCGAGAGATAAGTTTGTTGTTTAATAAATATCTTTATTTATTAAACACGAAAGTTTAAAATAACTAAACGTTATTCACTTACACAAAGGGTACGTGTATCATAGAGAGACAAACACGGAAAATAACTTACGCACCATGTTTAATAATATACCATTTCTGAAACATTACTTTTTATTAAACACGAAAGTGTAAAAAAAAACTTAAAATAAACTGATGCAAAATAGTAATCTATAGACAAAAATAGTGCCACGGTCATAAAATACTTCTCATTTTGATGGTTTCGGTGGTCCAGCGGTTTTTTTTTAATATTATCCTATTACTTTCCATAGACAATTCATGCCCTTTTATGAGTTTTGTTTCTTCTTTTCCTCACTTGCTCCGCGAAAAGTATTAGTTGCGTGTAGTAGTGTAGGTTCTTTCCTTTTCCCTTATATACTAATAAAGTGAAAGTTAATCTGACACGATGCATTGCTAGCAATGAGATTATTATTAGTCCACACTACTAACCATCCCCTCCCCGCTCTAGTGAATGCATTTACAAAAAAGGTATGTATTTAGTGATACAGACGGAAAATAAGCGAGACCAGCACCATGTGTTACTTTATCGAACGCGACACCCAACGATATACCATTTCTGAAACATATAAAACAGACTTTTTGGAGAAATTGTAAAGTATTTGTAAATGTGTAAAAAAAAACTTAAAATAAACTGATGCAAAATAGTAATCTATAGACAAAAATAGTGCCACGGTCATAAAATACTTCTCATTTTGATGGTTTCGGTGGTCCAGCGGATAAAATTTTTTTTTAGATTATTATCCTAATTTTTTTACTTTCCATAGACAATTCATGCATGTATATATTTCGTAAAAGGCTTACAAAATGTGTCAACAGCAAATTCTAGATGTTTCTGTCATGACTATGACACATAAGACTTTTATGAGAGTTATTATTTTTGTTTCTTGAATATTTCTTTAAGAACTGACAACCTCACAAATAATGCTAAATATAATCCAATTAAGCTATTCAATCATTGTATAAATATTTTGCGTGTAGTATTGTGTAGGTTCTCTCCTTTTTTCATGGAATAATTATATACTAATAACGTGAAAGTTAATCTGACACGATGCATTGCTATGCAATGAGATAATATTATTAGTATATACGATATTAAAAATTGTATGTATTTGTATACAATATTTATTGTTAAAAAAGGTATGTATTTAAATATTCTATTGGTTATCTAGTACCCATAACACAAATCCTGCTTAGCTTGTGACTAGATGACTCTGTGAGAATTGTCCAGGGTGTTTTATTCTCGTATTTTACTCTATTACCTGTAAAACTCCATGGTTCCTTTATCCAAATCGATACAGGAACCGATGACGTCACCCGGCAACCATGCCTGTCCGTAAGGAGAAGTGGCCACATTCCACCTCCTGATTCTTCCACCATCGTAAGCATAAGAATGCGCTGTATCGCCCACTCCGGTATCCATTGAGAATACGCAAGAAGCTGTACACCATCCGATCTGGTATTAGATTTAGGGGTTTATTCCGCAGAGTAAATATATGTATTAAATCATAAAATAAATCTAAATATATATAACTCAAAGGTGACTGACTGACATAGTGATCTATCAACGAACAGCCCAAACCACTGGACGAATCGGGCTGAAATTTGCCAGTCAGGTAGATGTTTGCATATATAAAGCTATTATGACGTAGGCATGGAATTTATCAAAATTCTTGATAGGGGATCAAGAATTTTGTTAAATTCCACCGCTAAGGGGATAAAATAGGGGATGAAAGTTTGTATGAATCTTCTTAGATTTTGTAGGCCCTAATTTTTTACACACGCTAAACAAAAATAAAGCTTTACATTGCGACATTATTATTATTATTTTTTTTTTAATTTGGAAAAAAAAAGTACCCTAATATAATAATAATACTTACTACTACGCGAGCGAAGCCGCGGGCAAAAGCTAATCATGTATATATTTCGTAAAAGGCTTACAAAATGTGTCAACAGCAAATTCTAGATGTTTCTGTCATGACTATGACACATAAGACTAGATGGCGCTCTACGAATTATCATGAGATGTTATTATTTATTGGTTTACTTGAATATTTAACGATTCAAAATGATAAGAACTGACAACGATTTGTAGTTGAACGGTTATTATTTGCTTTTAACTTTTCCAAATAATTCTAAATATAATCCAATTAAGCTATTCAATCATTGTTTTAAATATGTAAATATTTTGGTCAATAACGATCATTCATAATTGTGTAGGTAAGACAAAGCCTACCTTTATCAATTCATGGAATAATTGATAATACACGAAGGAATTGTATTATTTATCAAAGACATTTTGGAAGTTATTAATGTTAGCGTCCACTTAGATTACTAATAATTCTCTTGGGAGGGGAGATGATTTTCAGTAATGGGTTATGTTAAAACCAACATTGTAGCCGTAGTTTTTGCTAATTGCGTTGAACAGGCGTTATAATATTTATTATCTGTATACCTTCGAGTTACTCGATATTATTATGTATTTTTTATTAATTGTTTCACGGCTAGTTGCTATTCTCAATTCTTTATAAAAACCAAAAGGCGAAAATAAATATATTGTTAAACTGTGCATCAGAGTTTGTTATTGACAAATTCCATTGTGTCCACTACGAGACAGGTTAGTTGCTTCGTTGCTAGAAATGTACCATATATAGTAGGTTAACCTCCACGCATTCTCTATAGGAAAACCATCGTAGTTGATTCCTGGTTTTTTAAGAGATGGTAATGGAATGGAGTACTCGCTTGCGCTAACGATGTACGCGGGGCATCAGTACCTGATCTGACTCATCTTATTATTCAGGGGAATAATAAGATGAGTCAGATCAGGTCGGTTAGCCCATTGTGGCAATTTACCAGAAATTTAACATGGTTAATTAATAATGGTTTCTAGGGGAAACCGCGTGGATGTCAACTTGCTATGATACATTGCTAGTAATGGGATTATTGATCCACATTACCACAGATAACATAATATTACTACTAACGATCTACTTCCCCCCGTTGATATTAGGATACAAATTTAAAACTTCTGTTAAATGATTACTTATAAAGTCTATTACTCTCTAAAGAATTACTTAAATGACAAACGTGTACAGAAATGTTTTTGCATGCATGGGATTTACATATAGATGTTCGATATAGACCCATAAAAGAGAAAACAATGTTAAATATTTTTTAAAAATAGAAATACAGTCAAGTCTCCTGCCAGTTCTTCGTAATGAAATCTATAGACTGAACTAGACGGTAAGGAAAAATATATTAATACATTTTAATGTTAGTAAGTGGCTAAAATATTTGATTTTACATATGTTACTTGCCTGCATAATTCCTTTTGTGCCGAGTTGCACCTCATACATCCATTTGCCGGCAAAAACACAAGCTGTGGCTCTGATTGTGGCGAAACTTGAGAGACCTTGTACACTAACTCGTTCATCACCAACCAACACGAGACGGCCTGTACCTGAAGTGTAGATTAACGGCTTTTTTGACGCCTTTGTCAGTCTAGCGGTTCATGAGTCGCACACCTTACTTCTGATGGTCGTGGATTCGATTCTACGTACTATACAAATATTTATATTTAATCCATAGTAATATTATAAATGCGAAAGTATGTCTTACTGTTTGTTAACTTTTCACGGGTAAACACCTGTACCATATATATTTTATTGAAATTTGATATGAAAATAATTTATATTATATAATTTTTCTTACAAGGTCTGATATATGCTATTTATTTATCTTAAAGAATAATCTGGAAGCGAGGTAAAAAAGAGATAAAAGCTTGTACGACGAAGTAGCGAGCAACTGCTAGTATTGCTATATACTGACTGCTAAACAGTAAATTATAAAAGGGTCCTATGGACATAGTTACCAGTTGAAGCGTCAAAGACCACAATTCTCGGTCCCACACGTCCTGGTCTATCATCAGATTCAGGCGTCTGAAACAACACAATGGGTCTAAAAAGAAATAGACAAAGACAGCGACAGAGTTTTTAAATTATTCGTGCATTAGTGAGTGCTATTTTTAAATATTTCAAAATGATCTGACTATAGAGCAAAGACATAATTATAAAGGTTTTGATGATTTATAAATCTTAAACGTGTCTTCGGAAAATAAAAGCTAATGTATAAAAATTTAATTTTTAAAAGATAGTGTTTTGACTTAAAACATATTAGTTATCACGTGAAAAAGTAATCACATAAAATGCAAACACCCACGATTGCGCGCGGTTGTAGCATCAAAATACGTTTAGTAGTTTTTGCGTGAAAGAGTAAAAAACATCCATACTCACAAACTTTTGCAGTTAAATTATTATTAAAGCGCTGGCTTTCCCGTGGTAAATTGCACGTGCTAGTGATCGCGCGGGAAAGCATACGTCGCGTAGAGACAGCAATTAATGTGATAAAATGGATTTTTTTAAGAAAACAATATTCCGAATTTCACTGCCTTTACTTATCCTTTAACAGAAATGCAGCTTATAATATTAACTGACGATTTTTGACAAAACTATTATTAGATAATGTATATTATGACATACAGTAATAAAGCCGAAATGTTTTGATTAATAATGTAAGCCACTTACCTCAGTAACAATAGGAGCATGTTTCTTGGCTGATTTAGACTTATGACTTGCTATTTTTGTGTCCAACATCTTGGGCAGATTATCTCTCACGTGACTGATATATTTATTTCTCCTGTAATGAAATAAAAGCGTATATGTGTACATATATAGATATATAAACATGCTGACAATAAAAATAAGAAATAGGTATGTTGTTTTTTGATGAAGTTAATCGACCATTATCCATACTAATATTATTTCTAATAAAAAATTTGAAAGAATATATTCATGAAATATGATATAGAATTAAATTATATCACGCGACTTTTCTGCTTTTTATACGAAAGATAAGTGTGTATGTATTTTTTGTACAAAAAAAAACACAAAAAGTATGTACGTGTGGTATGGCCAGTATATATGCAAACTAAATGTAATGCCAATTAGCGACTTCGTTGCGTGACAAACAAAAATTATCTTTATCGAATTTAGTGTTTTGCGAAAGTCCAATTCCATAAACCATATAAAAAAAAATACTTACACTCAAATTAGAATCCTCTTATTGTAAAATCAATCATCTATTTTAGTAAGCATTTATTATCTGTTCATATTAATGGTTGAATGCGGAACTACTACTAATGAATAGAATAAGAAATATCCAGATCTTACTGTGTATATTTATCTGTATTGTCCTTCATGATCATATCATTACCGAACACCTTCCGGATTGTATCGTGTACCTCCCCCTTCTCAGCCGAGCTACTGCATACCCCGAACATGGATCGAAGAACATTCATCATTACAGACACTCTCTATCTGTGGACGAAATATTCTGGTTGTAACATTTTCCTTTATTAAAATTAGCTGTTCATATTCATTACTTAATGAATTTATATAATTTTGCTTAATTCCGCCACTATTAGCAACACTTTCTCTATCCGAGGATGAAATATTTTGCTTGTACTATTAAAATTAGATAAATTAGCTATTCAGATTCATTACTCAATTAATATTCACTACTCTATATATTATTTTGTTTATTTCCGCCACCATTAGTATATGTGTGACCACACATATTCAGTATGGCAAGAAGCGTTAAGCATAACTGAAACTGAGTCGCAGTTTGGACGCCAAACAGCCAAAACTAGGATTCCAAGCTATATCCAAACTCTATTCATTGTCTGGATATACCTCGTTTAGAGTTGAAACATGTGTCGTAATATGGGTAAAGATTGAATAAACGGTCAGATTTTTATTACCTATAAAGAAAGTCGTAACGATTCCTGTAGCTGTGGTCAGGTTTCTGCACTTAATATTTGTGATCACATATATACTAATGGTAGCGGAATAAAATAAAATAGTATAAATCCATAAATTAATGAAATGGACTTCCGATAGACTAGACTAGGAATCAGCATAAAGAGACAGATAACGGAAATAAACCTAGATAAACAAACGAAATAAACCTAGATGAACTTTATAAATAAGTAAATAAATCATTATAAGCTCTCAAATTATTACCTCTTTTTTTAATAAAGCAATGAAAAAAACGATTAAATTATAAAAATACCACAAACATATACCAAAAATCGCATAATAATAGGCATAAAAAGTAGTGATAGGAAAAATATTTTAGTTAACTTAGTATTTCAATTTGACAATGTAGTGAGAGACAAAAACATATTTTAAATTGATTAAATAGGTCTGACATGCGGAGCAAATAATACTTACGTAAAAATGTGACATAAGCTGGTTAGTTTTTTTTTTATTGCAAATGGAGGCCCACGAGTTGGTAAAATCATTGTAATAATGAAAATCGTAATTTCAAAATTCATGTGCACGCTTCGTTTTAGCAAAGAGAAAAACTTTATTAGAGATGCAGAATAGAAAAAGGTATTTGTATAATACATTGCTAAATTTTCTATGTTTTAAAAGTGATATAGAAAAAAGAAATTATAATGAAACATAAAACCTACTAATTTATAACTCCGTACACAGAATTGAATGAATTTACTATATTTTCATGTTTCGCGACATAAAGCTTCTCAACAGTTCACATCTTTATCTCACCCTTCAACAGACACACATCTCACAAAGCTAGGTGCTATAAAAAATATTTCAGCTGGTTCATTTTTAAATGAAATTAACTATGAATGTGAGTGACTAACCGTTTGTGCAAATATTTTAACTGCCCATGAATATGTCAGCTCGGTCCGCCAGATACTTTATTATTTTGCTACCCAACTTTATTTATTGACAATGTTTGGGTTCAGTGCGAAATAATGAACGAAATACGCCCAAAATATAATCAGAATGCATTCCAATTAACTGTGTTGTTTTTTATGTAATTTTGTGAAAATAACAAGCCAGTTAAATCGAAATCGAATCGTTTACTTGTAATATTATCATCATACTAGCTGACCTGGCAGACGTTGTCCTGTCTTAACTATAAATATTAAATTATCTTAATATACCAATTAATTAAGTTAAGAATAATTCCGAGTAACTTTCTTATTTTTTTCTTTCATAAGGACCTTCTCCTGAAAAAAGCGAACAAAAAAATTGCGAAATTGGTCCACCCATTATTAACTTGACATAAAAATTGTAGGTAACTATTTCACAGATGAATGTAACGAAAATCTTGTATTATTTAATAGCTTCACGATCTCGTGACCGAAACAGTTAGGGATTAATTAATATATGTATATTTTTATAAATCTTTTCTCACGTACTCTTATGTACAAAATTGATACTAAAATATGGATACTGAACCCTGTCTATTACTAATATAGCATGCTTTAGGCTGGGTTTATTTATTTATAGGAGATATAGAGGTCAGGGTCACGGTCGGTAGTGCTACATCGTGGCTTCTGTTTTATATTACTCTTCTGAAAATTCTTCTCCATAATATAGACTTTTGGAGTTAGGACATGCGTCATTCCTTGCTGACGAAAAGCCCATCACACCTATGGTTGAGATTGTGGATTGGAAGTCGTCAACAGCCGGACGGCAGAAAAACTGGTACTTGTATCCAATATATAATCACCAATCATATGTTATAATTAGTGGTTCTTAAGATAGTAATAGTTAATGAGCACTTTTTTACAGCTGCTGAAACATCTCTGTAAGTACTATAACAACTCTGTCTGTCATTTTTTTGTGTCCGGCCTTTTCGCGGAAACCGACTGTCAAACTGGCGGTGTTGCCACAGACTCACAGAAAGTTGAACTTCAAACTATATTTTTATTGATTGTAATGATCTCGTGCGTTAACGGTATACCGTGATGGGGTACCAGTGGATGATGATAGAATTGCGATGGTTACCAAATGTAATTCGTAATAGTCATCCTAACATTGTACATAATAGCAATGTGGCGACTTTTCCCCATTACTTATTTCCCCTTCACCCAGCATTCACGATTTCGATTCTATAAATGGGAAGTGTATTTATTTGTGCATTTGTGATGGAGGATGTAGATTATGTATCTGTTACTTTTCTAAAAAATAAAAAGAAATTAAAAAAAAAATTAAATATATAATATCAGTTGCATCCATTGTCAGAGTAAATAAAAAAAATATAATCTAAGACTTATGTCACTAGGAATAATATAAGTTTTATATGCAATTGTGATACAATTTTAGTAAGGTATACTTGCAAGTATTGTGTATTCATTTTGGGGTTCTATATACAGTAACCAAGTGACCTCAATTAAAAAAAAAATGGTATGAGACTGCGAGCTTCTCTTAGAACTATTACATATTGTTAGATATTAAATTTTGATTCAAATCTGTCGTCCTATGATAATCTTCTTAACACCTTTGTCACAGATAAAATAAATAAATTGTTAAATTCTATTACTATATCTAGTCTAAATAAAGACGATACAATATTCACGCACTCGTTTATCAATAATTTAAGTAAATTCTGATTTGTAATGGCAATAGCAAATCATATTTTATATTTTTGTTTCATGCTTATAAGTTATCAGCTGTAATTTCAATAGCAAACGGCAAATATGTAGATTATTTTCAAATGGTTTGATAAATTGTAGGCTCGGACAGTTCGGTTGCATAGGAGATTGTGGAATAAACTACCTGGATTTCTCGAGAGATTACAACATGGGGTTTCAAGATAATTTAACATTTCTTAAGCGTTTCCAACGTATACGTGACACTCCTGGTGATTCTAGCCATAGTCCACGGCAACCATTTACCATTAGATGAACTGTATGCTTGTTTGATATGATGAGTTATCAACAGCCTTACTGTCAATATTGATTCATAGATTTACGTAAACAATTTTATCTACGCGTGGCGCGGCAGACCTGAAATTATGATAGTTTGTTATAGTTTTGTGATCATTTCTTTGTTTACGTCTAGCGTCTTTGTGTAAGTCTATTTGAGTATCCAAACTTATACTATAAGGATGTGGATAGATTTTATTTGATCTTCAATGTGCGATGTAAATCCTATGTGATGTTGTAATGATAGTGGTTTATTTATTACAAGCTATTACCCGCGACCCTGTTTTTGGATAATATAACGATAAGAACATTTAGATGCATTACATTAAAAGTATTACAAGAGGCGGTCCGCTGTTAGCAATCTCTTACAGACAACCTGATATTGACTGAGAGTATTTACATAGAGAAGGTAGTACGAGCACCATAGACAATATATTTATTATACGCACATAGATAAATATACATTATGTAAGTATAAATAAATAAACTTACATACTATATACATACATCTTATAGGTATATAAATTCTCGTGTCACAATGTTAGTTACCATACTCCTACGAAACGGAGTGACCGATGAGCTCTTGTCCTTGGAGTTATTGACTCTTCCAACGATTTTCCATCCTCCTTAAATATAGATACGACAGGACTCCAACCTTTTCTTTAAATTTTTTCCTTAATTTGATATAGCTGTGCCTTTGTCTTCCTTTTCCCTTCTTACCTTCTATATTTCCCCTCAATAATAATTTTTATAAATTCGTGCCGTATTATGTGTCTTAATACTAGTCTAGTTACATAAAGAAAAGAATATTAGCGATACTTCCTGACCATTACTCAAGCTGTTAAATCATGAAAACGGCACATACAAACTTACTTTCGCATTTAATTAATATTAGTTAAGATAATTTGTTCATTGTCGGATTTTGTGCTTAGCCCTAATTCCTATACGGATCCCAAGTTCGTGCTGTTGGAACGAGTCGTGGGATTTATTTAATTACTAGCTAAGTTAGCGACACAAAAGTTATGCGCCGTGGTATTCGCAACTTGACTTTCTTGTTTGTTAATAAAAAAATATAAAACTAACATTAGACTCTAAGTAAAGCTTACCAGAATGTATTAAGTAATTTTACTTCACTACTCATCTAATCGGTAATGCCGTTTCTGAGTTTCACACAAACATATAGAAAAATTTATAGAAATTCCAATAATAATTATTTTTGGTTCAATTACGATAATAAAGTATTAAAAATTTTATTGTGGGGGATAATAGAATTTTTCATATATCAACGAAGTACAGACTGCGAACAGTTACATTTTCATTATTTTTGGTACTTGTTTTGTTTGAAATAAGACATTATATATCTATTATTATCTATTATTTAACTATAATAATCGGTACAAACTAATCGGTGAAAACTACAGTTAATTTATTGCATTAGTTTCTGCATGTACCGTAATATAAAAGAAGACAAAAATTATAAAAACTGTTGTTATGAACTTTCTATGTATTCGTATTCTTTTTTCAGTTAATAATAATAATTATTACGCTCAGAAAATACAATCATAGAAATAGAAAATCTTTATTCAAATAACCTGAAAATAATCACTAAATTGAGTACTATTAAGAATATAATAACTAAATTGTTAAAATGTTAATAAAATAATTTCATTTCATTTAATTTCATTCCACTGTGACCAAAGGTGATCTTAACTCTAGAAATTTCAAATATAACATATGAGAGACAATAATATACATTAATTAAGTGTAACAATATATAAAATTGTTCGTTGCCAAATTTTGTTTTTACCTCTAATACGGTTACGGATCGCAGGCTCGTTATGAGAACGAGTTGTGGGTTTTATTTAATTATTTAATATTTCCTAAATGCCCGCCATAAACGGCTTAGTGGATATATTATGATAGCACTCGTAATACTCGTAGTTAACAAGCTTTTACATGCGACTTTGACTTCATAAACTTTTGTTCCTATACACATATCCAGATTATTTTTTGTGAACAGATAATCTGTTTCCAACCTTGTAATACAATCTATTTTCATCTAAAATTTTAATAAGCCAGAGTAACAAACATATATTCAGATAAATACACTTTTGCATTTACATATATAAAATTAGTATACAACAGTATTCAAACATACCGTAAAAATTATAAATTTCAATCAACTTCAGTCGCGTTAGATCATATGTTGATAAAGTTTATATGGAATCATAAGAACAACTACCAACTTCCAAATAAAACAGATCAATAATAATAATATAGGGAAATGTGGAAAGAGGATTTATAAGACTATTCTTCAAGTCTCACCAGCAACAATCCCACATGTACTATTATAACATATACTACTATTATAACATATAGTTAGTAA